GAGAAAATATTTATTAAAACTTAGTTAATCACGTCTGTCCTTTCCAACCATTTCAAACTATGTGTATATCAAATGAGTAATAATATTAACCTAAACTATAAAGTAGTTTGCTATATACTTTAAAGCTTTTTTTGAATCTTGTAGTTTATACCCAAACATATCTTTATAGTAATGTTTGAAAAAGTTAAACGAAATGTTCGCTGACCTTTCAAAATTATATTTTAATAATTATCCCTAACCAATTGCGATATCAAAATACTATTAGAACTTGAGAGTGCCTGAAGAGTTACTATCTCAATCCGAAATTCATGAAACATTTCGAGGTTCGGAAATTTTGCTGATTAACATGAGACACACACTGCGCGACACAGCTATTGCGGACACGACTTCGGCGCGTTTTCGCCGGAACTTTAAGTCTTGAGGACCGTGTTTTATTTCTAACAGAAAAGCTGGGGAAAGAAACGGGAGATTGCTTGTTTGTGCTAACAACGTTGGACTACAAAACGGCACACTGTTAGCACAAACAAAACAAAATATTTCAGACTTTTTCTTCAATGTTTTTTTGTTGTTGTTTTTTTTTAGAATGGAAACAGTCATCAGAAATAGTAGTGTAGTTTAAGGTGCCCACTCGGTGAGCCATTCTCTACTATAAAAATTGATGGTCGATCAACACCCTTCTCGAATAAAAGTATAGAAAGCCTCGATGTTGTGTTCCCGTATTTCTGTTGCGCGGCGTAGCTCTACTTTGTCACTGGCTTAATTAAACTTTCCGTAATCTTGAGAGATAGGTCTGCGCTTCAATATATCTTTCTCATAATTTGTGGCGTTATTGCTAGGGTAGACTTTACAATTTAAATATAATACATATCGCATGTTATTTGTTCTCCCAGATTCTTGTAGACAACCCTATCCTGGCATTATCTAATGTAAACCAATCGGATGCTGGGACGTACTCGTGTGAAGCATTGAATGAAGCAGGAGCTGCGCAAGTTGATTTTATACTTGATGTTTTGGGTGAGTTGCCACAATTGTAACTATAAAGAAAAAAGTCATGCATGCATGCCCTGTCTCAAAGGTTTCTTAATTATACATATATTGATGTTCACTTTAGTTAATCAAACCTAGCTTCGATTAACCAGCCTAATGGATTATTTCGAGTTTGTCACAGCGTAGGACATAATTTTTCGTAAACTTGCAGGAAGACCGTCAAAATTCCACATTTAACTGATTCAAAGTGGTGCTAGCGTCGCACTGCAATTTGCAACTGGAGGCCTCACTATTTTGAAAATAAAAAAAATAAAGTAGATCTAAGCAAGTCTGTTTAACTCTTATGAGAAACCTCGTCACTCCGTGTTAAAAACCGCCCGGCCTCTGACGGTAGTATGTACGAAAATATAGGGAATGTTACGGAGACTCGCCAGTTCTCTGGTGCACTTTGCGTGGATGGAAGCGGAGAATATGGAAAAATAAATGGATGCATAAAATAAACCCTTTCCAGTGAACAGGACTGCTGCGTCAGCGGTTGACTTGCAAGCGTGTAAAATCAGTGAGAATATAAGTCCCAGCATGACTTGTGAAATGAATTAATACGGGTGCCCTCATTACTGCCGTATTATTCCGAGGTCGATTTAAAAAATTCTTGATGAAACTGCCATATTTTATATGATATTTGGTAGAAAAAATATTCGATGAATTTACCACCACTCGCTAAAGTGTCATTAAGACAGACAGCGTTTTTTGAGGTTGCATTTTTCATATTATGTCCTGCACATATTCCTAATGTAAATTGTGTGACGTCCAGCTTGTGTTGCAACAAACAAAGCCCCCTGGTTTGACATCTCGGCTGGAAATTTTGAAATAGTTATCCTGGCGTCAATATTAGAGAGACTTACAATCCTGCACATTTTCCTAACACAAATTGTACGTTTTTCGCTTTGAATTGCAACAAACAGAGCCCCCCTGGTTCGACATTTCGGCTGGAAGGTTTGAACTGACTGTCCTCGAGGGCGAGGAGGTCATCCTCAACTGCCCGTATAGGGGCAAGCCCGAACCACGCACGTCCTGGTACAAGGAAGGCAGGAGAGTTCATCCGGGTCCCTCTGTCAAGATCTCCAACGACTCCCTCACCATCACCTTCGCGCGTTCTCACGACAGTGGCACATACGTCTGTGCTGCCATCAGTGAGGCAGGGACAGCTGAGGTCAACCTCACCCTCACCGTGTACGGTAAGAAACAAGCGTGTTGCCGCTATTTGGTCATGGTGCGCGCACGAGCATGCATTTATACCGAGTTCACCGCTAAGCTGGCAGGGCTATGGTAGCTACAAGCTCATTAAATCAGTCATGCGTCGATCTTTCGCCACGTGATCACGGCCCTGTTCAAATGTCAGATGATGAAACGCACGCGGTTGATTGAACGGTCCAGCGCGTAGCTCCCACCGCACTCTGAGGTTGCAAGAGGACGGGGTGTAGTAAACTGTTCGCCTTAAAGATCCTACAAAACGCCTATAGAAAGAGTTGCCCTTCCTTGTGATTAAAATTGACAACCAGAAAAATATTGCAGGAAGATTCATTATTGGATTGTTAAGGAATACGTTAGCATGACTCTTGGAAACGCCACACACGTTCCCCTTTGGGAAACGCTAATTTTATTTTATTTTCTTCTGGCTTTCTCTTTTCCTTCCTATATTTTTTCTGCCTCTTTCTTGCCTCGTTACGGGTCAGTGTTAGTGTTTTCCAAAGCGGGACGTGTGTGGCGTTTCCTAAAGGTCATGCTAACGGATTTTCTAAAAATCCACCAAGGGATGTTCTTATAATTTTTTCACCCCTTTTCTGTACTATCTGCCTGTCCGAGTACGTCGACGCCCTTGGATACGGTCATCCATACCACTCGTGGAAGGAACCGCATCCATATCCTTCGTTGAGGGAGCCGCATACATCTTTTTAATTACACACTCGCATCACAGCCCACCACCGCTACCATCATCACCGCTACTACGGGAACCCAGAGCGAAGAACAACCGGCGACGACAAAGCGGCAACTGCTCACACGCGTAAGTGGCGTCACAAGGGCGGGGCGGGGTGGCGAACCGTCCCGGGTGCAGCGCTCAGGGGATGCAGCTGGGCAGTAAAAGGGGAAGGGGGGCGGGGTCGCGGCGGATCAAGAGAGCGGGGGAAGGGATCACGGCGGGCTACCACCCCAGGTGCCGCTGACCCTGGTGACGCCACTACGCCCGCATTCCACCACGCCGCGGCGCAACACCTCCTAGTTAACAAAGCCGGTGCGCTGAATAAGATGACGTCATCAAAGAAGGTCAACATTGGGCCCAGATTGGACACGACGATTTCGTCAACGTTCGGTTCAAAGTTCAAACTTCTCTAAAGCTAAGCGCTGACGCGGCACTCGTTTCCACTCTCTGTCCAGCGTTGGCCTTCTCTGATAACGCGATCTCATTCAGCCCTAAGGCTTATTTTATCTGGGGGATGTTGCGCTTCGCCTCCTCCCCTCTGGCGCCGCGCCACCTGTGCTCGTGATTTTGACGAAAACCGAAGGGCTCGTTTCGACGAAGACCCGGCGGTGTCATTCAGCTTGTAAGTTACAGGGGAAGAGAAGGAGGAGGAGGGGGAGAGGTTGACGTGTGTTGACGTCAGCGTTTCGGACCAATGGGAGCGTCGTACGCGTCACCCTATCCCCCCCCCTCCTTCTCTCTCTGTCCCTGTGACTGATAAACGAAAGACACCGCCATGTTGTCGTCAAAACGAGCATTCTAGAGCTAACGCATTAAAAAAGTAAGCACATTTGCCGTGGTTGATACGTCACTGGGGCAGTATAATTAAACCTGTTGAATATATATTAAGTTCTATTGATATGCAGCTAGACAATATGTCTTGATTCCAGGAGTACTAATGGGATTTCGTTCAAGAGTTAATGTTCTAGGCAGAACAGATTGGCACTTTTTGTTCCAACCTGTTTAATTTTACAGTGATGATGTCTTACCTTTTCTTGTTTATTTTATTTCTTTCGACATTTTCCTACATTTTGCCGTATCCAATATTCAATATGTTTGCCGTACAATGGCTAATATGACTTGTTATTACCAAAGCGTCATGGAGCATCCCACAAGTGTAGTTGCACGCGCTGTGTACTAGTGGCTGCAGCAGTCACAGTTATAAAGTGAAAACCTCAAACAATGTGCACTCTGTACGTGAGCTCTTCATAAATTTTATGCTGATAAAACTAGCTCGTGGGGCACGTGCATCCACGTTCCCAGCATTCGCATTGGTACTTAGGTAATTTGGCAAAAAGGCCTTTGGCAACCAAATGACTTTTTACTGGTTGTTGTTGTTGTTGTCGTTGTTTTTTGCAGTGGAGCTGCTAAGGGCTAGTTTCCCCAGTATCGTGTCCGTCAGAAAACAAATGATGACACAAAACTCTAGACAGCTACCGCCATCTATGAGCGATGGCGGTAGCTGTCCAGCTTTTCCCATAGCCTCCGAGATCCCGAAGCACGCGCGCGCGAATCTCGGGATCTCGGAGGCCATGCTTTTCCACACTGGCTTGCCGACTTGCGGCCGGCCATTACATCATTCCCACCAGAGTACAGCTTCGCTGGTCTTCCTTTTTCACCAAAATGGAAACGCTGAAGGTTTTTTTTTTTTTTTTTTTTTTTTTATACGACCTTTTTGTCAGCACCTGAGCAAGACGACTTCAAGATCCTTTCTAATTTAAATCTCTCGTAATGTAATCTTCCCCGGAGACTTTTTCTTCCCACTAATTCGTTGTCACCTTTTACCGTAGTGCCCCCTAAAATTCATCAGATCGAGTCCAGCCCCATCAAGGCCATCGACGGTCATCCCGTGAGACTATCCTGCGAGGCCAGCGGAGTTCCCGCCCCGTCCATCAAGTGGTTACGGAGTAATGGAAGCTCTGCAGCAGAGACGAGCAGCGGACGAGCGACGACAGAAGGCGGATTCTTCCTGGACTTCTCCGACGGCGTCCAGATGGAAGACAGAGGTCGCTACATTTGCATGGCGGAAAACGAAGCCGGGGTCGAGCAGGAAGAGGTCTTCTTGGACGTGATTGGTTTGTGCATGCTTTGGAATCTGGCGCTTACTTTTGAACACCTTTGTAGCATTATTAACCATGTATACCCTCTTTTATATGAGCGTGGTTTGAGATCGCCCCGGGCAGCACGCCAGAGGAACACCTAGCATGGCCCAAGTTTGCAAATGTAGGGGCCTGTCGGGTCTAATAAGGTTTTGTTCCAGAACGTTAGGAGCGCCAAAGTAATTTTTTTTCTTTGTGTTGTTGTTGTTTTAGAGCGCAGCTCTTAGGCGCCCGTTTCCGGCTTGAGCGGCGTCGCCGTCGCCGTCGCCGTCGCCGTCGGCGTAACCGCGCGGTGCATTATGGGTAAATTTCCCCGCTAAATCTAGCGGAAAAATTTCCCCGCTAAATTTAGCGGAAAAATTTCCCCGCTCAATCTAGCGGAAACATTTCCCCGTTAAATCGAGCGGAAAAATTTTCCCGCTAAATCTAGCGGAAAAGTTTCCCCGCTAAATCTAGCGGAATATTTTCCCCGCTAAATCTAGCGGAAAAATTTCCCCGCTAAATACAGCGGAATAATTTCCCTGCTAAATCTAACGAAAAACTTTCCCCGCTAAATCCAGCGGAAAAATTTCCCCGCTAAATCTAGCGGAAACATTTCCCCGCTAAATCTAGCGAAAAAATTTCCCCGCTAAATCTTGCGGAAAATTTTCCCCGCTAAATCTAGCGGAAAAATTTATCTTCAGGTCAGGTGACCCCCCGAGGTCACGTGACCCCCGTGGTCACGTGACACCCCCAGGTCACGTGACCCCCACGTGACCTTGGCGAGGGGGTCATGTGACCCCTCCAAGGTCACGTGACCACCCCTCCCCCCCGATAACACTTGAACCTCAGTACCCTTCCCTCCTCCTCCTCAAGAGCTGCGCTCTAATTCGGCGTTACAGGGAGTTGTAAACGGCTTTCATTTTTTCATGTTGTTGTTTTTCTAGGGGGTACATAAATGCCGAAGTGTCAGCCATGAGCCAGAAAGTCCAGGTATCAACCAAACAACCTACAGGGAAGCCGAACTCTGCCACTTGTTTAGCAATTTAAACCCAAAGTTGACAAGGGACGACCAAACAACCAGACTGTGATGCCAAACTCTGCACTTGTTTAACAATTTAGGGCCAAAATACCCAGACTTTAGCCAAAGAATATGAAATTTAATTAACCTCCGGCCTCTTTATGTATATATTAGATGGACTTTCGGGGCCCTAAATTGCAAGACGAGAACCCTATCTTTGTCCAGAAAACTGAGCTACTCGGGACCGTGTTTACCTTTCCCGATTACCAGATTTCTTCAGTCGTAATTTTTAACTTCACTCGAGATTGTCTTTTTTTACACAGATTACGTTTTCGGTTTGTGGTGATTCTTAAAAGATATGCAACATTACGGACAGATGTAAGATCCTGAACAAATGCAACGTCATGGACAGATGTCAGATGTTGCGTAATGGCCAGACGCAGTGCGTCGTGCATCTTTTACACAACGCATTGCATCTGGCCATGACATCTGCATTATGTTTAGCCTACACCAACTAGCCCAGCTTTCAACTTGGGCGTGGAAGTTTACTACATCACGTGACGGGACCACGTGACGGGAAGTCAGTGTCACCTGATACCCCTTCGAAAGACTTTGACGGCGACTTCAGCGGAATAGTTCCAACTCATTATATGGTAAAGAAATATAATTCCGGAAGACTTCAGGTCTTCCGGAATTATATTTCTTTACCATATCATAAGTTGTAACTATTCCGAGTGATATTTGTGACTAATCTGGTTCTTCTTTCTATCTATTTGTTTTCCTGAATACAGCCCCTCCTTCAATCAATCAGTCCGACTGGTCTGGAGTGGACATCCTGGCGATTTCTGGACAGAACACCTCTTTACGGTGCCCGGCCATCGGCAGCCCGCCTCCTGAGATAGAGTGGCTCCGTGACGGACGGTTAGTCCAGCGGGCCGACGCCGCCGCTGCGGAAGAAGAGGAAGCGTTCAGGCCAGCGTCCAGGTTGCAGGTAGACGGCGCACACGGGGAAGTCTTGAAGATACTCAGTGTCCGAGTGGAAGACGCCGGCGAGTATCTTTGCCTGGCGAGGAACGAGGGCGGTACCGTGGATATGAAATACAAGCTTGAAATAGTCGGTGAGTTGTGGTCGTGGTTTCGTAATTAAAACGCACATTTACCAGTGCTTGTGTGGGAGGCAGAGACAGCAGCAACTCGTCTATTTATTTATTTATTTATTTACTCTGAAGGCCCTCAGGGACATTACATGAGAGAATACATCGCACCAATATTTTTTTAAAAAAACAAGCAGCAACACACACACACAGAAAAAGAAAAAGATACAATGCATACATACTATAAAACATTTGGGCGCATACCGGCATTTTCAGCAGTAACTGGATATATGCATAGGGTGACTGAAGTATCGAGGCTGCATTTAACAGGGTTAAATTACAAATAGCGCAAGGACGAGGACAGACGAAGAAGTGGACAGAACAGGCGCTAACTCACAACTGACGGTTTTATATGCAACGTTAAAGAAGAAGGTGAAGGAAGTGTCTGGAGTTGAAAAAAGAAGAAAAAAAACAAGAAAAAATTGGTCTTTTTCTAACCGGGCGCTCTAAGGAGATTGTTAGACTAGAAAGATTAAAACACAGCAGACCAAAACGAAATTAATAAAAATTAAACAAAGGTAATGATTTTGAACTCTATACGAAGCTATTCTGAAGGGTTAGAAAATAACCCCGGACCGTGGGAGACAAATTGAGAATAAAAATATTGGATAAAAATTAATAGAAAAAAAAAAGAGTGATCGTCCAAAGGCCGCCGATCAGTGCCTCGTACAGCTTATTTACCTTTTTACATCAACAGACACCACAGCCAAAGCTATACCGGTGCGAGCGCATAGACCCACCCGGTGCACCACCTCACGCGCTCACGTGCAAGCGTTATTATGTATAGTGGTTCAAGTACTGAACCTCTTTGTTCGTCAACGCCAAAGATGGTGCGGAGACGCATTTTTCTCCATTGGCTTGTATGGTCTGTGCTTCATAGATTTCCCTGTTCCTCTTTTCTTTGAAACGTCCGATCACTTTTGTGTTTGAAAGCAAAGGTGTGCAGGAGCAATCTCGCACATGCATGGCTAAATGTCCAGAAGGTGTTGACTGCAGGGTCAGGGCATGTTCTCTCAGTCGTGTGTTTATGCAACGTCCAGTCTGTCCTATATACACTTTCCCACATGTGAAAGGGATTTCATACACCACTCCGCTGTTGCAGTCGACATACTGGTGCTTGTGGTTTATGTTGCATTCATGATGTTGTTGCTTGACATTGTTGATTTTTGGGCACATTCGTTTTAATTTATCCGGTGCCGATAGGACGGCTTGGACTTCAAACGTGGATGCTATCTTCTTCATGTTGTGCGAAATCTTGTGGATGTAAGGCACCACAGCCGGACGGCGTCTCTTCTCTTTTATTTTTTCTCTTCTTTTGTTCGTTGTCAATAACTTCTCGGCGATGTCAGTCAGTACTGGAAAGGGGTACCCCGAAGCTTTCAAACGAGTCACTTGTAATTCGAAGCTTGACTTTGCTCTGTGCTCACATGACTTGTTTAGCGCCATGCTTAAGCAATTAGACACTATGCCTCGCTTTACAAGTTTGGAATGGGATGAGTCATAGCGCAATAGCCGTTTTTTAGAACGTGGGTGGTACATCCAGCAGGTCTGGTTCTTGTTGAAAGTAATCTGCAGTTCTAAAAACTGTAGGATGCCGTCCGTTGGTACTTCAATGGTAAAGTTGAGCTGTTCAGCTTGTTCCAGAAATGTGGCACGCACACTGTCAATACGATGACTGTCACATTCATCGGGACGAAAAGGGAGGAGGACCAGGTAATCGTCGACATATCGAAAGATACGCGAGACTTGGTTGGTTGATTTATTATGTGTAACCAACTAGCCCGTCAGAATGTTTTAATTTAACAGGGGCCGTAAAAATCAATGCCATCAATTAGTAATCTAAACTTTTCGTCAAAGGTGTATTTCACAGGTGGGTTTTACCTCGTAAAATCACAAAGCGCAGCTCCCCTTCTTCAAAAAATATCGCCAAAAAACTCTCCACGGTCAACGTCGCACGGCGACGCAGACGGTCGAGTCGAGTGGAGTGGCGGGTTTCGTGCACGTATTCATAGATGGCGCTGCCTCCTCTTGTGATCGGTTTGCCTTGCTGCATACCCGACCCGGAGGAATAACACGGAGCCAACGGTTTCAACAACAAGAAACTACATTTAATGGGACATGGACGAGACGATTAACATGGTTACCACCGGTGCCTGAGTCCAGGCAGCGACCCTCTGTGCGCCGCCTCTGATGCGCCTTATCATGGCGGCGCACGCGATGTGCGCGTGGCTGGCGTGACGTCGCCGCCACGCGGGAAAAGTTCGGCACCCTTGCCTCGCAGTCGGGCAACTGGGCTGGGGAGCCGCCAGGGTGCCCACACTCTTTGAGACTCCTTCGGGAGCCATATGTTTACCTTTCTCTCTTCTATTTTTAGGATTTTCGCTTCCGTTCATTTCACAATGTAGCAAACCAGCGCTAGGCGCTGGTTGACATCATTATTTAATAAACGACTACCTCTGTCTCTCTCTCTTCTGGAGCCAGAGTTGCGCATTTGGTTGCGTGTTAATCCCCGTAGCGCCGTCTTTCTTGCACGGCACGTTGATCCTGCTCCTCACGTGACTGAATTCGGCGAATAGCGGCGCCGCGCGTTCGAGGCACGCGGCGCTCAAAAGCTGGGGAACGTACGCAGGGGCGCGTGCAACGTCTACTTGTCTGCGCGGCATTTGATCGGGCTCCTCACGTGATCGGATCTCAGCAAATAGCGTCGTGGCGGCACGTGGAAAACGGACACGCAACAGGAGCATATACAGGAACTCTAGTTGAGACTAAAGTAACTGTATATGCTACGCTTCGAGCAGAGCCTATACAGTTGCTCTAGTTGATGCAAGAGTGGTCGAGACTGTTCACGACGACCGGGGGTTTATTAAAATAAACATAATATTTTTGTAATGTACCAGTCTAAAAACAAATGCGGACAATGACAGAAGAACTGAAAGTAACAGAAATAAAAGAAAACGCGGTTGCATAACAACGGCGCTCTTGCTGCCGACGGATTTCGTTTGCACGTTTTCTGCTTTCTTTCGCTTGTGCGCTACAGGTTGGCACCTGGAGCGCGTCTCCGACTACACAAATGCTTATCTTTGCAGATAATATGATATCGTACACTTGCAGTATCCACTGCAACACAGCCTCCTCATGCACATAACGTAAAGAGGATTACGTTGGTAAAAGAAGCGAAAGATTATAGCAATAAAATGGCGCATCACTACGATGTGTTTAGATGTAACAACAAATGCACTTTGGGAAGACCCTTGAACATGAATACAGCTTTTTATTTCTAGCTTATTTCATGAGCAAGGAAGGTCCTGCAATTCTTTGCAAAAGACCTGCAAATGGAGTTCAAATGAGCAGCAGATTAATATGCCATAAGTTTATTCAAATCCATGACATTTCGATACCAGGCCAGTGTTCTCACTCATCCATATATCAAGTACCTTATCCGGTAAATGCAAACGATTATTGGGTTTTCCAGTGGTACGTTAGTTGGGCCTGCCAACCCTGGCTCTTATCACAGCGCCACCCTTAGTCCATCCACTCCATAACCAGTGTGCAGACTCAGTCGCCTGAGACAGACAGCAGGGGGTCATGCCACCACGTGAATGACTATATTTTCAGCAACAAGAAATATACCGTCATTAGTATTGTATGAGCAAATAATTGGCGCTCGAATAATTATCATCGCGGAACTGCACCTTTTACAAAACTCTGCAAGTACTTCGAAAGTGCACACGAGGTAAAATGAAAATTGATTGAAGGAATAAAAAAAAATGGGCTCGTCCGGGATTTGAACCCGGGACCTCCGCACCCTAAGCGAGAATCATACCCCTAGACCAACGAGCCCGAATGAAAAGCACGAGCTTAGTGGACAGTGTAAATGGTACGACTTAGCGAGACGGTACAATTTATTGGGCCGCAAATATCCGAAGGACATCCGGTTCAGATCCGGACGTCCATGACCCAAACGACCGAAACGGGACATCCAAGGGACTAACGCGGGTCGTGTGATTCTGGTTATAAAGAACGTCCTATTTTATCTGCTCTTGTGGATGTCCTCTCAATGTCCGCTGAGGGATTTTCCCGATCGATCCCGGGCTTGATACCCCCTGGTCGTCTATTGTAACGCAATAAACATCACTTCGCGCTCGCTCGTGCGCGTCTCCGACTGGTGTGTTCACTGTTTAGCGCCCTCGGCTGCCCATGCATCGAGGGTGGTCCGGAAGTGGCAACAAATGACGTCACATAAGCCGGATGTCGGATGTCGCGATCCTGGCGGTTGGTCGTAGAATTGCTTGCGAAAAGCGCGAGAGACCGCGAGTGTCGCTGCCTTTGCGGCGTCCCAACGTGTAGCTGCCGAAACCTCCGTGTACTGTCACACTGGAGACTGACCTGCAGCACAACAGGCGTCTGCCACCCACACCACCGCTGTTGAAACACCGCCAGGATCGCGGCAGGCGACAGCCTGTCACTTCCATGACACCACCAGGCAGAAACCGAAGGACCACTTTTTTGGACGCGGTAAACACTGCATTCGGAGACGTGTTGCACCTTCCGATGCTGCTCCCGACACCACCTATCAATACGAGCGCCAAACGCGCCCAGTCACTCGACCACTCGACTCGGCCGTCTGTGCCGTCGCCAGCCGTTGATCCTAACAAGTTTTTTGGCACTATTTTTTTTTTTTTTTTACAGAAAGGGAGGTACGTTTTGTAGTGTTAAAAGAAAAGACCCACCTGTAAAATAGTCATTTGACTGAAATTAAGGTTGCTACGTGCAGGCGCCGATTTTTACGGAACATTTTAGATCCAGTCTTAGTATTTCAGACACCTTATATATGGGAAAGGACCTATAAGAACATGTGCATAAAACAAAGGACGAGAAGGACAATTAGACTTAGCCAACTCAAGCAAGACAGAGGCTTGCACAACAACCTTCTGTCTTCCTATGTGCAAACTGTTGCGCATTTGTGCGCAGCGCTGCGTCTTCAATAAGGCACCAACCGCCAACTATAAATGAATGCTGATATAATAGATAAACTGTATTCTTAAGTACTGTGCTTTCTGAGCTGAAAGTAACTTAAGTCGTCTGTTAAATCCCTAAGACCTGCCACGCTTCCATAACTTTTATTATCAAGATTACTTTCCTCTGAGAGCTTATCAGAAGGGCGCCCGAAAATATACATAAATATATTTGAACCTTTCCATTTTAGCATCAGATTACTCTTGACATTTATTCTGGTGCGTATGATAGTTTATAGTCACTGACGGGCTTAAGAAACGCAAGGTGTGGCTTATTATTATCACACTTCTCGCTTTTTCATTCGTTCTTCGACCTTCTTTTCGACCACCGCTGCATTTTCATTGGCTGCGAAGCGAGCGCAAGTTCGTCTGCTTCTTTTGCAGAGGTTGCGGTGACGTCAGAACGACGCCCGACTCTGATTGGCTGTGATTGAAGGAGAGGGCGTAGACCTCGAAGCAGCTTGCTTTGAGGTCTGCCCACTATCCTTCCAATCAGAGCCAATCAGAGCTCGGCGTTGTGACGTCACCAGAACCCCCGCAAAAGAAGCAGACGAACTTGCGCTCCGCATAATAAGGTTCTCAAAACTCGCCACGCCTCGAGTTCTTTTTTTTTTTTTAAGTTGTTAGTCATTAAAGTTGTTAAAAGCAAACTTTTGTCGTTTATACTTCAATGAATCGCAGTGCCGCCATACTTTCCGGAAGATCATCCAGAGTTTCCGGCGAGCACCCGGGTCGTGCTGTCGAACCATCCGTTCTCGTTGACGTGCGACGTGGTGGGCGTGCCTTTCCCCACGTTTACGTGGAACAAAGAGGGCGTGCCGTTGCCTCGTGATACCCTGACCAGTGTGAGGGCCAACCGACTGCACGTGTCGTCGGCCAAAGAACACCACTCGGGCTTGTATCATTGCGAGGCCAGCAATGTGGCCGGATCTGCGCAGCAGAGCTACAATGTCACCATTTTGGGTGAGCGAACTGAAACCGTTTTCCTATTTTATTTGTTTGATAAAAAAAATGGCACGGGGACATCTGTTCACGCACGTTTCTATGAGGAAAATGTTTCTGTTGCTGCTGCTGTTGTTGTCGTGCGTGTATGTTTCTTTTTTACCCTCTAGGCACTTCAACGACAGACATCAGTTTCGGACTGAGCGTTTCCTATATTTGCTATATCTAAACTGCCACAGCCTTACAGACCTTTTCCTGAATTTTCCAAGCGCTAAGGAGAATTCTATAAACGTGGGCACACACGCTGCACGTGCTAACCTTCTTTGTACAGAGGATGGGAATGAAATAACCAAAAACAAAGGCGTTACAGAACGCACATGCAAAGTGCCATTTGTTTTAGATTTTCGCTTTCGAACAGTTACTGCTGCAAACGCCAGCACGTGCAGCGGATGTAAGTACATACGTTCCCAGCATTCTCCCTCGTGCCTGGGTAATTCAGCAAATGATCTATTGCGCTCTTTTGTTGGAGGCATTTTTTTCATTAGTAAAAATAAACATATGGCTCCCGTTAGAAAATCGCTGAGCGTAATCAAAAACCACTAAATTAGTAAATTTTAGATCGACTGATCACGTGTGAAGCGCATTGGTGCGTTAAAGTAACAGCCCGTGCTACACACACAAGGCTAGTGGGGTAAAAGCACGGATAAGAAACGAAAAAATATCGTAGGCGTGTCTAAGTTTCATGCATTTTCTGGATCCAGAAAAACGAAACACGCGCCCCAAGTATTTCTACATGTATTTATTGAGTGATTGATTGATTGATTTATACAAATACCTGCTGCACCGTCAGTATGCAGGGGCACATGGATTGCGTACATCATAATAACGATATTCAAAATGCATGCACACACGCAAAAAGAATAATAATAATAATAATAATAATAATAATTTTATTTGCACTTCCAAGGGCGCAGGTGGTGGTGTGCTGGGCTGAACAGATAGGTGAGAACCCTTACGCGGAGCGCCTGTCAGCCCACCACCACCTGCGGGAAAAAAAAAACGAAAAAAAACAACAAAAAAACAATAACTTAAAAGTATGAATAATAAATAAATCTGACCACTGCAGAAAGGAAGGGAGGGGGAGGGTGGAGAAGAGAGAGAGGTAGTATTGATCATGAGGATGCCAATGTTGCCCCATACACCTTCGACAGTTCCTTTGAATCAGTTCTGTTGGTCGGCAAAGGGTTCCGCACATTAGGGGGGAGTCTCAAAAACTCTCTGATGGCTGCTGGGAGCGTCGAAGAAGTGTGGCGCATCGTTCTCCCCCGCAGCTCTTCGGGTTGTCCGGTCCTCCTCCCAACTCGCACAACTGTGGTGAGGTACGAGCCGGTCAAAGAACCGTCCAGGACCCGACAAGCCAGGCTCACGCGGGACACTTGCCGCCGGTGTCGAAGGGGACGCCACCCAAGCGTCTTCAGCCGGTCGCTGTACATTGTGTCCGGCCCGAAGGCACTGCCGCCCACCCTATAGCAGATAGTGCGAGATGCCTTTCGCTGTATGCTCTCGATGCGGTCGACCAGGTGCTGCTGAGGTGGCGACCACACGGAACAACAGTACTCGAGAGTTGGGAGCACCATTGCCGTGTACAGAGTGCGTAGCGCACCTGGCTCGCAGGATTTGGTTACACGTGCGACAAAGCCCAGCATACGCCGGGCCCTGGCGACAACACCAGCGATGTGGGCTGAAAAATCCAGCGTTGGAGAGAACACCACTCCAAGGATGGTGAGCGTCTTGCAAGGCACCAGGTTGGCGCCCATAAGTCTGTAAGCGGGTGGATCAGTTTTCCTGCTGGCACTGAAACGCATCACGCCACTCTTGTTGGGGCTCAGGTGGAGGTGGTTGGCCAGGGCCCAATGCTCCACTTCCTCAAGGTAGTCCTGGAGGTGCTGACAGCTGCTGGGGTCAGAGGCGGGCGACAGGATGGAAGTATCGTCAGCGTACTGGACCACTAGAAGCCTCTCGCTCTGCGGCATGTCATTTACGTATATAAGAAACAAGGTCGGTCCAAGAACCGAGCCTTGCGGTACACCCGACTCAACCTTCCACTCATCAGAGCGAGTGCCCCTATATACTACCTGCTGGCTGCGGTCTGCAACAAAACCACACAGCCACACCAGCAAAGGGCCCCCTATGCCTGCCCCTCCTAATTTCCGCCTCAGGATGATTAGGTTGAGGGTGTCGAAAGCATTCGTTAAGTCCAGCTGCACCAGGTCTGTTGCCACTCGGTTGTCCATGTTGTTGCTGATGTAGTGGGACAGAGTAGCGAGAGCAGTTTCGCAACTCCTGTTTCGTCGAAACCCATGTTGCGATGGCGATATGTGTGAAGTGTTTTCGAGGAAGTCCAGGAGGCATGAGTTGACAACTCTCTCAAAAGTTCGACACACAATTGATGTAATCGACACAGGGCGATAGTTTCGGGGGTCGTTGGAGGGTTTCCCATGTCCTTTGTGAACAGGGGTAACAAGGGCCCGCCGCCAGGACTCTGGCACAGTGCCTTCATCCAGAAGGCCCTGGAAAACCATTGCCAGGGACGGTAGAGCGTGAAGTGAGACCATCTTGAAAAAAGCAGGTGATATTCCATCTGGTCCCTCACCTTGGGTGGGCCTGATTTTACTGATGGCCTCCCGTAGTGACTCAGATGAGAAGGCGATGGAGGAGAGTCCCGTCTGAGAACCACTGTGCATGTGCAGTTGAGGGTGGTCATTCAGCTCGGAGCCATCCAAGCAGTCTGATGTTAACCTAGCGTTAACCGAAGAGAACTGGTCAGCGAAGAGTTTGGCGATTTCCAGCGGTTTGTCTGTGACGTGGTTCTGGTGGGCGAAACAGGGCCGTTGAGATGTTGTTCTCACTCGGCTGATAAACGACCAAAACACTTTGGGGTCATCTTTGGCCTTTCTTGCAATGCCTTGCACATATTTCTGGTGAGCGACATAGATGGAAGTCTTTACTCGACGTTGCTGGTCCTTTGCAAGCTGAAGCGTGGCTGGGCATTTGGTGCGGGCAGCCTTTTTAAATAGGGTCCTCTTAAGTCTGGCGGCTTTGAGAATGTCTCGAGTTATCCAGGGAGAACGTTTCCGCTTTGTACTTTTGGTGGCACACGGTACAGAGTCCCGCTGAATTGCAGCGGCGAAATCGCACCAGAGGTCATAATTGGCCAGTTTGTCCCCGCCACCAGATGTCATGCACCAGGGTGCGATATGGGCAAGCATGGCCAAGTGGCCCAGGTCTGCTTGGTCGTACCTCCATAATTTCCGTGCAAAGTACCCCCTTCGAGGCACAGTCACCGCATAGGCCAGTTCAATAGCACGGTGGTCACTTCCCGGTAAACCGTGGGACACCTCGCACGACATTACCCGTGTTGGGTCGGGCGTAAACACAAGGTCCAGGTAGCTGGATGCACCGCTCCGCGTCGTGTACGTAGGCTCAGAACATACCTGGGCAAAGCCAGCAGTCGTCACGGCGTCAAGTAGGGTGTCATCAGCACAGTCGCAGGGAATGGGGTCATCGTGTGTCAGCCAGTCAACGTGGCAGTTAAAGTCTCCAAACACGAGAATGTTGGTATAATTCTTCTGTGATGCGCTCTGTAGCGATCTGTCGAGCAGCCTGTATGATTGCTCACGCGACGACGGCGGACAATAGACGCAGCATACAAGTATAAGTCCGCGGGGAAGATGGTACTCCACAAAGAGTCCCTCCAAGTCCGGGTGCTCGAGGTCCGTCCGGCGGTTTACACAGAACTGTTGCGGAATCGCCATCAAGACGCCTCCTCCAATACCCTGTCGGTCCCTCCTGATAATGGTGAAGTCGTCGAGGTTAAGAAGCTCGCCGTCCGCTACGCTGGGATCAAGCCAGGTCTCTGTGAGCAGGAAAGTCATGTTTTGTGGAGATGACGCACAGAGAGTTTGAAAGTCCAGCAATTTGTTTTTTAGGCTTCGGCAGTTATTATACCAGAAGCTGGTTGTCTTGTTGATGCCTGCTCGTTGCGCTGTAGGTGACGAGGGATACATATCTATACTTCAGTACAACTCTGTAATCTCTTATAACAAAAAACAACGTCATCAGAAACCGAGAATAGCTCTCCTGAAAGCGAATTCCACTCCATAATAGTTAGAACAAGAAATTATCAGGAAAAACAGTCAGTTCGAAAACAAAACTCTGACACTTTTTTCGACTGATCCAATCTCACAGATACATGATGCTGCTCCAATATATACAAACTTTGTTCAATACCTGTTCGTCCATGATACACTGTGTGAAAATATGTTCAACCTTAAACACCTTCTCCGATTTTTAGGAGTGACAAAACATAATTTAATTTATGTACTACTTGTGTATGGTAGTCTGTAATCTCCTGTCACAAGCTTTAATGCCTGATTCCAAAATATATCTACCTTTTGTACTCTGCTGCGGGTCCCAGTTGACACACCCACATTCTAGAATTTGTCTGATAAATAAATAAATAAATATATATATATATATATATATATATATATATATATATATATATATATATATATATATATATATATATATATATATATATATATATATATATATATATATATATATATATATATATATATATTTATATATATATATATATATATATATATATATATATATATATATAACGTTTGTTTCACGCTACGTGATATATTTGTAAAATTCCTACAAATAAGATACCGGGCGTCACAAAAAAAAAATTTACAGGTTTTTTTTTTATTGCAAAAATAAACTAGGCATCGGAGAACACTCATTCTCCGCCTAAAGGCCTAAAGGGCTAAAGGCGCTAGAGGTCACAACCAGATAAAGCCCCTCTATCCTTTACAACCAGGTGTCAAAGTTTCAGCCCGATCCGATAACTCAATCAAAGCTTATAAGTGATTTTCTGAAAAGTTCAATGGGAAAATGGCGGCCGACGGAGTTCTCGAATACACGGGGCTCTATGGCACCAGAAACCGAAAACTGGCAAAAATGGGCTCCATTTTCTTATTGAAATTTTCGAAAATCACTTATAACTGTTGAATAATATATCGGATAGGTGTGAAACTTTGGCATCTGGTTGTGACCTCTAGCGCTACCTTTGGGCAGAGAATGAGCGTTTGGCGATGCCTAGTTTAATTTTGCGGTAAAAAAGACTGCAAATTTTTTGCTGACACCCTGTGCAACATTTTACTAGCCTTTGCAAGAGTATTAGTCATTCCATTTTTAACTAGAAGAAAGACAGACACTCATGTACTTATAGCTGTCTACACGTTCAAGTATGACATTTTTTCTGTTCATATGCAGTTAGCCAGAAATATACCACGTTGGAAACACATATATCTACACTTTTTTTTTCTATTTAAGCTTATTTTCCAGCTGTCACACCAGCTTTTCAGTAGTTATAAATTGTCATGAAGTACACGAGCATCCGCGTCATGTTCAACTATTCTGTATACCACGCAATCGTCCGAAAATAATTATATATGATATTGTACATTCACAAATATCATTGATAAGTGTAAGAAATAACAAGGAGGGCCGGGCCGTAGCGCGCACCCCTGTGGTACCCCTGAGGTTACTAGAATTGACGAAGATTTCTGGCCTTTCTTTACAACACTTTGTTCACGACCGGACAAATACAGTAATCAGTAACCCAATTGACGATTTTGTGGTGGATACCTATAGGGATATAAGTTTTCTAATAATAAATAATGCGGCACAGTTGCGACTGATTTCGTGGCTTCCGACTATGCCCATCAAGTTTCTAATTAAAATTATGTCATTTTCCCTAATAAAATCACTAATTAGTAAATATTAGTTCGTAACTTAGATCATTTGTGTGTATTTTGCAGTCTCTGACGTGAACCGTGGCTGGCAATTTGTTCCCGAAAATATTTTTTTTAACCACCGTATTTAGGCATTTCTTAGTCTTCATTGAAACACCCGCTATAGGCATTGTATTGTCTTAGGTTCAGTGCTTTTAAAGGGAAGCTGAAGAGACACTTGAAGGAAAAAAAAACGATTAGAGGTGAATCCTAGTGTAGTTTTGTACTGTGAATTTGAATATCACAAGCATTTGACCCGAACGTGTTACCAGGACGTGAAAAACCGAAAAACCAACAACTGGGTATGACTAAGGCCTGACGTCATACCCAGAGGCTTCAACTACCTTGCGTGTGCCGCTTGTGAGGAAACGCGTGGAGAGTTTCTGACTGCTCGGGTAAGGCTTGAGGAAGGCGTGGAAATGTTCACGATTTTCTCCTCCCACCGAATCGCCGGGAAGGAGTGGCTCGTGGCCAAGCACTGCGATGAAGAGAATAGTTGAACTCTAAGGATGCCTGGAGCTCAGCACGCGTGTTCTACTTTGCCAACCCCAGCGCCTGACTATTATTAACGTTGGCGGCATAGGATAGGCGCTAGGTAACTTGGCTGCTTGTTCGGGCTCCGAGTTGAGGGGTTGAACGATACTCATATTTCTCGAATTTTTTTGGCAACTGCCATTGTCTAGAAATAACAAAATAAGGAAAGTTTATTTTGTTATCAACGTTAGAGAGTGATTCTAAGTAGTATATTTAGCGAAAGTAGAAAATAATTATATAAAGTTGTTCAGCAGTACTTCAGGGGTTTCGAGGCTCTCCCTCTTTTCTGGTTTATTGTCGAAAGCGTTGAATATCTTATTTTTTCATTATCGTTTATAATTGAACTTGTCTTATTTTCACATTTCTGTAGAGCCACCCAGGATATTTGGCAGTCAACTTCCGATGCTGATAACCTCAGTCGTTGGAGAACCTACCATGTTCGAGTGCCCCGCCAGAGGATTTCCGCTGCCGAGCATTTCGTGGGCGAAGGAGTCAGTCGCTCTCGATAGCTCTCCAAAAAATGGGACCTTGCTGATTGAGGAGACGCAAACGAGCGACGCCGGGACTTACGCGTGCACCGCCACAAACAGCGCGGGAATAGCCAGCCAAGAGTTTGTGCTGACTGTGCATGGTACGCCTATCTCGTCTCTTATCTGTTGTTCTACATGGGACATGGGAGTTCTTTTTTCAAGCTGTACCATTCACCCGATTAAATTTCCTCTCGTTTTAACAAGGCAAATGCTTCTGACAAAGCATTTCACCAATTATTTATTTAGTTCATAGATTTAGAGGGCTCTGGCGACTTTGTATTTGAGAAAAAAAATCGTAATTTGTCATAGAACTTTTACACTGTATAGACCAACTTAACTCACTGACGTCACGCTACTGCGGTGGCGCTGCTGTCGGTACTGCGGATGCGCAAACACTATACTCTTCTCGAGTTTGGTTTCTGTGCACGCTCAGTGCCCACAGCTGGTGTGGGTAAAGCAGGCTCCTCTGGAAACACTGTGTTGGAGTACACTTAAAATATGTTGCTTCCTTTTTTTTCACTTAGGTTTTTAATTATAATTTGAGTAAAACTTTTGCAACGTTTTTGTTTCGTTTTTCTTTTTGCATCGCTGTGGTATTGTTATAGAAAACAAAAACGTTAATCTAAGTAAATTATGCGGGTTTTTTTTGTTTGTTTGTTATATGTTATAAAGGAAAAGTCGTTTTTCCACTAAGGACATAAGTCCTTGACCTCCAGACTTCACTTTTCGAACAAGAAATATATTGTTTGTTTTGAAGATCCCGATTAAAAAAATATATACCCATCACTTCTACCGTACCTTAACGATGCAGGCGAGTTGGTTCATGACTAAATCGGAAAAAAAAAACGCCGCAACAAACACAAGGACGAGTAGAAGAAGTAGACGGGACGAGCGCTCGTCCCGTCCACTTCTACTTGTCTGAAGGGTACATGATGGCTAAGACTCAGTTTAATTCAAATTCACGTAAACTTCGCGGCATTTTCTTAACGGGACCGCAGTTCCGCCCAAAATAAGGGACCTTCCTGGAACGATGGACGTGGTGTCTGGCAAGCCCCTGGTGTTGGAATGTGTGTCGGACGGCTTTCCTCGGCCCAATTTGACCTGGCACGGCCCCGTCATAGCCGAAGCTGTGCACGAGCACGGACTGCTACGCATCGCTAATATTGGAAAGGAACATGCTGGGAACTACACCTGTACGGCGGCGAGTGAAGCCGGTACCGATTTTAAGACGACAGTCCTGAGTGTTCTCAGTAAGTGATTCGTTTGATATTCACCTCCACACTTGAATGTGTTCCCACAATGGTAAAGAACTGTCCGCGAAAAGAGTGTTTTTTTGTTGTTGTTTTTTTTCTCTTTTAGAATACCACAACTGACGATGCTCGTGGTTTTTCGATAATCTTGTTATCTCAAGTTACCTCAAGATTTCCGCATCTTTAGTGAGATTTTACTGTTCGTTGTATTCTCGTACGTTCCAGGCTTGAATCTCACACAAGCCAAATTTACGAACTAGAGTACTCAAGATACCTCTAACGCTTTGAGTGCGCGGTACAGAGCTTAAAACAGTTGCATCTAAATGAAGTGCACTTTCGCAAGACGAACCCCAGCACACGCGTCCAAACTTCCATTATGAAGCTGCAGTCGCTTCAGTGGTGGAACGCGATGATAACCTTATCGTCTGCGTTCCGCCATTGCTAGCTTTGCGCCTGCTTCACGAGTGGTAACTTTGGCGCGCCCCCGAGTTTCCCGCGAGCTTCAAGTTGTTTTAAAAGAGTTGATTTAGTGGTTTTCGATGACGCTTATGAAGTTTCTAATTGAAACCATATGTCTATTTTTACTAATTAAAAAGTTACTTGACGAATTTCAATTACTTAACCGACTTATGGCAAAGATTAGTCACCCACATAATGTCTCCCTGGCCGTATAACTCACCTGCACAAACCGCATAAATGTAACTTTCCCGGATTTTTTTTTAACAAATCTGTAAAGCTTAAAAAAAACACCCTGTATTGTTACGCACTAACGTATTTTTACTGATAAAAACTTCAACTCCACTGTCCTTCTTTAGCGGCTCCCACCATTCAGAAAAGTAGCGAAGACGTCGTGGTGGTGGCAGGCCAGCCTGCCATATTGTGGTGCAACACATCAGGAGACCCTGCACCGCAGGTCACGTGGCACAAAGACAACCGTCACCTTCAAGACGACAGCGATGGTGAGAAAAATAGCTATATCATGCTAAGGTCACTCTCAATTCTTGTCTGGCATGCTTGGGTCAATGGGGTCACAATTTGCGACGTTCCACAATACTACCAAGAGTGTGGGATTTTTGCTTTTTTCTTGGAGGTATATGTTTAAGCCAGCATGAAATGTCTTCATGCATTCATAAAGTATTCTGACTCTGTGTGTGTTTTCCCTCTGAAGCAATGTGGCGTCGTGTAGAGCCTGCTAAATTCCTTTAGAAAAGTTATATTTGATTTTGTTGTTCCCCGTAATAAAAATTAAGATTTCTTACTCGGGTCTAGAATTCTCAAAAACAAACAATTTTAAGGTTGCTCTTTCATTGCGACTACAAATCTGGGCATTTAAATCAGTGGGCAGCTACTAAAAAAGAATCCAGAAACCAGACAGAGACGAAAAGTACAACTGTTTCAAGAGGCGTACCTTTAGTATCTTATAAGTTATATCATGCCGGTATACAACCACTATACTGCATTCTTTGGTTCATTCGGCCTCAAATTAGGAAAACTTCGCTATTAAATTTTATTGTCTTTTTATAGGTGCTTCGTAGCTCCGCCCTTAAAATCTGCTATTCCGATTTCCAGCTTTCGAGATCCTGCCCAATGCCGTGTATATCTACACCGCCAACGTGTCGGACAGCGGCCAGTACGTCTGCACGGTGCAGAACCACGTGGGATCGTCGCAGGCCGTGAGAAACCTGGACGTTTTGGGTACAACCGTTTAGATGAATTGCTCGTTCTCTTCCTCGTATTTATAGTCATAGTCACAGTCATAGTCAGTCATATTTATTTTGGCCGAGGAGAGTCGCGTCGCCGCAGAAAGGCAAGCCGGCCTACCATGAGAGTATGCGGAGAGCAGGTCGTCTGCTTCTTGTACAGGAGTTGCGGGGACGTCAGAAGCTTTAATTGGCTCTGATTGATGGATAGTGGGTAAACCTTAAGCCAGCTTGCTTTGAGGTCCATCAACTATCCTTCAATCAGAGCCACTCAAAGCTCGACGTTCTGACGTCAACACACAGCACCTGCAAAAGCAGCAGACAAACTTTCGCTCCGCATTTGACGTTGCCGGTGATGACGACCCAGCGTTCGTAAGTGCGCAGTTTCTGGATTGCTCATTCTGCCCATCATGTCCCACCAGTGACATTACAAGCTTGTGCTGTAATGTGTGGTTTTTTTTTATGATTGTGATAAGTTTGGAGCCACAATCGAGATTATTAAAACTGAATTCAGTTGTTGCTGCTGTGACAGATTTGAGCGGATCTTTATATATGGTGTCAGCAATAGACCTGTTGCTAAATTACCCAAGCATCAAGGAGAATGCAGGGATTGGTGTTCCATACGCCGCACGAGCTGGCCTCAGCAGTAGTAACCTTTCTAAATCAAATGCCCCGAAAAATTGCTTCTTGCACGAGTGTTTGTCAGCGCACTATTTTTTTTGGTTGTTTACTTCGAATCTTTTGTACGGGGAAGGCGTGCGCGTGTGGCGCGTGGAGCACCAGTCCCTGCATTCTTCTTGATGCTTGGGTAATTTACACCTATTGCTAAATTACCCACGCATCAAGGAGAATGCAGGGATTGGTGTTCCACGCGCCGCACGTGCTGGCCTCAGCAGTAGTAAAATTTCCAAAGCAAAAACCTAAAACAAATTGTATCTTGCACGCGCGTTCGTCAATGCTTTATTTTGGTTATTTATTTCGAATCTTTTATACGGGAAATGCGTGCGCTTGTGGCGCGTGGAACACCAATCCCTGCATTCTCCTTGATGCTTGGGTAATATAGCAAATGGTCTATAGGTCTTTTGAGTATGAGGCAATCATATTAGTCGTTTCGAGAAAACGTTGGCTGTGCAAATGTGTACAGCACGAGGTTCGAGCTTTACGTGTGTCTGCTGTGCGTGTGTCTGCTTGTGCATCCGTACAGGCGTTAGTATATGTGCACGTGTGTGTTCACGTGCATTTGCGTGTTTGTATGTAAAAGCGTAATGCTTGCTGGTACATACGTTTGTTCGTGTTGTGTGCGTAAGCATCCGTTGGCACGCACGAGTGTGCGTGTGCACGCGTGTTTGTGGACGTGTGTGCGTGCGCGCACACGTGCGTGTGCGCGTGCGTGTGTGAATATGGGTGCGTACATGCATGTGTGTATGCACTGCTTGCGGACTAAGCATTAGACTCTAAAAGTAGTATAGCTTCTTATATAAACAAAAAAAAAATTGAAAAATGACCTCGTGAAAGCTTTCAGTCGCGGACATTTCACTAAGAATCCTGAAGAAGCTGCCGCTCTTGGGCAATCTCTGGCTGCTTTTCAAATTTCTTCAACCAGCTTCGGCCACCTTTGCTTTTATTGCGTAATTAAAAATATTATTGATTTAATCAACAGTATTGAGCAGGATTGAGTAAAAAATTATATTTAGAGGCAATGATCACAAACTAGGATTGCTCATTTCTTTTCTTTCTTTTTCTCTCTTTTTTTTTTTTTTTGCTTTATTTTTGTAAGAAGTAAAGCTATTTTTCTCTAGCAATCAATTAATGTTCGATCGACCAGCGTTGAACATGCCATTTCATCCAGTCCGACTTTGGACTATTATTTTTTTTTTTAATCCCAATTTGACAATGTCAATTTTACTCGTTGCATGTCTTAAAATATTTGTATGTCTGTGACTTTCGCGGTCTTCTTTTTGGAACTTTCGCTCGGCCAGTTCTGGGCTTGCCTTTTTGTCCCCGGTCTCTCTTCAATGAGCTCGGACTTGGAGTGGCTTTAAAAAACTCTTTTTTTTTTTTTGCCTTTTTTGCTTACTTGAATCCCGTTTGCACCCGTATGAAGTCTACAAGCCTCTTTTAGCCGTGCGTCCACGGGCTAGTAACGAGATCTAAAACTTGCACCATCATCAGTGAAACAACAACACTACACTCGTAAGATCGCAACTTGAATACGCGTCATCCATCTGGTCCCCTTGGCAAACATGCATTGATAACAAACATATAGAGGCACTACAAAATCGCGCAATTACATTCTTTTTTTTTTTCGGATTACTCACGAGACGCCAGCATCACTTCTTTACGAATGAAAGCTAACTTTGATCTGCTCTCATCGAGAATAAAATTATCAAGCTTGTATCCTTTTCACAATATTTACTATCATAATCATGACATCAGAACTTCACTATTATTCACAGCCACTAGCATATTTCCTCTCATTAATAACGTCTGCAAAGTTCGTCCAATTTTCGCCTCGTCTGTTTTGTTTCTTGACTCCCACCTTGCCATTAACAATAAAAGACTGCCTAACAGTATCGCGACCCAGACAGATCATAACACATTCATATCCCAACTGACCATTCATCTGCAGCTGCACTAATAGCAAAGTCATTTCGTGTTTATAGAAATGTTTTATATATGTATGTTTCTGTTTAATCAGCTGTATTTCCATAAATATGTTTTCAATGTTTATTTTTTCTTGTTTTTGTTGCTTTATATAACAATGTAACCCACCTTTTGTTTGCTCCTTTATATCATGTTTTTTTTTGTTTTTGTTTTTTTTTTGCAGATACCCCCACTTTGTGTAATGGCCGTAAGGGCCTTCAAGGTTTAGTAAATGATGATGATGATGATTATCCAGAACCTCATTGAAAATGACCTCAGGTTCTCCTTAATTCTCTACGCTGATTCAACGCGTTGCTATTCCTTCCCAGATCCTCCGGCGATCACCGTGTTCTACCCAGAAGAGCGCACTGTGGTGCAGGGCAGTGAAGTGTCCCTCGTCTGTCAGGCTAGAGGCCACCCGAAACCGACTGTGTACTGGGAGCACAATGGCAATCTCATCAGCAATCAGGAAGCGAGGTGCTCGCAAAACTCAATTTGTTTTCTCGTAGCTGTATCTACACGTCATTGAGCTTACATTTGCTTATTCATGCTGCCGAAAAGTTTTGTTTGTCACAATGAAGGCTCTGCTTCCATTTTATTCAGCCTGAACCATAGGTACATTTTTGTGACCGGAGGTGAACTCAAGATACCCGTTGCCGAAGTCAAAGAGGCGGGGGAATACAGGTGCACTGCCAAAAATCAGGCTGGCTGGGATACCCGAACGACAACGGTCACTGTTCACGGTAAGTGGTGCTTTTATTAGATATATTCTACTTTGAAAACATTAGCTCTTTAATATATTTGAGTTGGGGAAAATGGCACCTTTACGCATATTCATGACACCTGAAACTTTGCTTCATTGATTGGATCACGCGATTACTTCGTGTTCTAAAGTTAACTTGGAGACAAAGAGACATGATGTGTGTTATGTGTAACATAGGGCACGATGACGTAGTACTGGAATTATTACTTAGCTCCACGTCGGTTTCTTTTCTATCTTTGATTTTTAGAATGTTAACTGTGCTCATTGACAAGACGAGAACGGCAGGAAGGTCTTCCAGTTCTTCCACCTCCAGCGCCAGCTTCCTATTTTCAGTGACACTTCGACGTCTCGTGAGCTTCGAGCGTGCGCGCACAGCCGAAGCACGGCGGAAGGCAAGGAACACGTACTGAAGGCAGGGCTTCGAAAAAGGCGCTCGCTAGGCAGCCTTCAGAACGAGAGAATAGCTACCAAAACATCCGATGTTTCGTCGGGACATATATCCTTCTTTTTTCTCTGTTATCTACAGTTCCGCCGACAATATTGAGAGAAGGCCAGGAGGAAGAGCTGACAATTCAGAGGGGAGGCCAGGCTGTGCTGCGCTGCAAGGCAGACGGGTTCCCTCTTCCAACCATCTTGTGGACGAGAGAGGGAGACCCCATCTCAAACCCCAGAGCTCGCACAGAAGCCTCCGGGGATCTGATCATCGACTCCGCCGAGGTGAACCTTTACCTTTGCCGTTGGTAGGGACAATACATATCAGTTACGTCAGCAGATGAGATTCTTTGAATACCCTGGAGGTTTGTTGGTTAATGTTTCCTATGCATTCGCAACTCGATCTTACGACCATATGTGTGTAAGTGTACAAATGAAGTATGCGACTTTTGCGGTCAACATTTCAAAATGTTTTACCAATGATGCGAAAAACAACGTTCAAAATGAAATTGCTTTAGGTTCCAAAGCATTGTCATTCAAATGCTTCCCAATCAAATAGTCTTCCATTTGGCACCACAGAAGTGACTCATGAAATAGTTGGAGTGTTATATTAACAAGTTGTACATCCCTTACTCAAATAATACAGTGTTTTTATTTTGTTCGTCTTACGAAACTCAAAAGGTAGCTCACCTCTGATGTCAGACACAAAAATATTACTGTGACGGTTGGTGTTTTTCTTTTTCTTGCTGCGCAGCTTGACGATAGCGGCAGTTATGTATGCGTGGCGACGAACGCGGCAGGTGTGCACCACAGAGTGGTATCGCTGGCCGTGCTAGTGCCTCCCAGCATCAGCCGACTTCCCCGAGACCAGGAAGTGGCCATAGGACAGCCCCTTGAGCTTTTCTGCCAGGCACATGGCTCCCCCGTACCCACCATTACCTGGACGGTCAACGACACTGTGATCACTGGTAGGCATACGTGGTACACAGATGCCATGAAAAATACCAAAAATGATTATATATCTAAACGGACTAACTTAAATCTGAGTTACGGCGAAAAAACAAAATTTGCATTAAACTTACACCCCAAATATTAAAAAGAAGTTGCCATTATAACATTTAAGCAAACAAAAACTTAGTTAACACCTAGTCACGTAAGTTAACCTACGTCAACGCCATGTCAGGTCAAAAATGACAAAACATGGCAAGGAAGTAATCGCCCACTTAACCAGAGAAGCTTATCTCTCTTCAGCAGAGTCAACATTGTGTTGCCTCTTCGAGAAACCCGTGAAGTTGAAGAAAAAAAAATGCTTCCAGGTCGCAAAGAAGAAACATCAGAGGGCGTCAGTGTTCTAGCACTTGACTCCGTGTCTCAGCTGGATCAAGGAACCTATGTCTGCGTGGCGGCAAACAATGTTGGACAGCATAAAGCCTCCGCTGATGTCAAGGTCAGGGGTAAGCCTTAGAAAAAGCATTGATAATTGTTATCTCAAAGCTGTATATAAAGTGTTATCACCAAGTGCCGAGCCGGCAATTGTCTCTTTCACTTGTCTGCTAGGCAAAAAAAAAATATATATATATATTACAGATAAGAAATTAACCAGTAAAAGGATTTAAAGGATTTGATCACTAACACCTTTCTAGTTACATTGAAGACGACCTCTTCTGTAAAAGTTAATAAAAATAACTTTCTAGAAAACAATTGTATATATTTTTAACGTCCAGTACCTCCGAGGATTCTAGAAGCTCCTGCAGCCCAAGAAACCCACGAAGGTCACAGAGCAATGCTGCACTGCGTTGCTCAAGGAGATCCCCCGCCTAAGGTCTTCTGGCTCAAAGACGGCCACCAGGTGCTAACAGTGAACAGTCATGTCCAGCAGTTCCCAAATGGCTCCATTCTCATCAGTCCCACAAAGGTGATTACCCTATTTATGGTTGAATGAGTACGGCTCAGAAATTGCTCACGAGAATGGTGATACCATACGCCACAATCCTTCGAATATTTTTGTTTTTCATCTACTATATTCTTATGTGTTTAAGGCAAACCGCCAGCAATACCCTTTCCAGAAATATTTGGTATCTATAGCCCAAACTCTGTACACCGCAAGACTTGACAAATTTAATTAAGCATGAAAATGGACAGCTTGTCCGAATATTAAATATATTTTGTGTTCAGCCTGGGAAAACAATTGTCTGGCCGGCCACGATGTATACCATAATTTCAGCCTAAAGTATAAATTATTAGAAATAACAGGGAACATACAGGTGATCTAGTGTACTTTCAACCTCTTGGAAACATGAGATCAGACACAAAAAGAAGGACGATACATGTGTCGTCCCTCTTTATGTTATAAATTATTAGTCAATTTTCGGCGCACCAAATTTTAAGAGCGTAAAGCGCTATGTGATATCAAAATGGTAAATAAATTTTCTATCATTCCGAACAGTGTGTTAAGTCAATCATAGCCATGAAAACAGCTACTATCCAGAAATTCCTCTAGGTCTTTCATTTTTTGTTGTTATTTCATGGTTTGATTAAATTTGCCTTTGAACTTTATTCCTAAACATTTCTGGTCACTTTAATACTTGTTTTCAGTGCACTGCAGACACCAATTTTCCATCATTGTTCATTTAAAGTTCCTGTTAACTGTAATGTATTGTTGAATAAACTACCATTCTTTCTTTCCTCAGGCAAATGATACCGGTGAATACCGATGCCTGGCAACCAACAAGTTCGGGGTCTCCGAGGCAGGTGCTGCCGTCACCATACTCACGCCCCCTAGCTTTACAATAAAACCACAGGACACCTTGGTTGAGAATGGGTCCACTCTGGCCCTCGATTGCTCTGCCCGAGGGATCCCACCCCCTGAACAAAGCTGGTCGAAGTTGGGCCATGTAATCATGCTGGCTTCTAACAGGGTCGCCCTGCTGACCAACGGAACGCTTAGAATTCATATGGTAAACGAAGCAGACGAAGGTCTGTACCAATGCAAGTCACGCAGCAAGGCAGGGGTAGCCACCGCAAACGTCCAGGTCAAGGTCAAAGGTAAGGCGAAGGGATATCTCGCTTTCTTTACTCCCTTTTTTAAATGAATTGAATATTTGGTTCGACAGACGAGGAACAAGGCTTGGCACCTATAGACCATTTTAATATTTGCCTTCTAGAAGTTGCCACCTTTGTTTACTGGGCTGCGTAACACGTTGTGGCATGCGCAGTAGCCCCCTTCTGCGACATATAACACGCCGCGCATGCTTCCAAGTTCCACCGACAGCTTGAAAATCGCAGTGGGGCTTAATATGTAAATTTATTATTTGTCCTTCGGCGGTCTTATCGGCTAACACCGCAATGTCATTGGTTGCATAATAAGACGGCCAGGTCTCGCCACGCCCTGCATTTCTTGAGATGTCCGTGAATATGCAGATCGCAAGTTCGTCTGCTTCTTACGCACGCCACTCGTGTTATTACCAATCTTGCGCAGGGATTGTGGTGACGTCAGAACGCCGAGCTCTGATTGGCTTTGATTGGAAAGTAAGTGGGCAGACCTTAAGGCAGCTAGCACTGAGGTCTACCCACTATACTTCCAGCAAGAGCCAATTAGAGCTTGCCTTTCTGGCACCCCCGCAACCCCTGCGCAAGTAGCAGACGAACTTTCGCTCCGCATAGGCATGTTTTCGCCCGAGTGATAAGCGGTGAAAAGGTTTACACAGACCCTTTGTAATTCGACCAATCTAAACTAAAACAGCGAAAGAATAGCAGAGGTCGCGCATGAAGACGCTTTGTTACTCTATAGTGGCAGGTGGCTGGTCCTCCTGGTCACCCTGGGGAAACTGCAGCTCTCTTTGTGGTGGCTACCGTTCTCGGAGTCGTCGTTGTGACAGCCCTGCGCCACGCAACAATGGTTTGCAGTGCCTAGGCGAAGCTTCCGAGGTTGCGCCTTGCCTCGACTGCCCTGGTGAGCTCAAATCGTCTCCTGGTGTTGCATGCTTGTATGTTAAGAAGAAAAAAAAAACTGTGGCCTCTAAATCTCTAGCAATATCGAGTCAATTTGCAAATGTCCAGTGCTTGGCTTGTGGCCTTTACAAAATCATCATCATCGTCATCATCATCATCATCATGATTTATTTTCCTTGAAGACCCAAAGGGTATCATTATACAGGGGGTGAGTATACTTATATACAAAATAACACTCCACACAACTTGAGCAAACGCTAAGGGGTTGTGGGTAGTGGCAAGGGTAGTGGCAGCTGCAAATGTGTAATTGTTATTAATGGAAACAATGTGGGCAGGAAGCGCGTTCCAGTCTTTCATAACCAATGGTAGTGCAGACATTTGATAAGAAACTGTGGATGATGAAATTTAACATAATTTACGAGAATGGTCAAGACGAGGGAACATTCGGTAGTTCAGGTGATTGCAAACATTCGTTGAGATGCTTGTTGTGATAAAAGGTTCTATAAGGAAGGGAGAGGCAGGACACACTCCGGCGGATAGAAAGTGTGTCCAGGGCTTATTATTGCAAAACATATTTTAGTCGTTATTGGAATTTTTAAATTCGTTATTATATAACGAAGTTATAAATTCGTTATCAACGTTAAACATTATTATTGCAACTCATATTGTCTATAAGACTATTTGGAAATTAGTATCAAATTTAAAACTCGCAATATTTTTTGAAGCACACTCAGTATTGAACGTTTGAATTTGGTTAAAGCGGAGTCTAACACTAGCTGAGACAACCAAAAATTAACAAAATGTTGTCACTTGTAGCGGAGTTTCCAAAGTATCACAAAAAATCGTTTTTTTTTTTTTGTTTTTTTTTTGTAAGTCAAGTTGTAATTAACAAATTTAAAACTGACCTGCAAGCAGAAAGCAAGAACCCCAACCCCGCGTTTTCAGTTTTTCTCTTCACCGTTTCTCTCACAACAAGAAATTAAGAAACCACACTAATTTTTTAATTCTCTCCTCTTTCCGAGCACATTTCTTGCCTGTATTCCACAGCACTGTTTCTCAGATTTCGTCGCGTTAGATTACAGTACGAATTTTAAAAAAAAAAATTAAAATTAATCCAGGCACTTGTGTGAGGACGACGTATGTTTTCTTTTTTCTTTGGGGGGAGGAGGGGGTCATTAACTCTTCCACAGAAATTTTCACTTATTTATGTTGTCACCCGAAACAAAACAACATTATCTAGGAGAAGGCGTTGGCACACTACATCGATGTACATCGAGCCCACATTAATGCAGTGAGGTCAAAAGCTGGGCATTACACCCAGAAGAGGGCTATTAGTGCACCAGTCGCAGTGATCGGAGGCTGGGAAAGTGGTCCAACTGGAGTAGCTGTAGCGCCAAGGGATTCGGGAGAGAGTTCGCCGCTGCGACAACCGAAGCCAGGGTTCTGAAGGACTCCCGTGCGTTGGACAATCCCAAGAGGTCATAGCTTGCTTATTTCATGAGTGTTTCGGTGAACATTAACTCGCTACGCCTATTGTACCTACGCAGGAATCATACAGTGATGTAGTGGCATAACCAACTTTAAAAGATTATGTCACTAAAATTCTTCACGTAGGAGATGGAAATGTTTTGCATACAGAAAGCAATATGAAGCTCAGTCTCCTTTGCATGTTTGTGAAAAGTATTGCACCTTTGCAGGAATGACACAGTGCTGCAATGGAAAAACCAGTTTTAAGAGATTGTCTCAAAAAAAATTCTTGACGTAGGAGATGGAAATTTTTTGCATATAAAAAGCAAAATGATGCTCAGTTTCCATCGCATGTTTGTGACAAGTTGTCGAAAACATACACCATTACCAAATGTTTGTGAATTCCCCGCCATCTGTATTTCTCGCAACGTTCTTCAACGTGGAACTACCAAAGGTAATGAATTCGCTCGGTAGCCACGCCAAGGAGTTAAAGAAAGTTGAGGTGTTCGAACGGGCAGATCATAAGATGATATTTCTATTGGCAGGCTGTAGGATCCTCTTGACGGTTGAAGGAAAACAAAACGACGCGAGGAACGCACCAGGATCGATTCTTCGACCTATGTTGCCATGACACTTTTCTCTTACGGTGTTCTGAACTCTCTTGTGCGAACGTTCCAAACAAAATGAAAGCTAAAGTTGGGTTGGAACTTTTGAAAGACACACCCAGAATTTTAAATATTTTTGGAATAATCATGATCCGGCTGAATAGAAGAGTATAGTTATCAGCTCCAACGTTTTTGTCTGTAAGCTGTGGAAAGGGCTGCGCGGGAAGATAATTGCAAACGAAGGTGCCAATTCTGATCATTAGAAACGAAAAGTGCCAATTGTAGTCGCCTTTGTTTAACGGAGACAGCCTTTATTGCAACTATTGCAACAACGATGGTCTGTTGACAAGGGATCTTCGATTCTGGCCCATTGCCGTTTGGCAATGCTCATCAAAATTAAAGGGTCGGCAACGTTTATTTCATTTTATCTCTGCGCGTGCCTTTATAACCTCGAGCTTAAATATTTTTTTTATTTGTTTTTTTATATTATAAAATCACGGGCATTATTTTTGGCTCAATATATCTGAGAAGTACCGCTTCCAATGATCACACTTTTCTGATTGTTACACTTTTCTGATTGTTGGATTTTTTTTTTTTTTTTTAAACAAAGTGGTGTTCTTGCTTTGCACTCTTCAGCTTCAGTGAACGGAGGCTGGAGTCCCTGGTCCCTCTGGTCCCAGTGCACAGTGTCCTGTGGCGGAGGCACTCGCTCTCGAAGCCGTCTGTGCAATTCTCCAACGCCAGCTTTTGGCGGGAAACCTTGCCAGGGAAACGACATTCAGACAGACTTCTGCAACTCCAATGATTGCCCCGGTAAAAATTGGGGGGAGCCAAAGGATCCAGAATAGTAGTTTATATTTTCGAGATGAACAATTCCTGCACTTTTTTTATGTTTTTTTTTCAATTTTTTTACTTTGTATTTTTAGCTTACTTAGTCTTTTCGCGAGCAAAATTTTTGAATATTATGTACACTGTCGAAGGACATGTGCATGCTCTTAGGATTACTGCGTTGTTTGCCTTTTGCCAAGTCAACGGCTAGGTGAGGAAAGATAGAAAATCAAACTATTCCGCAGGCACATTGTGCTATTTACCTAATATACTTTTGGTAAGTTATCCCACTGCCGTACGTCTCATCTACAGCGTGAACCAGTGTCGTCATGTTTCAAAGGCAGATCGACCACGTGACCTCTTGATTTTCTATAAATTATTGTTATAAACAGTCACTTGACTCACCCGACACAAAATCAGATGCCGCGAGTTGGAGAGAAAGATACGAGTCTTGCTTCTCAAGAGTGCGCACACACGCGACGCGGATGACGCTTCCCCACTTTGCAACTGCGCCGAAGGAGAAGCAGATTCAACGGAGCTCTCTCTATATTTTCGGCTCACCGTCTGTTTCATTCTAAGCCGGAATCAAACTTCATCCTTCGAATCAATATTACGTAATTTCTAACATTTTCCGTATTTTGTGTTCCGAGCTTACTGTGTCAACACCGAATACACCGTCCTGTGGGGACATTGTACTTCCATTCACAGTTGGCGCTAAGTGTGCACTTAATTGCACGCAGTGTAAGAGCTTTCTGAATTTTGGAACCAAAACATTTCCATGAATGCAATGATGGTTTTCCGAAATGGACGCGGAAAAGGAGTTATTAAAAGCAGCGCGATAATGGACGAGGGCCGAGTTGACGCACACAAACCGAGCGCTGTCTGTGTGCTTCTACAGAAACAAAAGGTGTTGAGAAAGATGGTGTTCCCTCTAAAAGAGTGATAAGTAAAGACAGCTAGCATATTTAAGCGCTGACAATCCCCCAAAATTGTGTTGAATACGAAAATGCTTTTTCTTTTTCTTATAGACGCTTTACACACGCGCCAAATTACAGCCGCCATTGCTGACCTTCTCTCGTCTTACCGAGATGCCGAGCAACTGAAACGGTAGTTGCCGATCCTTTACAAAGGCCGATGCTTTAGAGAAAGACCCAATTGAATATAATGTGGCAATAACCTGGCCTACTATGGTAATCATGAAGTGCAATAAACGAAATAAGAGGAAACAAAAACTGAAGGTCAGTTATGGCGGCGCCCATGCACAGCTGCTGCAAAGCGTCTATATGTTTAGTGTTTCAAGGGCGAACGGTGTCCAGTATTGAGGTCGTTCAAATTGACTTGAATACCTTAGGCCTAGCTTACCCGATTGGATTCTGGGGTGACAGTTATTACTTCGACGACACTAGGGGGATTGTTGCTATAAAGGACGAAGATCACTGTGATTAAATTAATTTTTCAGAGGTATTTCGAGACGTTATAGTGTTGTTGTTGTTTTCCTTTCTTTTCTTTTTCTTTTTTTTTTTCTTTTTTTACATAATGGCGTTTCCTGAGACGGGGAAGGCAAATAGGGATAAAACAGTAAGAGAGACGGACAAAAGGGGGACATGCAACGTCTTTTTTTGTCTCATGTTACTGTTTTTTATATCTTTCTGCCACTCCAGTCTCAATGTCTACCATCATCTTCAATTTACACCAAGTCACCTGCACCTTAATTTTGTTTTCGATTGTTTACAAACTAGTTTTTACGCTAACTCTTATTTCAATACTCCTCTTAATTTCTATACACGATTAGATTCGAATGCGCAAGGGGGACATAACCTTTGTGTGCAGTTCACGGCGGATGGTCGGATTGGTCAACCTGGGGCGAGTGTTCGGCTACGTGCGGTAGGCGCCACCGCCGCAGATTCCGCACGTGCTCCAACCCCGAACCATCACATGGAGGTCGCACGTGCGTCGGCACTGACCAGGACGTCAAGCGCTGCGCTCCTAAACCATGCCCCGGTGAGAACTGTTCTTTTGTCTTCTGTCAGCCCTACTCATTTCTTTTCCGGTAGGGAAGGAAATTTTTTTTATATGAGTAGTTTGCTATCATTGGACAGATACTGTACATCCAGTAATCCTGGTGAAAGTTGTATTGATTTATGCATTTGGCTACAAATGTGGGTGGTTAGTTAATTTCACCGTGGTGCCTATAATGATGAGCCTGGTCTATCGAAAAACAAAAAGAAAACAAATCAGAACTGCTGCAATCATTGCCCCAGTGATGCTGAGTGTTGTCTCACTACCGTTTAATAAAAACAGCTTTTTTTTTTTTTTGTCCTGTGTTAGATAGGAACAGAAAAGTAGTAGTTAGACCACTTTGGAATATTTTACTTCTAAGCACTTGCTTATTTTGTCATCTCTCTTATTCAGCCATGCAATAAGCCATGTATGCCGCTGTTTATAAGCTAGGTTACTACCATTATATTGTTGCGAATAACAAAGAGCAGATGAGAGCAAAACTGAAACTTAAAGTTTAAATAACGCATGCCTGTGCCTACAAACAAAAAAGAGAAAAGTACCAGTGGCGTCACTAGGGTCAGCGGCACCCGGGGCGGTGGCCCGCGGCGACACCCCCTTCCCCCCCCCCCCCCCCCCCCCCCCACTCCGCTCGTCGCCGGCCGCCACTCGCCCCCCCCCCCCCCCTCATGACCCGCCGCGACTACCCCCCCCCCCCCCTCCCCGCACCCCGCCTGTGACGCCACTGAGTACAACGTATCTTGAGTCGGCGACGGAGGGGTGACTGTCCTGAAGCACCGCGTTACCGTGGCCCTCATACACGTGGATACATCCAGGGATGTTCTGCACCAGAGCACGCAATGACAACCAAAAAAATGCTGTAAAAAAAAAAAAATTGATTGATAAAAAGAAAACGCCGCGTGGGGTTCAACGTGGCAGCCACGTGCTTGGCCAACTCCGCCACGCTTCACTTTTTTCTTCTTCTTTTGTTGAATCTCCGCCACGCTTTACTTTTTTTTTTTTTCTTTATTGCGAGACAACACCGAATGTCTCTTCACCTTAAAAATGAACTGCAAAAATTTTGCAGCACCTCCTAAACTGGTCTCATCTCGAGCGCAGCTTTACAGGTGCCCAGTCACTCGGGCTTGGGCCACGGAGGGCAAACACACCTTCAACTTGTTTAATATCCGCCGCACTTCACAGTGCGCTGCTCATACATTATACAAAATACAGTGTGCAAACAGGAGTCACCGCAATACCCGTGGTTTGAATGTCGCGTGCCAAGTTTATCCTTGAACTTATTGCCATGAGGAACTCGAAGCACGGATCTCGCAGTGACACGCGTTCGAATTTGTACGCACGCTGTCTTCTGTATGATGTATAAGCAGTGTGACACCAGCTTGGCAGTAAAGAGTATGACGAATGTCCTTTTGTACACTTTTCGATTATGTCTCGCCTCCCGTGCTTGGCTAAAACGACTGCCAGGAACCATATGGTATCATGCCGGAATTTCTTGAGCTCTTCGTTATTGGCATAGTAAACCACTAGACGTTTGTATGACACTATCGCATACAATTTTGTCTTCCAGATTTAAGTAACAGTGGGGACATGTTGGGAGACAAAAAAGCGTTACTGGAACTCCGAGCAAAACCAACTGCTTTTGCTGACAGTGTGGCATGCTCCAAAGGCTATGTGTTGAGACATGGCACCTGTGAAGGTGGGTAGCAGTGTGTAACTCTATTGAAAATGTAATAACATTTTTTTAGAACTATTTGTCGCATTTTGTCATACATGTATTTGCGTTTGGAAACAATCTTGCATCTTTACTTTCATAGTAGCAATTGTACAAATGATGTTATCTCTGGTCTCAGGCACGTATCCAAGAAAAGGGGGGAGGGGGACACACGCCCCTAAAGCCCCTGTATACGGAAAAGTAGCGACATCCTCTGAAGAATGCCGCCTGCTCTCCTGGCGCGATCCAGTCGGCGCTACCGTCGACGCGCGAGTGCGAAAGAGCAAAATATAACAATAAGAGTGTACATGAGGCCCAAGAAGGGAGAAGGAATGCCTATGCTGTCGGAGTGCAGTGCATGCTATGAGTTCATGTCGCCAATCAAATAACGCCGACTGTGTAACGTCACGGCTTTCATCGTCTTTCTTTGAGCACATTCTCGAGGCTGGTAGACCGTGACAGTGCGTTTTTTTGAGCCTGTGTGTATGTATTTTGCGTGTCTTTCAGCCTTTGACTTTGCTCTGACTCAAGTATAGGAAGGCCGTCTGATATCTTGGAGCGATCCAGGCGGCGCTACAATCGACGCGTGGATGTAAAAGAGCAAAACACAAAGATAAAAGGAGTGCGCGTCAGAGGAGAAGGGAGATGATGTCGCTACCTTTCTTATTCAGGGACATTACACCCCCCCCCCCCCCCCCCGAAATCTTCTATTCTGCTGGGGCCATACTCTTACCACTCCCCTTCATACATCATTTTATCATAGGCAGATTCCCTCCCCCCCCCCCCTTTCCCCCCTCCCCGAATCAAAATCCTGGTTTCGTGCCTGTCTAGTGTCATGAAATACATATATTCGGACATCATTGCCTCCAATGACTCATTCCAGTTGCACATGCATCTTTGAAATATTGGAACATCCTGCACAATATCGAAATATAAGTGTGTCAGAATCAGAGGTGTGTGCAAGCTCGAACCAGGAATTATGCATAACTTATACGCCTGACCAGTTCTGCTTTAAGGAAAAGAATGAAGCCCTGCTTTAACAAGATTGTGTGGTGCAGTATTTCACTGAAACTCTCACCGCACAAGGGGATCCGTACTAAGACAGCTTCCTCTTTGGAATGATATGATCGCTGTCTAAAGCCCCACTTTTTGTCCCACAGATTTAAATGAATGTTTGGACGACGATCGATGTCAGCATAAATGTGAGAACCTACAAGGAAGCTACAGATGCACCTGTCCACCAGGGTATAGAATTGCAATTGATGCCTACTCCTGCCAAGGTAAGCAACAGGGCAACAATGGTTGTAGGGGCACAGGCTCCGCCTCTACATGCACCGGGTGCCTTCTGCCAGTTCAGTGTGGTTGCATGAAATACTTTGGCAGCAATGAGGTGGTTTAAGTAGTTTTGTATATATATACTGAGTATGTATTCTTTTGAAGCCAGTTAACATAAGGGTTGCGGCAGTTTAATGCGGCCCAGGGCACACCAAAAACGTCCTCTGTCGCTTCCTCACACAGACTCAAGAACCACACGGCAGTTTTGACCTCAATTGGTGTTAGACAGCAACAAGCGCTTCCAATTGGCATTGTGCAGAGAATGTCTTCACTTTTTGCCTTTCCTTCGCCTGCCCCCCCCCCTCCCCCCCCCCCCCCCCCCCCCGGCCCCCTTTCACTTCGCCACTTGCCGTCCGGCCCTCTCCGTGACGACTCGGCCCACCCGCCTGCCGCTGCAAAAAGGTTGGCGACCCCCGAGTTAACAGGTTACACCATGTCTTTGATGGCGCCAACTGCACTTCCGAATTTCAAATCAGTGCCAGCAAGCAGAGAGCCAAGATCAAAATTTCTGGATAAGGCGTTTTCTAGACTTTGTAATTTGCTAGCTATGCCACCATAGATCAGTGATTTATTCTTGGGGTCCTATGCTACACGGCGTGACCAAGGGACCGGGACAATGCCGTCTGCTGCGATTAGTCAGCGCCTAGCAGCTGACCAATCGCAGCAGACTTGGTCCCTTCATCCCGTATCGTAGGGACCTGAGTGCGCTCTATGGGAAACTAGACGCACGGGCTTTGTTCGTAGCCGAAGCACGTAAGGATTTAGCAAATACGGTACATGGCCCATGTTCTCTGCATTTCGTAGAAGAAATCAGCGCACAAAGATTTGTGAGTAAAACCAAATGGCATTTCAAGGCAGCTCCGTACGAGCAGTCCATTTGCCCTTTCCAGATATTGACGAATGCGAGGACGACGTGAACTGTGGCAGGAACCACATATGCTTCAATTCCAGGGGAAGCTACCAGTGCATGTACGCACCTTGTCCTGACAACTATGTTCGTGACACGGAAGGCAGGTGAGCTACTCTGAAGTTCTGAAGGCCAGCATACCATGCAATCCCGAAAACTGTAATGTCCTTTGTGCCCAGCATTTTTTTTTTACGTCATTACAGGGTAAAGACGCTGAATCACTTGGTCTTGAATAACCTTGCTGTTCAGCAACTCCCCCCCCCCCCCCCCCCCTTTTCTCTTTCCTATCTACGTTCGAAGCAAAAATTCATAAGTTAATGTACAGGTACTTAGAGAATCGTTGACCGGACATTCCGTCTCTCCACATGCTCCTCGGCATGCGCTGGTTCAGATTCTATAAAGGCCACCACACTAAAATCCCTTAGAGTAGAACATAAGTATCAATAATAAAAAAGGTGGCCCTTGTAAATTTTACAAGCATTCTTTATTTAAAAGTCTAGAAGCTTTACAAAAGTAAATTCATGCATACGTAAGATACTAATGCCAGAACTCGGTTGTAACGGTCACGTGGCAGTTGCTGGTTATTGTTCACGCAAACAGGCATGCGAAGGAAGCCACGGTCAAGCTTTGCGAACAATCTTTGAAACTGCCCAGGATTTTAAACTTTTTCCCGCAACGTCATCCGCAGCTCCTGCAGGCTAAGCTGTGGCGACGAGGCTGCCTGCGAACCCAGGGCCCACTTCGCAGACGTCCTCACTTTCAAGACGGTCGCCTTGCCCAGTGGCGTCACTGCGGGCAGAGACGTCGTCCGGCTCTCCGCGCGGGACCATGACTCCGCGCTTCTGGCACACACGCTCTTCACAGTCCTCAGCAACAAAAGGAATGTGCCTTTCGACGTTCGTGTCAGCAAGGGCGTAGGGATCGTTTTTGCGACGGAAGATTTACCAGCGGGCTTTCAGTATCGCATCACGTTGCACGCCACCACCCGCGACGACGCCAACAAGACGGCTCTGTTTGAGACTCGATTTTTCCTCTTTGTCTCCACTTCTCTTTATCCCTACTGAGAAAAGTGTTGGTTGAGCGGTTGAGGAAGTTACGTATCCACCATAGAAATCATCCACAAGTGAGAAAGGAATAAACACGCTTCGTACAGCGGAAGAATGGCTGGCGTATGTATCAAGCAATGAATATATACGAGTCAAAAACTAAGAAAGAAACTCTCTTTTTTACCAGCCTACAGAAATTGAGAAACCATCTGCAAATGGTGAAAACATGATCTAGTGCGACGGTACAGGATGCTGACTTACGTTTCGCAGTATTACTTTCAACGTGGTGAGACTTTCCTTTAGTTCCTTAATCAGAAACTTGGATAAACGCTTGATTTCTAATTAATCCCTAGCATCTCCTATCGCTGCACAAGTGAGGTCGCACTACCTCCAAGTGGTTGACATGGATTCATATGACACATTTTATTTTATGTCTGAGTATAGTTTCATCTATATTTTGGTATAATCGTTTGCTAACGGAAGAAAAAAAAATAAACGTCAGACATCCCCAACTCTGTTGTGAATTAGAGCCACTTGCATTCTCATGACCCATCTGCCTCATAAGAGTCAATGGAAGCAGGGCATTTGCGTGAAGTGCTAAAAGAGAAAGCATTGCGTATCAAAGAAACCTTTATACTCCAACTTGGATTTCTCAGTGTAATGTTGACAGATCTTGCTTATGATTGCTGCACAGAAATCGGTCACAAATTAGTTGGATGTATCAGGTTACTTTATTTACATGCCTACAGTTTTACAAAATATAGTATACTCCATATTCAGATTTCTTACAAAACTATACAGTTGCCGCAAGCTTTTGTGCTCAGATGTACTGTTGCCAAATGCTTCACTTGCAGTCATGCATCCAAGAGAAACCGCCCCTGGTTCAACCTGACATCCCTGAATTAAAGTGTACCTGCAATGTTACAACTTTTAGTGTGTGAAGTCAATTCCTTAAAAATAACCCGTGAAATAACCTTTGTAAGGTGTCAGTGTGTAACAAGTGCAGACATTTGTTGCCAAACTAATTACTGTGTTTATGCTGGTAGTGAAACTCTCTGATGACAAGTGTGTTGAAACAGATCCTTCCATTATTATGTAATGCTACCAAGAAAGGTTTTGCTGTTCCTCCAAAAGCTGACTTCTGATGGCATCTTCTTGGGCCCGAATTTGCTCCTGATCAAGTTCTTCATGACTTGGGTGCCACTGGGCAGCAAGGGCTTGTTCTATGCTCTTGGTGTACACAGTGTGTGAGGGAATACAGCTTTTGTGAACCTGCAAAGACAGTACAAAAGACATATATTAAAGGCTTACCTAGAAGTCCCTTTATGTTGAACATTGCTCCATGTGTCTGTTTGTAATTGCCTATTCATGCATAAATGTAAACAGAAACGCAGGCATCTATTCAGAAGAGCCATAGAAATAACTCGCAAGATAAAATGCTTTTTTTACGATTAACACAAAACCACAACATTTCTATTTGTTTTATTTGAAAACCTCAAGACTAAAAAAAGGCAAATTGGTTGTACCAAAAGTTTAGCCAGTGGGAACTTATTCAACCTTGAGACAGATCAACCTGCATACCTTTGTTGCAGAGGCACAACTTGGCCAGAGCACTACAAACTACTAACCCACACTTCTCCAGTGGTCACATAAGTGCAGAGTGGTAGTTCAATGCCCAACCACACAAAAACCAGCAACAGTAGGACCTGAATTTGTAGCATCTGAACACACAATGCCAGCTTTTGCCACAAATTCTGCTAAGCTGCAATGCAATACTAGCCCTTCCCCACCCACCCACCGAGCCCATTTCTTTAGGACCACGAGCTACGGCACTTTGTTTTGGACATGACAACAAAGCATTGCATACACCCCTTTTTTCTAAAAATATATAATGTTACAGGGTGAGCACTGAATTGTTATATGACACACATATTCTTTATCACAATCATCACTCCAATGAGCTCAAGAAAAAGTCCTATAAAAGATTAAAAAAAACATTTCTTTCTGAAGAAAGTTAATTCCCAAGTCCATTAATACTATGGTCTTTTATTAAGCATTAAGCTCATACACGACTTCCACATGGTATCTGAAAACTTTGTTGTTCTGACATAATCACACATGTGGAGCCGAGACCTCACTCTCACCCCTAAGAAATGGGACTTGAAGTACATGCACATGCTACAAACCTTCCAAGACAGGATGAAGTAAAGAACATTGTCACTAAAAGGCCCACTTAAGAGCTTTTTGTAGAAGCCTGTTTTTGATGGCATATCGTTTGTTGGGCTTTAGTCAATAAAAATTACCAGTTCTAGATGGCAAGATGTCCAGTAAACTCGCAGCAATAAAAATACACAGGCACTATTTTCTTTTTTTTTTTTTTTTTTTTTTTTTGGGGGGGGGGGGTTATTCTTAGGCCCACACCACCTCCATAAAGTTTCATCATTGAAAATAGTTCATTGCATGGAGATTCCGAATGCAACCATTATTTTTCTTTTTATGTGCAAAAACGTTGCATCTTTGGGTGTAGGAGATGTAATAAAGCAATTATTGTTTGAAAACGCCATCCGAAGGCGCCCCCTGGCATATGCTTCAAAGCGCAAAAAGGGGGGCGTGTCACAATCCTTGATTAAATTTTTAATGGGAGAATCGGCCATCTACGAGTGTAACTTCTGACTTTTTAGGATACTCGGAGCACGTAGATTGAGCTATCACCATAAACAGACAATCTCAGAATCCATTTGAGTGTTCCTTTAAAGGGACACTGAACCAAAATTTGTAGCTCACGAAACAAGGCTGGAGCGATAGGCGGGGACGCTGCAAAACCCAAAAACATCACTCATACAGCCATATCTCTAACAGTGGGCCGTATATTTGGAAAAGAAGTGAGCAATTGAACACGAACGATGAGACATCTGATACCCCGATTCTCATTCCCTCTCCTCTTTGCTTCATCCCCTCGAGCAGGAGAAACGAAACGAGGAAAAAAGAAGCAACGCCACTTTCCCTCATCCCTAACTGTTCCAGGAGGATCGTCGCGTCAGTCCTCACTTGATCGCGCCCTTCTTTTCCAAGCATATAGCCATCCAGTTAAGATATTGATGTATGAGTGATGTTAAGAAGTTTCTAGCGTCCCGTTCAACGCTACTGCGGCCTTATTTTGCAAAATTTAAATTTTGGTTCAATATTTTTCAAACGAAATTGAAGTACCTCAAACCAGAAACAGATCTGGGCCAGCTCACTCAAATTAGAAAGCACAAAGCTAGCAGTCACTCCATGATTACTAGTCTTGTGAGCTAACACTCCGCACACTGCTGATAAGCAGGCCAGTGAATGAGATTGTCTCGGCGGCGGTTATATGCACATCGAGTAAGTCAGCCTTAATTCCCCGATAAACGAGAAGCAGCATGCTCCTACCTGTAGGGCTTCAACCAGGTCCATGGCGGAGACCGGTGGCAGTCTGGGACGTGGCGTGGGGTCGCAGGCAACCTCGAGTGCCGCCTCACTCTCCGCCCAGTCGAGGGTGGGCACCATCTCTGGGAGGTGCTCGCCCGTCGAGGACACCGTTGTTGGATGGCTGCACGGCAGCAGGATGCCACTAATCGTCACACACACTCATTTTACAACTCGAGAGCAGAAATCGCAGAATGACAAACAAGATTTGTATATATGTAAAGGGCTTCCGCAGGGTTGTTTTGAAAAAGAAAAAAAAAAGATATATAGATATAAAATTTTCATTTCAAACATTCCACACATCACTGGATAGAGGAAGGTTCAAAGTTCAAATTTCTATGGTCCTCGGGGGAAGGGGGGTTCACTTAACTTGAGCACCATGTGTGTTGCGGTCAAACATCAAAAAGGTAGTACATTTCTTGACATATACAAATCAACTGGTCTCTAGTTACTGATTTCACTGCTTCAACAATTCAGTGTTTCATATCCAGTAGCAGTTATAGACCTTTCCAAAAAGAGCTCTCTGGCCACCGCCATTTTGAGATTGTCGCGACCTTATCAGCTAGAAATTTCTATCATCCACCCGGGTTGTGAGAACCCGGCCAGCGCGACACTCCACCTGCGTTGTAATCGGGGTTCACCGACTTTTCTTGAAATTTCTTACTTTATTTGCCTATTCAGGATGCTTACACTTTTTGTGTTATTTTCCTCTATGAGAACCACAGGACACCGGGGCTCGTAGTCTGTTCAATTTTCGCGGGAAACAAACAAAAGAAAGCTAACGTCGACTGGCTCGCGACGCAGGCCGTTCAACGTTCCTCAAATATTATCTCCGCCGAAATATTCTCCGGAAAGCCCCGCCCTTTGCGGTTTTCGCGAAAAATAGCTGCTCAGGTGAGGGGTAGGGGCCGAAACACACTTGTCCGTCCCTTTGCTTCACTGCAGTGCAAAAAACAAGCTCTCCTCAAAACATGCCCTAAAGGAAGTGCGGATTTTGTCCACTCATCGTGGAGCGACTGTCGCTGACACTGTAGAATGGATATGATGTGTTATTTGAGATCTTTCTCAAATAAACCCTGTTCGGATGACGCAGCATCGTGAGGTAAGCAATACGTTGTTCGATTGATGAGGGCTGTTCAATTCACCGTGGAGTATGTACAATATGCTGTTTGATTGATGAGAGTTGTTCAATTTCGTGTTGTAAACAATGAGTACCCATGCCTTTTGGCCATCTTGTGTGGTCATATATTTCCGACACTTAAGACCTTTGTAGACTGACAAGACTGAGTGTATGGCGTCGTGAAAAATCTGTATAAAAAGAAACATTCCAGTTGCATTTTACTTTGTTCTGCCGTGCACAGATTCACCATAAATGATTTCATTTGCTTTTTGTGCTATAAAACACAAAAGAAACAATAAAATGCAGCAATTTAGCCGCCCCCAGCATCTGGAATTCTGCCTATGCAGGCTACCCCCGCACACTGACGAAAAAACACACAGCCCAGAGCAGTCGTGCAACACTGACATATACTCTCAAGACCAGGGAGGCACGCTGTAAATCGCTTCATGTTAAAGTGTCGCTGGAAAGGTCTATAGGTGGGACAAACACCCTTTCTTATGTACCAATGGACTCTCATTTCACAAACTACAGCGCACAAAAACACCTGTCCTATGGTGTTGCCATTTTCCTATCAACAAGAAACAGCACTTCTGTGTGGCACTGAATGGAACTTCTTGGTGGGCTTTTGAAAGCTTTGCACCTTCCTCTAATCAGTGATGTCTGGAATGTGTTCCTGTCTTTTACAGTTTGTTTTAAACAACTTTTTAAATAGGTCCTTTTTCTTTTTTTTTTTTTAAATAGCCTGGCATATTCGAAGACACACTAAGTTCATAACAGTTCGCAGGTGGATCCCTCTTCTCCTCACAAGGCCACTTTGCAATCGATGGGCACCGAAGAGAGGTTGCCCCTGGAGTCACTCGAAAGCTATGCTCAAACCAGTGGTTCTCAAATGAGGTTCCGCAGACCTGTTGGGGTCCGCGAAGCCCTCACCTCACCTCAACCCTTACCGCACCACCCTCCCCCCCTTTTCTTGAGAAAAAAAATGCTTTTTTTGTTCACCATGGCTAGATAGTACAAGCTACCACCCATTATAAAGGATACAACCGTTACCATCTACCCATCCATTCATCCTTTTACTTGATGCTTCTCATTTCTCATATTTATTATGACAGTAGAGGATGCCCTTTTCACACCGCGATCCCCCTAACCTTTCCCCATTGCTACGGCTGGTCCCCAAGGTGTTGCCCATGCTTGAGAACCATTGCCTCAGACTATCGCCACCCTTTTCTCTTCATTGTCTGGCACTAACATGGAAGCTATTCATTCGTTCGAGTCAATGCAACATTCAATTCCATGCCAGCAGCTCATAGGTGCCGACACCTCTCTTCATAGAACAACGCACCTTGCTGAATGCAGTGACGGATACGAAATCAGACTTTTAGAACTTTAACTACAGAGTAGGAAGATTCTTGCAATATTGTGTTTCGCCGCCATGGTATGTTTTAGCAAGCAAGACGCCGGAAAGGGCTTTTCGCGTTTTTCATCAGGCACAATGGCGGAAGTTAGTGGCAACTGGCAATACTTATTATATGCAACAATGAAGCTGAAGTGATGCACACTGAGTGTACCATATTTAATTGCCTCTAGTCGTACCGTCTGTTTGAGGTATAAAAGTCTGCAGTAAGTACACATAGGGAATAGCAGTTTCCCCAACAAACGTCTTTGAGACAAAAAAAAGGCCGGACATTCCTCCGTCACAGCCAAATTCGAAGGCTTCCGAACGCCTGAACCCACCTGTGGCACTGGAGATTTGAGAGTATCCTCGAGTTGCGCAGGTAAGGGTTGGCCGGGGTACAGCCAAGAGCAAACTGGAAGCGGCCCTCCCTCAGTTTGTAGGCATTCCTCCTACTCAGCACTGCCGTCAGCACTTCCTTTACCTGGTGCTGAAAAGGACGGAAGATGAGACTCGGGGGCACTATAAACGCTCAAAGACATAGGAGAGAAGGCTACGTAGAAACTGTAAAGGTCGGTTTAGACACCTGCGTTTGAGTGCGTTTGACGGCGTTGCGTCGAGAACCGAAAGCGAGTCACCGGCACATCTGTGTTTCGTATGAAGAGTGGAATCCAATTCAAGGAAACATCTTGGCAAGCGATATAAGCAGCAGGAATGTTCTGGTTTCTCGCTGCCGCAATGCAGTCAGACGCAATTAAACGCAACTGTCTCAACCAGGCTTAACTCTTTTCTGCCATTCTCATCTGGTCAGTGGCTATCGCCTCACCTTGACTGCTGTCATGACCAGCTGCACGGCCCTGTCATCCACACTGTCGAGCCCACAGTCCCAGGCAATGACAAACATGCGTCCGTGAACCAAGAGGGCATCTGGTAGGCAGTGCTCCCTCGAGCAGAAGCCGAGGCTCTTGGCACTCTCCGAGGGGTCTCTTGCCTTGGCATGGGGCACGTGCTTGGACGGGACTGCTGGCACAAAACGTTTCTGCAAAGATAACATTGACCTCTGGTTAGATAACCAAAGCACTAGAAGCCAGCGATTAATAGAACCCCCACCAATAACCATAACCCCCCCCCCCCCCCCCCCGGTTAAGCTGGACACCTCATAAAATTCGCTAAGCAAAGTATGAAAACTTTGACCATACAACCCTCAAAACCCCAATAGAGCAAGAATTTTTTTCTGAAGAAACCCCCACTAGCAGTATGGTCTTTCAGAATTCACTCAGCGCATGACACAACAATTGCTCTCATACTAGTTTTCAGCTGATCAAAAACAAGAGCAAAACATGTTTGGCTCCTCGTGGAGCATTGATAACTTCCTCCTTTATGCGGTGAATTAAGATACTTGTATGTGCAATCGAGATTAGACATTTCTTATTTTATAGAATCATGCAAGTTTCAAAATCAAAATGAACCTGTCTTCTTCTACAACCACCAAATCTTGTTGAGAGAGCTACTTTGCACAGCCTAATGCAAAGTAGTTTAAGACTTGCTGTTGTCTTGGGTTGATGAGTGTAAAGACCCCTCAGTAATTCTGTGGCAAGATGATTAAATTAATCAAACAGTTTGATTACAAAAGTGTTTAGGGTGATACTCCATTCATCCCTAAGCTGACAGTGCAGCGGAAGCTATGTGCCCGTTGGACCAGTCATATGTCCATCTTTCGCCACATGATTATGCTCCCTCCTCGTACCCAAGCACAGAATCAGGTGATGAAAGAAAGGCGGTTAACTGGTCCGGCAAGCACGTAGCTCCCACCGCACTGTCAACTTGAGGGTGGATGGAGCATACATCCTCCTCCCCTGCAGTAGTTCCCATGAAGCACAATGCAGAGAGGAAAAGAAAAATGCGGGGAAAACGCACAGCCGCAACTCACTTCGAATGTCACCCGAACTGGTCTGCCTTTGGCTTTTAGCTTGGTCTTCTTCGTCTTGTCACGGTTTTGAGCACTGTCGCCAGAAACCGAGTCACGGCCTGTTGTGCAAACATTTTGCCAATATTTAACGGAGCTGGCCAAAACATGTAGCAATGCGGAGAAACAACTCAATATTTCACCTGTGCATGGGCTTTGGCACTTGTTGAAGAAGGCTAGCAGAAACTCGTTGTGTGCATGAACTAGATGGATAAAAATCAAATTTAGTATAAATTAAAAAAAAAAAAAGATTGCAGTTATTGAGGGAACACTACTAGCATATGAACCTTTAATTGTACTGCTGTCGTTGCTACATATTACAATCAGGAACAGATGTTAATGACTTAGGGAAAGTCCCCAAATCGAAAAAGGTTCAAGCAAGCCTGAACTGACTTTTATCCGAGGTAAAACCCCACTAATGTCGTCTAAGCAACTGAAAAATCCGTCAGGTCCCAACTTTGACCTTAGGACCACTTCAAGTCTAGTGGAGTGGTCTGCAACTGAGCCAACCAGGATTTAGCCGTCAGTAGAGCAAATGAATGTGAACAGTCGACACCTATGTTAAACATGCAAACCATAGGTCTGATGAGCACGCTGAGCCAACACCTGATCAGCTCAGTTGGCAGGGTGCTCTGCTAGTCTTGGAGAGGGTCTAGGACCAAAGTCAGGATAAAGCACATTTTTTTAGCAGCACATTAGTCAACCAGAGGGCGCGAGTTACATTCCACCTCAGGTAAAATTAAGTTTATTGTGTGTATCAGTGAATGAGCTCTATAGCAATCAATTAAGAGTAAAGCTATATGCACGACGTAGTGCAAATCAACCGGAAATGGCTAAACACACAATGCGAACCTTGTTGGGTCTCGTATAAGACAACTCGTCAAAACAAGCATCTGAAGCTGTAGCAAAGCTTAGTGGAAAGGTGTCTGCTTCATATGCAGCAGACCCTGATTCAATCTAAAAAGTGGGCATGCTTTTTTTTTTATGTCAAACTTCTTTTTTTTTTGGTCGAACATTCGGCAATATTTACATTTCTTTTTTACAATTATCACTGAAAAATACAAATGTAGACGAAACTACACTGAACTAAATGGTATGGGACTTCCTTTCCGAAGGGGCAATGGGGGACGGCGTGACTTGGGTTGCCGGCTGGACATCGCGAAGTGGCGTGTAGGGGGGGGCCAGGTGGGTTAATAGTTTTGTAATGAGCAGCCTTAGACTGTCATCACAAAGCAGGGTGAACTCAGGCAAGGGGGTGGGTTAACATGCTCCCCAGTGATACAGGCACCATCCGAAAAGGATGACCCAAAAGGCATGAACTCTCCATGTTGCGCATATACCTATTTCCTGTTAAAGTGCACGAAGTCGTGCGTATAGCAACACGCAGCAACTGCAGACACTGTGAGCAGACGACACGACACACTACTGGAAGTATACATGGCTTACGACCGCCTCCATGGGTTCTGTTTAGGCCTCTAGAACGCAAGACGTAGAGTTTGAACACAAAGATCCTTTGGGTTCTCGCTGATCATTTTTACATGTGACGACACTTCGTAGTGCTGGTTGTTGTTCCTACTTACTGCTTGCTTTGAAGCATGCCTATGCAATAATATTAACGTAGTAAAATAAGTTCGCGACCTCGAAATCAAGAAAAGCCCTCAAGTGGTTACAGGCAGGACCGTACATAACACAGAAACAACACCATCATGACGTTAATGCAACAGGAAAAAATGAACTCTCCCGAGTTAAATAAAGGAACAAACAGACACAGATTGTCTCAAACGTACTCGATTCGCCGCTGAGTATCTTCCTGGCTTCGATGTCGAACTCGTCCTTTGTGAGCTGAAACGCACAAGGGAAAATATTTTCTAAAAAAAACCTTCATCAGCGCTCGTTTGCGCGCGCCCTAATTTTTTGTTAGAAAACATTTCTTTTATGAAGCAAGTCGCTCCTAAAACGTGTCGTTACTCACCTTCTGGCTGAACCAAAGTCTCAGGCAGTTTAAGTATCTACAAGAAAATGAACATGTAAGTGTGAATGAGCGAGCGACCGAACATAGCTATGGTACGACAGATCGGCGTCCGTCAGATCGAACGCACTGCGCTCCGCGATACGTCATTCTAAACAAAAGTTTATTCACGAAAGCAGACTGCTCGTGTTTAGAGCGTAGCTTGACCGGTGAGTTTTAACAAAACAGAAAAACGAACACGTATCACTCACGTTTTAAATCGTTCACCTAAAACTTCAGAAAGTTTCTGTTTGGCTGCCAGGAGTTGGTTCGTGGACGCCGCCATCACGCTTTTACCACAGGAACCGGAAAACCGGAATTCCCCAAACTGCAACCTACCAAAAACGTGTCAAAAATTGTAATTAGACAGGACCTTCAATTTTTATTACGCCCCATATATAACTTACGAAACTTTATGAAACAAAATAAAAATTAGTTGAATCTTTTATTTTTGCTCACTCAAATTTTAACCACAATGTTGCTGACATTTTGTTTGACGTGTTTCTCAATTCTTCTCCTTTTCACTTTTCGCCTGTGTGCGGCTGGGAGGTTAGGATGGCGAATGTTCCAGCGAGGGAAGTTATGAGCACCGCCGAAGATTTAGCGGACCAGGTAAGCGCCCAAAAACCGTCTCAGAACACTTGACGAACCGAGCGTCGTCGACCGCGTGCCCCAGCGCCGGCTTTTCTAGCGGTACGGAACGGGCCGCGCTAGCCCGCACCGATGAGCGGGTGACACGTATTTGGGAAGGATGACTCTACGTGTCACACCTTATCGCACGAGACACGGCACAGAAGCACTCTAGTTCGCAACGTCTAACGAGCACGACATCTTCATAGCACGCGGAAAACTCTGTGCGAGAGTGTAATCAGCGGTTACCTAGCATTGCGTGCTGGAAGTCGCAGAACTGCTGCACGGGGTTTCAAGTTCGCCGTCGATCGCCGGTTTCGCCGACCTTTCGAACCGATATCATCTTCCGTGCTCTGCCAGATCTTTAGATGAGACGCATTTGTGTTTTCTGTGCTCCCGAAATCGGTCAGCCGTATTTCTTCCCCTTCGTCTATTTTGTGTTTGTCAGAGAGGCCTGTTGACGTGCATGAGCTAGCGTAAACAACTAGTGTGGCATATGTGTTTCAGTCAGGTCAATTTAAAGTTGTAACTCGTTTATATTTTTAACGTGATAGAGAGGTGTTGTTTCACGCTCTTTGAACATGACGTCTATCCGCATGGGATGTGCTACGTTATTACGTCACGTAGCTTCCACAGGTGGTTGAGGCCAAAGATGAGAGAAGCACCCACTCTTCCCGGCTAATAGCAGCAAGTTGTAAGCCGTAGCTACGTTGGTATTCAGACATCGCCCACACAGAAAAAAAAAACAAAAAAAAACGTCTTCGGGGACTCTTCACACATAAATTTTATGTAAATATTCGTACCTCAGTTACTCGTTGCCCAAAAGCAGTAAGCTCATTTAGTGGTTTATGTGACAAGGATTAAATTTATCTCTACGCTTCTCTGTGCGATGTGACATATAGTAGCGAGTGTAGCATTCGTCCAACTGATTGTCGTCTTGTGGAGAAGAGAATTTTGCTTCAGAGACTTCCTCCAAGGCCTTTTGACAAAGCTCATTGTCTCAAACACAATAACTCGGTGCCCATGGAAGGTCCCTTCTAGGGATGTGTTCTGCTCAAAACTGTTCTCTATGACAGCACAGCTTTTTCTTTGTAAAAATTTGCACACCAAATTCTAAAATTTTTATTGGGAAATGCCAGGGATGGGCAAAATACGTGCAAATATGTATGAAATACAAATACAAAATACTTTGTCAAAAATGTATTTAACTGCAAATCTAATTAGATTTCTAAAAAAGCATTTAAGTACAAGATACAAATGCAACCAAATGTATTTGGTCTCCTCCAAATGCTTTTCCAAATACATTCCTCAAAATTTGTGTCGGCGACTTCAGGGCACCTGCGACGGGTTTCTGGGTATCTCATTTTAATTTTGCCTCGCACACTCGGGAGTTAGTGTGCTGTCTAGTAATGTAATAGAAATGTTGGACGTAATAGGTGAAAAAAGTACAGAGCTTCAAGCAGCTTTTTTTTGTCTATTACATTTTGGTATAGACCAACAAAGAACCGATACGACTAAGACGCGCAGCACTAGCTAGAGATTTTTTTTTATTGTTGCAACTCGCACCAGTTACGAAAATCTGGACGACCCGCGCATTTAGAATGTTCCAGGCAAAAATATGGATGGAAATCGGGCTGGAAAGCATCGCAAGTTGTCACAGGCACTTATTTAGCCAGTCTGCCTGTGAACGTCGATTTCGTCACTATTCTCGCCCTGGACTAGCGCCATAGTCACGGTCACTAAACGCTTGTGCTTGATTGAGAGACACTTCATTCGGTGCAGAACATAGTTTTCTTCCTGCTCTGGACAGTGACAATAAGTTTGAGGGATGTATTTTCGCCCACAAAATTGTATTTAATTACAATTGTATTTGAAATACCCACATTTTAGTATTTAAATACACACATCAAATACATTACCCAATTTGTAATTAAATACAAATGCAAAATACACAAAGTATTTGAAATACATATTTAAAATACTTGTATTTGAAAAACTGCCCATCCCTGGGAAATGCTTTATCCACATATTGTGATGCAGGTCGCCCTAACATGAGGTCAAGCTTGATCAAAATGTTTGACTTGTTATCATGTAACATCAAACTTGATAACTTAAGCTGGTGCTGCACATAGTGCATACTGGTAAAGTAATACAGCGAGTAAGTTTGTCTGCTCCTTGCACAGTGGCGAGCTCTGGCATTTTCTGCTAGTACCGAGGTCTGTTTTGCCTTTTCTATGACTTTTGGATATCTGCCAGCTCTTTACAAACAAGGACTTAGCCTTCAAGAAAGGGGAAGTGAAATAGTTCAAAGGGTAAGTTGTTCTTTGTGGGATAACAGCTACCAGAAGCGGTACAATGGACAAAGAACTCATAGCCATGATGTTGTTTGCCGTCCACCAAAGCTGTAGCCTCTTCGTACATATGATAACTCCCTTTGATGTTTTCGTACACTTGCTCTTATGTTCAAAGGGACACGTTTTGGTTGAGTTGCTCGCCGTACAGCTTCTAGGACAGCCTTTTGGTGGTTTGCTATAAGGTTACAAAAACCCACAATGGCATATCTTCACGCTTACTTTGCTGTATTCTGTGCATCGCTCACAAGCTAGTAGTACTGTGGTCAATATTTTCAAAAGAATGAGTGGGCAATTTCTTTTGGGGCATGCAGCTGTGACATGTAGCCTTAAAAACCAGACCTCTAACTGCTGTAGCAGGAGTAAACAAGACCCAGAAGCAAGACAATAAAACAATGGCAGGAAAGCATCAGTGTCACTTTAAAAGGGCAGCCCGGTTTTCGTCTCTAAAGTGAAAGCCAGAATTGCAGAAATATTGGGTCATTGCCACAGCTTTAAGGGGCACTGAAGTCATTTTTGAAAAAGGTCATTTTTGATCTTATATTGTTTAAAATGTGTTAGTTCCCGCATATACCAAGTCCTATATTACAAAACCGCCTATTCGTCTCGGGGCAATAGAAAAACATGTGGACTCTTTTCTCTCGAGGACTACATTGGGTTCCGAACGATTTTACTAAAACTCGTTTTGTAGACAGTCTGGTGGGTACACATTCGGATAAGATTCCTCTTTTTATTCGGGGGCGAAGCCATCGCTTGCAACTCGCCGACAAGCGCCCTTCGTCTACAGGTTCACTCGGAAAAATTCTTCCCAAAAAGGGCGTGTCGCAATCTTTGAACACACGTTTAACGAGGAAATAAGCTACACAGAATTCTGATTTAGGGTTTGTTGAGTTGCTTAGAGCGTCTAGACTGAGTTGTCACTACAAAAGAATGATCTCAGAACCGACTTCAGTGCTCCCTTAAGTGTACAGCTTGTGCAGCGAAACAGAAATGCTGGGATTATATTGAAACCTGAAGGTGCACCTTGTCTCTGAACAGAAGGGCCTCAGTGCTTCAAATTTTTCCATTGCGTGACTGTCACCAGCAGTGCTCCACGTCACTTTAATTTTAGTGTGATAGTGACAACAATAAGACTGTTTTATCACCAGTGTTGTTGGTGAGTGCCAGTTTGGTGCTTTGAGAACTGGAAATTGTTCACTGAGGGAACTGAACAGGGAAGGCAAAGTTTGACCATTAAGATCTTTAGACATATAGACCTGGCTCTATTGATCCCTCGTAGCTAGGTACCCTTTAAGAGGTTATTGATAGACAAGTGTAAGGAATTCTTAAATTTTCCATATAAAACAAAAGTGCACTCATTAAACTCAATGAAAAAACAGTGAGTGCACAGGCAAGCTGGTGGATGTTGATCATGATGTGGAAAACCCGAGACTGTGGCAAAAGCAGGGAACCTTGGTCGAAGTCTTTTTTTCTTCGACCAAGGTTCCCTGCTCTTACCACAGTCTCGGGTTTTCTACATCATGATCATTAAACTCGTGGTAAACAAGCTGCTATATCACTGGGAAGTCGGTCAGGTTATTGACAATCTTATACAAAAGGAACCCTGTGAATAAACTGTGTCCCACATGACTGATTCCAAACAAAGGAATCTTGAGAAGTGCTCACTGCCAGAATAAAGCTTAATTCTTTATGACTTCCTACGTGACAATGAAATTATTTTCTTGATATACCACTAAATATTCTCAGAACTAAGAGCTTGGGAGAATCCCGGCTCAGGGGAAGGAGGTTAAAGAGGCTGTGCAATGATATTTGTACTTTCAGTAAATACTGCCTAAGGTTAATTCTTGACATCCATAACGTAAAAAGCATGCATTAGTTTCTCTCCACGCAATGGCAGTCGCACAAACAATTGAGAAAAAATGTGATATGGTGTAAAGTTGGACTAGTACTGTCGAGACCGGTTTTAACGAAGTAAACAGGATTTGAAATCGCTTCACTATATCCGCTTCTCCGTTATATATGAACTCATACAAATAACATGAAAACAAAAGATAACATGGGTTGTCATGGGCACATGTTTATCGAGCCTGCAGAAAGCAGTTAAAGCCTCTCTGCATGCGTCCTCTGCTAGATCGGAGCCGCTTCTCGCCAACTGTGAGAAGCTCCGATCGTACAAAGATCCTGCTACGTATGGACCGTGTTGACAGCTGCGACGGCCCCGCGGAGGACGCCGGCAGTGGACGACATCCTTTACGTTTATGCGCACTCCGTCGAAAACGGCATGCTTTCGATTTAGGGAGATTGCCTTCGTCTTCCCCTTCGAGGTGCTGGCGGTGCCGGGGCTCTCCATCGATGAGTGGTGATGATTTGCCGAATCGGTGCTTGAGCGAAGTATACATTTGCGCAAGAGCGGCCTCACTGACCAGACACCGACACTGATCACGAAGCAAACAAAGAAGCACGCTCAAGTTTGTCTCTCGTCGGTTTAGAGAACCTAGATTTCAGAGATGGGGCGACCGCTCGATCGAGGTCACGTGGTTTGTGGGCCGCATTTTCAAAACGAGCTGCAGCATGCAAGGATTCAAAACTCAAAAGCTCTCAGCTTCTGCACACCTCGCCACACTGGCCATGCGACAATCAAATGCAGGCGTGCTTACTGCTCCCTCTCTTAAATGTAGGTTCTCTCCGTCATGTCCACCGGAACGTAGTCTCTAACGCTCTGAAATCCCCTATCGGCATACCACGACGGCTTCTCCGCGTACGATTCGGTAAAGCCGCTTCCCAGGTAAGGAGCGGGGAGCAGACGACGTTGCGGAGACTGCTGCCAGTGGCCTTTCCAGCATTTTCTGCAGCCTGTTCTGGGTGGCTTCTTGGCAGAGGCAGCAAAGTGCGGTGGTCCGAGAATTAGTAAACTTTCAGAATTTTATTGTTTTTTTTTACTTATCACGAAATTTTTTTCGCTTTATCCGCGGGAGCCGCTCAATTTTGTGCGCTAAAAACAGACACAAATCTATTGAAAAAGTGCAAACAGGAATAGGAAATCGTGATCGCTTTGCTGTAGCCGCTATTTCGTTATAACCGGTTTTGGCAGTAGTTGGTAATGCATAGTTATAAAATAAAAAGTGTAAAAAGGCTAGACATAAACAAATGAAGTTCAAACACACGTCTATGAACCTAGTCTAGTTGTCCCTCATTTTTAACATTGATTTTATTTTATAACTAAAGAAGAAAATGAGCAATGTTCATCTTCTTCACTTGCAGCCAGAATGAGTGGCCACATGATCTGGTGCAAATTATATGCCGCCAATGTTCATCGTAGCCACGCGGCGGCTTTGATAGAGCACATAACACAGCTGAGCACCAGACATTGTTAGAGTTGGACTATTCCCATCGTTACAGTGATTGGATACAAACAAATACTTGAAGGTTAACCCTCTTACGGAAGGTTGCTAGCCCAAGTCGAGTATTTGTGGTGTGCTTGTGTCCAATCCACGAGCCACATTTGACTATCTGTTTTTTTAGTTTGATACCCACAGTGCCCTTTGGCATTACAGGAGAGGGCTTGACAACAAATAAATAAAACAGCTGGTAGATGATATTAAAAGCACGGTAAATATAATTTTCGAGAACAAACTCACAAACACTTGTCAACAAGGTTGCATACGGCAGCTTTTAAGTGTGAATACTTGAAAGAATAAAACATTGAGGACGAGACAGGAACGGTACTTCTTTCCTGAAAGAAGTCCCGTTTCTGTCCTCGTCTTCAATGTTTTATTCTTTCAAGTATTCATAATAGTTCAACAACACGCTTGCTTTCAATTATTCATCTTTTAAAAAGTTGACAAATAGCATCAAGATGAGTACCGATAAAAAAAAGAACCTATCAACAGTTTTCTGACATCCCTACAGAAAGGTCTTGTTTGCTAATATGAGATTTGCAGGACTGTAACATGACACTTGGTATCTTGGCAGATAAAGGCCATATCTAACAAGGTTTTATATTCAGCTTTGGCAACAGTTCCTACACTTAGCCTGCTTTTGAGATTCCATTAAGCCTGTCAGCCATATTACATTCCTAGTTCAGGACTTCAGTGTGGCATGGTTTAAATGTTTTTTAATGGCACAGGGAACTGAAAAAATCCCTTCGCTTGTAGGATCTTGCAACCAGAAAATTGTAGGACGACGAAAGTAATCCCTGGAGAAGGGGAACAAGAGGGACAAAGGACAAACATAAATCTCCAAACACAGCTAGGTGACTGGTGAGCGACCGAAAAAATCCGCCTGGTACGGGTATCGAACCTGGGACCTCTCCATTACAAGTGGAGCGCTCTACCAACTGAGCTAACCAGGGGTTAGACGTTTTGCACAATATTGCAAATTGCAAGCTTCACCCTTGTTGGTGTTCGACTGGTGGCAGCTGATAAAACCCGTTTGCTCTACTGACGTCTAACCCCTGGTTAGCTCAGTTGGTAGAGCGTTCCACTTGTAATGGAGAGGTCCCGGGTTCGATACCCAAACCAGGCGGATTTTTTCGGTCGCTCACCAGTCACCTAGCTGTGTTTGGAGATTTATGTTTGTCCTTTGTCCCTCTTGTTCCCCTTCTCCAGGGATTACTTTCATCATTCTTGTCCAGCTCGCTTGCACCTTTGCATTCAATTGCATTATAAAAATTGTAGGACTATCATCATATGAAGTTGACTGGGATTAAACACACTAGCAAAACAGAAGTAACATTTTATAGCAGCCTTACTGGCTGTGTCCTCCCTATTCCCACTAAGAATCTCCTTACACAACATCTACATGTTAAGATCAACAGCGCCCTTCGACGCAGTTGGGACAAAGTTTTGCTGGGTGCCGAGTCACGTTGGAATTTCGGGCAACGAAGAGGCGGATGAATTGGTCATGTCTGCTCGAGGCTCATCAATAACATCCGATGGCTTACCATACCAATATCTGAAACCGCTTCTGAGGAAATCTATTTTTCACAAATGGCAGCTGGAATGGTTACAGAGAGCAACAACAAACTCCACATTATCAAGCCCGTTCTGGGCATTTTAGAGAGCTCTTGTAACAGGGAACGTTGTGTGGAGGCTTTTCTCTGCTGTCTAAGAATAGGGCACTCCCATTTGACAGGTCAGTATCTGCTTCTGACCATTTTACACATTTGATGGCATTGTTTGTCCCATCAACTACTCCGTCGATCATGTTTCTTCAAACTTTTTAGAGATCACCTTCCATTTCATCCCTCTTTTTTGCTTGGCGATAAACATTTAGTTCCTCTTGGCCGTATTTTAGACTTTTTAGAACAAACAATATTTATACCATTTGTAATTTTGTTATAGTGTGCTCCAAATATGGTGAGCTTGGCGCATTATAGCCCTCGTTGCTGCTGCTCCAGTAATCTCATAATCATCATTATCATCATGCCCGTGACATCACATCCAACCGTCCGTAACGTCAAATTTTGTTCCCCCCTTCCTCCCTCCCCCGAGGTTGACCCATAAATCCACCCCCAAATATACACCCTGGGATCCGCAACAAAACTCCGCCAGTAGGGGCAGTCGCCGTGAAACGTTCGGTTGGCCAGTCTCAAAACGTTCCTTTTGGGGGACCGCCCAGGTGCTCCGCAAAGGCAAGCATGTGCTACCGCACCTGGCCCGCTTCTGCCTGGTGAGCACCTTCCTGGAGGACGGCTGCCGGATGTGGTACCAGTGGGGGGACCAGCGGGACTACATGAACCACTCGTGGGGCTGCGGCTGGTTCCTGGCCACCCTGTTCGTGTTCATCAACCTCGTCGGGCAGCTGGGCGGATCCATTGCAGTGCTCGCGCGCTTCCAGGTGGCTCCTGCCTGTGGCCTGCTCTTCTTCATCGTCGTGCTTCAGGTGAGCCAGGCTCCTCTCTGACGTCTGGAACCAGTACCACCCAGAAGACAAGGCCTCCGTTTTTAACCCTTCCCTATTCCTCACTAGTGCATCCACGCAGCACCGCCAGCGAGCCTTGCAGCATCTTACAACGAACATGACACTTGCATGTGGCAATGCCGAGATGAACGCGTCTGCCGCTTTACGGCGAGGCGCATTTGCTGCTTGCGGCCTGTCGGGCATCCACTAATGACGACGTTAACGAAAGACCTCGTCTTCTAGATGGTAATGCTGGAATGCGTCTCCAACTAGCATGTTTACCGTGTCCTCCTTCGTGGTCCTTTGATGTTCGCTGGTTGGCATCGTTGAAGCATCGTGGTATTACCTGCCGAGATTCTGGCTGTGGCACAACAGCAGAGGTGAAGATGGGGGTATTGCTGGTCAGGCATGTCGACGCACCGCAGTTTGGAGCGAGTGGAGCGAAAGCTCACGGTATAGCGCTCGGGGATCCTGGGTTCAATCCCCACCCCTTCTCATTTCAATTTGGTCGTGCAATCACTGCTGCATGATTCGCATTAAAGACCCCAGGCTTGCAGTGGTACCGCGCAGGCTAGGCTTCTCACCCACAGCGGTGACACCAGACGCACAGTAGGGCGCTGACTAACTTATTGTCTAAACATGTACGCAGCATAATTACTTTTTCACAGAAACTGTGTGGCCTCAAAGGAGCCTTTCATGGGCTCTTTATTTTTTCAGTACAGAAGCATGCCTCTGTATTGAGTTATCTTCACTGTGTGTGAATCAAGCTTTTGTATATTGGGCTTTTGGTGTGGTAGTAATGTTTGAAGGTGGGTTAAACATATTATTGAAATAGCTTTCAGGTTCAAGTTGATAGATTAACTTTAGCAGGCTTCCCAAAACATGTCATATAGTGAAGGTAGCAGAGTCCCTTTTAAAATTGTTCAGCAATCCCCTTGGCATACTTTACAATGTTAGGCAAAAACCTGCTTCTTGACTGGTGGTAATAGCATATTTGCACAGCTTCTCCCACAGGATTAAGAAAGTGGCTGATAAGTACAAAGTCCCTATAATCTTTTCAGCGCCTTCTAAGTTATCTCGTTTGTGTGCTTCCATTGAGAGAGCAGGACTTCAATCTGTGGGCAGATTGAAGTCCATTATTATTTCATTATTTCAAATATGTAGCATTATTTCAAATATGTAGCATGTGCTGTCGGGGTCGTTTGTAAGAACCTTTCTCCTGTGGTAAAGTGTATATTGGGAAGATGGGTAGATGTGTTAGTGTTAGAGCTTGGGAGCATTCTCTGTCTCTGAGATCTCCACCTTCGGTTCACCTTGCTGTTCATTGCGGTAGATGTGGCTGTTCACCTTGGATAGGTGACACTAAAATTTTGGTTAGACATTCACAAAAAATGGCTAGGGAAATTCATGAAGCATTTTACATTCGGCTGCACGGTTCCGATCTCTGCATCAGTTCAGAGTCAATTATGCTATCCACTGAAGAGTTCGAGTTTGTTCATAGTTTGAGCCCGTTTGTTTGATGCTTCGTTTCAGCTTCCGTGGGAACAATTCCACGGATAAAACTGCGTACATGCAGCCTGAAACGGTGCCTACACTCCTCGAGGCCACGTGCAAGACGGGGACGCACAGGGCATTGGGGTTCGCGCTGTAGTTTTGGCTTGGTTCGGACCTGAAGTGGAATGATGTATAGTCTTATTTTTTTTCCAGTTTTTATTTGTATTTTTCTTTAAATGGTACTTTCTAATGATAAATTTTTCGGATGGCAAATGACAGTGAAGACGTCCTACATGTGGGATTCTTCTCTTTCCTTTGTTTGCCTTCTTGTTTTGATGTGTTTTAAGAAGACGAAAAAGAGAGTGAGTCGTGAGTCAGCGCTGTGTCTGTGTCCTTCTTCTACTTCTCCTTGTGTTTTCTTGTGCTGTTTTAATCATATGTTTTCTGGTATGTGACCCAGAAAAATTCTGGGCCACATATCAAAAGCTTAATAAAAAAAAATGTAGAGAAAACTTGTTAAAACTCTGTAAATAGTTATGTTTTGCAAGATGTGATGCGTGCATGAACACCTGCTGCTTATCTGAAAGAATTGTCCCTAGTTTTGATTTAAAGATGTCTGTTGTGTGGATTTTAGCTTATTTGTGAGTGTGATTCCAGCTTCTAGGTGTTTGTAACTAGGTGGAAGATGACTTCAGATTTCTGCAATAAACCAAGAAATATTAAGGATCTTTTTCTCACAAAGTTAGATAGGACAGAGATGTTACGATTGAAGTAGGAGACTGCGCATTCTAATATATCGTGAGTTTCAATATCTTTTAAATCAACCTATTAGATGAAATGAATGTTTTGCTATACTAAACTCTATCAATTAAACAAACTTCACAGTAATCTTAGTATTGGTATGCATAATATCAAATTCCTAAAGAAGTCTTCTTATGCTTCATAGTCGCTATTGCATTTAGTTTCAAGCACAATTTTTACGTCTTTGCCCTCGTTGCATCATGCTTCGTGGCCTGCTCATCAAATGAACTGTCTTTTCATTTTACTTCTACAGACATTTGCCTACAGCATATTGTGGGATCTGGGCTTCCTGCTTAGGTAAGCATTAAAGCTAAGCTGCTCCTTGTTTTTGAACATGTTGCCTACTTTACCCCTTGAATAGAACCGTTACTATAATCCTCAAACAATCTTACGCCTCCAGGTCAACTTTTGAGAGGTGTCCAAGATGGGGTACTCATCATAATATCCCGAGATGTAGCCTACCCAAAATCGAAGGCAAATCAAGTGAAAATAAAAATTGGGCCAACTTTGAATGTGCAATAAAAAGAGTAAAATAATTATTTTATTTTTATCTTGTGATTGGCAGAGGCTTGTGATTGCAGGGAGGGGCGATGAACCAAAGACGAGTGTTCTTCCCAGTCAGCAATGTTCTCTCATCTACCTCCGTGGCCAAGTAACACCAATTCTGCCGAGGTCACCATTGGCCAGGGTTTTGCAATTACTAGAAGTGGGCTATCTTTCAGTGTAAGAGATATTACATACATATTACGCTTTGACGGGGCTCCCTTTGGCCACTGCGCATCAGTTTCCACGACCGACACCCCATGGCGCTGCGTGTTCGTCAACGCGCCGCTAAAGCGCTGTTCACATATATGCGACCAAGTAAGGTTGAGAGAGACCAGACCGGTTTTTAAGCAGAGGACATTATGTATAGCTGCATTTGGTTCACCCATAAGCTGACAGACAATGGGGTGAAAGCTATGCGCTCGTTGGCAGTTTCGCCGCGTGATCGTGCTCCCGCCCACACCCATACGCAGAAAGCGGGGTTGGGCGACGATAAGGAGGCGTCTGATTGGTCCGGTGAGCATGTGGCTCCCACCGCACCGCCAGCTTATTGGTGAGCCTCCGCTCACCAATAAGCTGGCGGTGCGGTGTAACAGTCGGGACACGGTTCAAAGCCAGATTTCTTCGCCCTTTCTGCAGGAGCGTGTCCCTGATGGGAGCCCTCCTCCTGCTGGTCGCTGAGAGCCGGGTGGAGGCCAAGAGCCTGTTTGCGGGCGTCCCGTCCCTGGGCGAGAACAAGCCCAAGTCTTACATGCAGCTCACGGGGCGCATCCTGCTGGTCTTTATGTTCATCACCATGCTGCGCCTGGAGCTGTCCCTCTTCCAAATCCTTCAGAACCTAGTGGCCACGGCCCTGATGGTCCTGGTCACGGTGGGCTACAAGACCAAGCTGTGCGCCCTGGGGCTGGTGCTGTGGCTTACGGCGGTCAACGTGTACTTTAACGCCTGGTGGACAGTCGAGTCGTACAAACCCATGCGAGACTTCCTCAAGTACGACTTCTTCCAGGCCATGTCGGTCATCGGAGGCCTGCTCATGGTCGTGTCCCTCGGGCCGGGTGGAGTTTCGCTGGACGAGCACAAGAAGCACTGGTAGCCTCCCGCCGTCCGTTTGTCCGCACTCTCCAAGAAGAAAAGGAATGCGCGAGAGGTTGGGAGGGGGGGTTGCTCGTCATGTGTTGGACGGCATGCCGAACAAGATTTTGTTTTTCTTCGCAAAGGCTGATCTGTTGGATCGAGGTTTCGTACGATTCGTGGGCTTCATTTGTCCGTATTATATGCCCCATTCACACGACCGGCGTAAAGGTGCCTTTAGCAAAGGTAGGTAGGTCCCTTTGCCATCGGCAAATCAGCCCATGCTCTTGGGTTGCGGTTACATGGCACACGCATAGGATCACAAACTGATTCGTCGCTGACCATAAAAGTCCCTTAGCCGAAGGCACCTTTATTAGTTTGTAAATAGGGCATTACTTTGTTCCTTTTTCTTATTTGCCTGTATAAAAGGAAATTGATGGTAAAACAGTAAAAAATTATGTGATTTTTTTTTTTTTACTGTCATTTTGCTGTTTATCTTTGCATTTTTCGTTTTTGAAGAGACGAGAAAGTGGGACATAAAATACAAATATGTTTTTTATATATGTATGTCAAGAAAGAGAAAATTTGCATGGACGCGTATGTTTGGTTTTTCTTGTTAAAGATTCTGCATAATTCATTCATTAAAGGGGAGTGTGGAAGTGCATAGTTGGGGCAAACTTTGTCAGCCTCGTCAGGTTGCAGGGCAGCGACTGCCCCCTCCTTTTTTTTTACATGCCAACGAAGGAGTGGACTCCAGGGCGAGGAAATATAGGTTTGTTTTTAACAAAGTAGCACTTGGGTACTGGTCTTGCTTTGATTTTCTATGCGGTATCGGTATACAAGTTGGGAAGAATTAATGATTTTTTTGCTTGGGGGATTGAGACTCTATCCGCTTCAAATTTACTTACAGTGGGCGAGGCATTTGGGGTGGTCCCAGTTTTTAAGAACTCTTGGATTGTTTGGAAGTTGTAACTTTCCTAATGGTCCACATCTACATCGCCTTCCTTGCGGAATCTGGACATTGTTTCCGACTATGGGAACCTCGCTTGAGGAGCCAAACTATGTGTCACCGAAATCCGTGAGCGGTCACATTCTGGAGCCTGATTTCGTTAATTAGATGTTAGCTGATCAAAATTATTTGGCCATGACACGAATATTTATGTCTGGATTAGACTACGTAATCGAATCCGTGGCTGCGAACAAACAAGAGGTGTGGCACTTTGGAGGAGACAATTTCGCTCTGTTGAAGCACAGGGCCAAGGTGATTTTGTCTTGCGTGCTTCCTAGTCCCCTGTCTGGGTTTACATGGACGGGGTTTTTGCGTATAATCTTCACTTGCCCCTAGCCCTCTCCCTCCTTGCAACTCCTTGTCTCAGCATCTCTGTCATTACCTTGACAACATTCTTTTTCCAAATGAGATCTAAGCCAATAAAAGCCTTTCCTCACTTTTTTAATGTGTTGTGCTGCTTCTGGAGTGCACAAAATGCCCTTTTTGATAGTGCAGAGAGGTGACCTGTTGAAAGTCTGGCAAAGCATTTGCCAGACATTCAAGCCTGGGGTCACTCCTCTGCACTTCCACTTGCTACATATATATGTATATATATATATATTTTTTTTAAGCATGAGTGAAGCACTTTGCATTATATCACACTGTAGGGCCATGAGGCTTGTCAAACATTTAGTAGTATCCTTTTACTTGAAATCTTCAATCTGCGTGTGCTTTTGCTTCCACAGTTGCTTGCCAGTTTCGGCATTTGCTTTTCGAACAAATACTACTTGCTTTTTTCACCACCTCATTTATAACATCTACACGTGTATGGTTCTTTTGGAGACCTGAAGTATAGTCTACTTTAGCTTATATGTGAGCAAAGCCGAAGCTACATGCACGAGCATGTTGCAGTGTGTTGCACTGTGCAAGCAACATGCACGAGCATGTTGCTTGCATTGTGCGAGCTTGCATGCTTGGCAGACGGGTATGCTGAGAGCCCGGAGCTCACTCCTGTAGCTCAGCTGTGCTTGCAGTAAGCTGGTACTGTCATGGCATGCGATTGCTTCAGGGTGTTTCTGAACCATTGTAGAAGTCTCTGAGGATTCTTTTGCATTCTAAAACTTGGTTTCTTTGGAATCCAGGAGTCTCACCCCAAAGTACATTTCTGTAAACGATGGTTGAAAGGGGTTGGTGAGGTGCTTAATTTTTGTCTTAAATATTACATTTGTTGCCTTCAAAATAAAGTTTTTAGCCTAAAAACAAAATGGGAGCAAAAATTAAAAATATTCAGTGCTGCCATTTGTTGGCAGAGCCACAAACTAGCAATGAGCAAGCCTGGTTCGTCTGAAACGGTTGAGTGCATGAACCGGGGAAAGCAGACGAGCTATACTCGTCATGAACGGTTTAACTGTCAAGGGGTTAATGCACCGCATACATTATTTCTTGATAGCTCAAGTTATCATTCCGGAAAGACATAATTATGTAGCAGGCTTGTGTTTTTAAGGTTCCAGCATTCGGTGCATGTTTTAAAACCACTTTTAACAAAGTATGTATGGTCCAGCTCCTGTGATTTCCGTTGTGGAACAGGAATATCAGTAGAAGTATAATTAGCCGTAACACTTCTTTGCAGGCAAGTCATGAAGACAAACATATCGTCACGACAAGGTTGAGAAAATAATACATTGATAGCATACACAATAGACCTCTTGCAAAATCTAAGCGATCCTACCAGCGTAGTGCGGCGCAAAGCACCTTGGGATCTCATTGGCAACAGCTTCGGTTTGGATTTTTCAATCTCTCTTCACGACACCCTGTCACGATGGAGTACAGTGCTTGCATTTTCGAATATATGACTTTTAAATTTGTAATGCCTGCCAATACGGATAGAATGCTGGGGCCCTTTTTGGGGGCAGATGCCCTGTTTGCAATCATTTAGTTAAAGAAATTGCAGTTTTGCCAAACAGCCTGTGCACGCTGAAATATTTCAGTGGTTAAAATTTGATAAACTGGTCAGATAAAGCATGCATAAATGCGCACTGGGTTCAAGGGCTATGCAATCTAGTCTTCCATGGAAGAATGGGTGTTGTTGAAAGTGCCTCAGCTACAAAAATGCTCATCTTTGCGGATAATATGACATTGCACTTTTGTAAATCCAGTGAAACTAGCCTCATCATTCTCACAACATAAATAAAATTATGTTAGTATTAGAACCGAAAGATGATATCATCTTTCGGTTCTTTTACCACGCCACTATGGTGTCGTGTTTAGATAGTACTAGCAACAAATGCACTTTGGGCAGATCCTCGAACATGTAGAGAGCTTTTTATTTCTAACTTATTTCATGGGCAAGGTCCTGATATTCTTTAAAAAGGAGCCCTGCAAATAGAGTTAGAAGGAGCAGCAGATTAATGTGCCACCAGTTCATTCTAATCCAAGGCGTTGCGATACTTGGTCAGAGTTCTCACTCATCAATATGCCAGATCTGGTAAATGCAAACGATTATTGAGTTTGCCAGTGGCACGTGAAGTCGACCTGCCAACCATGGCAACCTGGAGCACTGTATGGTTTGGCACTTTCTAGCGACTGAAGCCGGAAACATTAGGTATGCCTGAGAGTGGGCATTGTTCAAACGTGGGCTATGCGGAGAGAAAGTCGTCTGCTTCTTGCGCAGGAGTTGCGGTGACGTCAGAAAGACGTCGAGCTATGATTGGTTTTTATTGAAGGATAGTGGGTATAGCTCAAAGTAAGCTGCATCGAGATCTACCCACTATCTTTTATTCAGAAGCAATCGGAGCTTGGCGTTCTGACGTCACCACAACTCCTGTAAAAGAAGCAGACGAACTTGCACTCCGCATTGCTCCGGTGGAGCCGCTTAGCATAGCAAAAAATACTGGGTAGGCCAGGAAGCCATAGAGTAATATATTACTCTATCAGGAAGCTGGCGATCGCATAACATGCCAGTATTGTCGGAGGCTACCGACCTGGCGAGCCAATCGGAACGTGACCATGTATCACCGGAGTGCGCTTTTAAGCTTTTACTACGAAGGATAAGTATCAGGCTTTTCGTTGGGTCATATGCTCCATTATGTGTGCATTGCGCTCGTATACGTAGCGCGTATCGAAGTTGTCGGCACGCAGTGTGGGGCTTATTGTTCCCCCTTTGCCAAGTTACGAGACAGGGTATAAGCGTGGGCTCTTGCTCTGCTGGCGCCACGTGACCGTTGCCATCTGGCTATTGTGCAGACTGAGATTTCTGAGACGTCCGAGACTGACATAGTAGAGCTAGTGCCATGCCATCACGTCAACTACTGTAGTTTGAATAATAATAAATAATTCGTCATCAGTTTGAACAAGAGAACCAAATGTGTTTGTCTTTCCGTGTTCCCAGAAAAATCCGAAAAACACTCGCCAGTAAATTTTTCGTCAATTCGGATATATCCGAAAAACTCCGAATGTCAAGGTCACAGCGACAAAAGAAACAGCAAAAAAGACGGAGTTTTACAACTTAACTTTTATAAGAGCACAAGGCAGTGGTCTTGAGGAGATTCCACTTCAGTTTCATTTGAAATTAAGAACTACTGACAAAAAGGGGTTTGCTTTTTAGCACGTCAATGTTCCTTCGGGGGTCATGGTACCAGGACCTTATTTATGTTTTCGAATTTTTAATTTTATGCAGTAAAATAAACTTATTTCTAAAGAATAGTCAATCTAACAAAACTATATATTCCGATAAACCCCGAATCCCCTCCGAATAACAAACTCCGAAAGACATCCTCCGACTTTCACGAGAAACTTTGAGAGAGCTCACGTGGTAAAAAGAAACTCGACTGAAGGAGGAAAAAAACGCGGGCTCGTCCGGGATTTGAACCCGGGACCTCTCGCACCCTAAGCGAGAATCATACCCCTAGACCAACGAGCCAGGTTGGAAATCGTGTGCTTAGTTAATGAAACAACTAGTACGACCTGCCAAAAGATACAACGATAGATTTTCTTTTATTGTAATTGCTTTATCGTTGCTTTTGTTTTCATTTAATTTTAGCCCGCTTAGATAAGTATTTCAGCTCATTAGAGCCGCGGCGCCGCAGAGAGGCAAATCGCCTACCTTGAACGCCTGCGGTGCCGCTGGCGCCGGTCAAAAATTGCCGGTGGGGGCGCGTTTGTGTTTGAACCTCCGCAGTGCTATGCATGAAATCCGAAGTGCATGCGAAACTAGAAATAAAACAGCGCGGAGTAGGTAGACTGGCTTTGGGGGCGCATTGCAAAACGCCAAACCAGGGAGTACAAGGAGACATGGGATGGGCATCATTTGAGAGCAGGGAAGCGGTGAGCAAGGTAGAATTTGAGGATAGGTTGAGGCTAATGGATGGGGAGCAATGGGCACGAAAGGTTTTCAGCTATTTATACATGAGGAGTGTAGACACAAAGTGGAGACAGCGCACTAGGAAATTAAGAGGAAAGTTTTTGGGCTATAGCGAAGATACGGAAGAGCAAGTCTCAGTTAAGAAGAAAGTTAAGGCCACAGAAAGAGATCGGTGGCTAGAGGGAATGCAGGCAAAGACTGCTCTGGAAAGCTATAGATTAAACAAAAGAGTTATTGCCAAAGAAAGCATTTATGACAATTCTAGGGGAAGCTCATTGCTGTTTGAGGCAAGAACGGGTGTTCTGCGAACCAGAACATACAGAGTGAAGTACCAGGAAATTGATACAGTGTGCACTGCTTGTGGAGAGGAGGACGAGACGGCTGAGCACTTGATACTCTACTGTAAAGGGCTTCACCCTATGCCTACCGAAGACAACATAGATTTAATAAAGTCATTGGGTTTTAGAGACAGCGAAGGGAGAGTGGATTTCAAGACTGTAGAGATTACCAAGCAAAGATTAAGTGAATGGTGGCAGAAATCGAGAGAAAACTAGGTATTTTCTTATTCACTGATGGCAAGGGGGTTTCATAGCCTCACTTTCTTTGCACTGCGGAGTGAATATAGATTTCACATTTAAATATTCTAAGCTTAAATGGTAAAACAAAATGGCTAGGTGGCGTAAGCTACCGCCTGATCCAAAGGGCTCAGCCGTATTCATCCATCCATCCATCCATCCTCCGGCGGCGGCGTGTGAACGGCGCGGGGCCCGGTGCAAAAATGCAAAAACCTCGAAGGTGCACGCTTTTTTTAGTGCGAAAGCATTAAAGGGATACGGAATCGAAACTTGGAATATAGAGAAAACATCAAGAAATGAGTTCAATATGATCAGCTAAGCCTGTAATGAATAATCGCACTGTCGTATTTTGAGCAGATGGCTATATTTTATGCTCTAAATGCCGCGATTTTGGCGAGCGCTTCAAAATCAGCCATGGAGGATCAGAGTAGCGATGTGGGCGAGTTGGTTCATGCTTAGAAATAATGGAAACAGCGCGCAAACGACAAGGACGGGAGCGCTCGTCCTGTGTACTCCTTTTCCTCCCGTCCTTGTCGTTTGCGCGCTGTTTCCATTATTTCTAAGCCATGGAGGAGCGCGATGCATCTCGGGAGATCCGGCAGACGTCTTGACGTCATCATGCCTCGGACGACCAAGCGTACCGTAGTGACGAGTTTTGCCACTTGGAGGCGTCAACGCGTTACAATCTCGCTTTGTCGAAGTACCCAAGGGCTGTAGAGATCGCGGGGCCAGCACGCGCACCAAACCTGAGAACGACCGAAGCACGCGTTTGCACGTCGCGCGAGAGCTGAAACCAAGGTTTCACTTCGTTTTGGCTCTTTCCACCAAGACGCCTCGGTATTGCGTTCAGGCCTAGGCAATCTATACCAGTGAGCGGACATACCGCTGCGGCGCTGCTTTCAGAGGCCTGTTGTCGTCACGACATACCATTGAAGCTTCATAACCAACTACCAGGTGGTTTTTGATTATCGTTTAATTCACTTTAAAATATGTTTTCTTGCGTTTTCTAGCGCAATATTTATGTTTCTGTGGTTGTGCTGCTACCTGCGTCGTGTTGAAACAAAGAAATGAGCTCCAGAATTTGGTTTTCGTACCCTTTTAACTGTGCCAGGGAGAACAGCCGGCGTTGTCTGTACTCGCGAAAAATGGCACCTAAATTCTAGCGACGATATGCGAAACTGCTTGGCGGTTTAGCAGCTGCTGGCAGCTTGGCTGGCAGCACTGTGCACGCGGCCATCTTGGTAGTGTCAGGCATCTTGAGTTTCGTTTTCTCAGCATTTCCTGGGCTGCCGCTAAGTGCGATTCGGGAACTTTATTGTTTTCTGACTTCCTATCACCCAACGTGGACAAAGGACTAGGCCATCATGCCTTTCATCTCTGAGGGCACTTTGAATTATTTTTTTCGATGCAAATAAGCATGAAGTCGTACTGTTTAGTAGTAGAAGGTTAATATACAGGGTGAAACAAGGAGACGCCAAGCTCTTTAAATCGACCGCGAAATTCGGTTTCTTAACCTATCGCGCCACGACTTTGTACAGCGTTGCCCACAGATGGTGCACTTTTTTTGTAAAATTTGCAAAGAGCGAACTTACCTGAGGAAAAAGTAAAGAAAGAAAAAGGCTTAGCTTCTATGGAAACGCAGCGACGCCACCGGTCTACAAACAACACGGCGCTGTTTCGCACGGGAGACAAGAGATGGCGCAACAAACTCCGCCAACGAACGAGCATACGGCGCCGAGAGCCAGCGTCTTTAGCAGACGATCTTTTCGACTCAAAAGCGGCGCGCGTTCCGCAGGCGGCGACTAGTCGCAGAAACAAAAACAGGCCCGGTAACAACAAGGAACCGCAGTTCCTTGTCTGCTAATTACGCCGGCTCTCGGCGTCGTCTGCTCGTTCGTTGACGGCAGTTAACGTCGCAACCGCTTGCGCCATCTCTTGTCTACCGTGCGAAACGGCGCCGTGTTGTTTGCAGACCGGTGGCTTCGCTGCGTTTCCATAGGAGCTAAGCCTTTTTATTTCTTTACTTTTTCCTCAGGTAAGTTCGCTCTTTGCAAATTTTACAAAGAAAAAAAAATGCACCATCTGTGGGCAACGCTGCAGAAAGTCGTAGCGCGATAGGTTAAAGAAACCGAATTTTCCGGTCGATTTAAAAAGCCTGGCGTCTCCTTGTTTCACCCTGTATATATATATATATTTGTTACTGCCGAAAGTTTTCTGGTGGAAAATCGTGTGTTCTACAGGAAACTGTGCCCTGAGCAATATTTTTCAGGCGTAGCAAAAAGCTCAAATTGGTTTCAGATAGCATTGACCTCAAGCATAGCTGACGGATGTTTCTCTATAAATGAAGACGTGTCCAACACCGGCAGAATAACTGCTTTGACTTTCTCAAAACTACCTCTCGAGCTTCTTTCGCACTAAACAAAAATTGTGCCTCACAAAAAAAAAAAAAAAAAAAAAAAGGAGTTTGTGAAAATGAAGTTGGCACGGTTGTGTTGCTCCACTTGACGTCTGGAGCGCAAGTTTTCGCCGCCGCCGACATCAAAGTTTTAGCCACTGCGATGAACCTAAGCCGAACGTGGCGTCCTACAAAAAAAAAGAGAGCAAAATCCTGTCTCCGTGAGTGTTGAGCAAACAGACACGTCGTCCGTGCCGGCCAAGGAGGTTAGAAGTACTAGGAGGGGGCACGTTGCAATATTGGTGAAGCCTAGTCATAAAAAGTTTAAACGATTTTGTGCCCAGCGTGACCGCAGATCTCTCTGGCGATTGGTGCGCGTGACATGTCACGTGTGAGATGGATGGTTGATTGCAGAAGGACTCCTTGCATGCTTGAGCGCGCTCCGTCCGGTAGGTTTTATCAGGTCGAAGTCTAGACTGTGGTGTATTCTATTTCTAGTACCCCACAGCAAGACGAAGTCTAGCTACGGTCACGTGATGTGGTCGCGTTGGCATGGTAAGTGAGGAGAGTAAGGAGGAAAATGAGAAAGAGGCGAGCCGTCAAGGGAGCATGGCTTGTGGAGGCTACGCGGCCGACGTCATGCCCTCTCCTACCCTTCTATTCTCCATGGTGCCGGCTGTGTTTTCTATTCTCTCTCACCCCGCGCGTCATCTGCTCCGCCGTGTGGGATGTGTACCTAACATCCGGCTGGCGTTCAAACTTTGTTTGAAATCGCGTCATTTTGGAAATTTCAAGCGCAGACGCGCGGGCTTCTGATATGCAATTTATCGTGTAATGCTATGCTCGATAAAAAGACTAACCGGGTCCAATTTTGTTGTTTTTTGTTTGCAAATATAAAAAAGAAATGGGAAAACTGTGTCAGATTGGCCGATCTCTCCGGCGAAAAGTAAATCGGGTTGCTGTAGCTTTTTTTTTACTATTAAAAGTCCTTCTGGTGTGGGCCTTTGCCGACAATAAGTGCAAGTCTGGAATAATAAATAAAAACGTGTTGTTTTGACACAATAGACGCAGTGGTTCAGCCTTCAGGGTAGTACTGCTGGTGGAACAAAGATACGTTAGTTGATCATTTCCTGAAATAAAACAATTAACAGAGCGCTATAGGCTGATTTTGGAGTAGCTTTAAATATTCGAAGAACGCAAATCACTTCACAACGGCAGCCACGAGCGAGAGTTCGATGTTCGGTACAGCCCGCTGGTACAGCCCAAAGATGGAGAACGGCAACCTTTCGGTTTGTCGTCTGCTAGCGGAATCGGGCGCGTGTTCTCTCTCGTTTTACCCATAGAGTAACAAAAAAAGGGAGAAATCGCATCAAGCAAATTGAAATTTCATATGATCGGCAGCAATAATTAAAAAATTTAACGAAAAAATAAATGGCCTTTTCCGATAAAGTGGCTTCAAAATATCAGTTAGTTTCATTTTCGACGATATTTCAAATAATGTCACTTTAATAAGTGACAAATATAATCACTAATGAGTTACAAGGCTCGGATATGTCACCGGATTGTCAAAGAGACGATGTTTGGCATTTTTTACCTCAATAAACAAAACTACAAAAGTATTTTCTTTTGAACCAAACAATAGTCCAAATAACATACAAGAGCACAAAAAAATAACTGTGAGTTTTGTATGTTTCCCGTATTCATACCAGCGTACAGAACTGGGTAGAAAAATCACGGAGTAAAAAATAGATTTTCACCCTGCTTCACTCAATAATTTTTTGTGAAGCGAAATATAAGCGTCTTTAGCAGACAAGGAACTGCAGTTCCTTGTTATTACCGCGCCTGTTTTCGTTTCTGCGACTGTCGCCGCCTGCGGAACGCGCTCCGGTTTTGAGTCGAAAAGATCGTCTGCTAAAGACGCCGGCTCTCGGCGCCGTATGCTCGTTCGTTGGAGTAAAGCACTGGATAATCCAGTGCTTTACGTTGGTGGCGTTCGTTGCGCCATCTCTGGCATCCCGTGCGAAACGGCGCCGTGTTGTTTGAAGACCGGTGGCGTCGCTTAGTTTCCATAGGAGCTGAGCCTTTTTCTTTTTTTACATTTTCCTCAGGTAAATTCGCTCTTTGCAAATTTTACAAAAAAAAAAAAAAAAAAAAAAAAAATCACCGCCTGTGGGCAACGCTGCACAAAGTCGAACCGAATTTTGCGGTCCATTTAAAAAGCCTGGCTTCTCCTGAATCACCCTGTAGTGCCGTAAATCATATACAGGATTACCCAAATTTCTAAATGGCTTCACGCCGCACGAGAACGTCCGTATTTTTCTTCGCGTTGTCACCGATTGTTTCAATCAAAAGCAGCTGCGGCTCAAGCAATGAATAAAAATAAGAAAAAATTGTGAACCCTGCTCACGATTGCGTTCACGTCACGCACGAATCAAAGGTTTATCGCTGCATCCGCAGCGGAACGCAGCAACAGTAAATCAAGCGTGGTCGCTTGATTTACATCGTGTCTTTGCCGCTTGGGTCACTGGTTTCGTTTTTCGCCTTGTGGTCGTTGCTGCTGATGATGATGATGGTGATGATGATAATGGTTTGCGGCTGTTCCCTTTTGAATCGGGCGGTTCCGTAGAGTTTGGGACCCATAGAGTTATTATAATAACTCTATGTTGGGACCTAGCCAGTGGGGATTCGGTTATCCCCGTTGGTGAACTAGCATCCACCAGTTCTCTAATCTTGAGTAGGGAGGCTGAGGTGCACACACCGCGCCATCCAACGGTACGATTGTGAAACTTGTGGCGTCCCTAGACGGCCGGCAGCAGTGGCAGCAGCCATTAGTATGTCAGTCGACGTAGCAGCGAAAGATATCTGTTAGCAGAATGACGCCTGGCCAGCTTGTTGGACTAACCACGAAGATAAATGATATCCCCGATACTTTGCAGCAATTGTGATGCCTTTCAATTGCTGCGTGCCACTCTGCAAACAAAGAGGAGTGAGAGATGCCTCTGGAAACAAGGTGAGCCTCCCTCAACAAATCTAGCGTCCTACTGGGCTGCTGAGCTCGCGGCTAAAACTACCCAGCCGAAACAGAAAAAACAAAAAACATGCCCGCATAAAACCCGTAAAAAAAAAAAAAAGAAAATGCTTTATTTTGTGAAATTTTAAGCCATGCATATAGCTGTTCTGAAAAGTGAGAGCAGCATCCTTACAAATGTGAACAGGTATGATTGCACATGAGAGTCATGAAAACGTCCAACTACCCCAACGCTGACTTTTCTTTTTTTTTTTTTTCTTAACGTAAGGGATGTGTTTTATCAACAGGTCGCATCGAGCTCTCACGTGTATTGTCAATCAGTAAACATTTTATTTGCTAAAAAGGTATGTACATCATGCATGTCTGTGACCTTTGATGCCATCTTCGATAGAAACTCCACACCTCTGACCACACCTAACTCTTAGCCCATCACCATGCTCTGTCCATGGCCTCCAAGAGTCCCGGTGTACTCCAGCCATTCCAATATCCCTCCGGAGAGATTGGAACTGAAGAGGCTCGTGCTAAACCCCCAACTGCTTTAGCTGCAGGTCGTTGGATGTTGACCTTCTGCTAAAACTGCAGGGTTTGTAGAACATTACATTATCTAGACAAATGACATTTACTGCCACCGTGCCGTGGTGCTCATTGCCCAAGAAGGGATGGTGCACTCAAGTCTCGTGCTCCGAGCGTGTAAGCCCTTTTCACACAACGAGTGCCACTGTGCTATGGCAGTAATTATTCTGAGGAACAATGGCTAGAAAACTGATGTGTCGTCCCAAGCTGGGAACTAACCAGCGACCTCCTTCTAATGTGGCTGGTGCTCTACCACGAGCAATGCTTCTCAATCATAGTATCTCCCAACGAATGCAACGGCAGAGGAAAGCTTAGTGCACCGGCAGTTTCGGAGGCCATGCTAGGCGTGACTCGGTCGTCCCTGCAATCAACCGTCATTGAAATTTTCAGGGATGTTGTCATTTTTCAGGGAAACCAAGGTATGCCGTGAAAATGCTCCAAAAGTTTCCCCTCCCCCAACATGCACACACACACACGAAAATACAACACATTTAATGAAAATTCGAGCTTGCTATCTGCAGTTGTCGATTTTTCCAAAAATAATTTTACTGCCAACCTCAGGATCGATGCCACCCTATTCAATCAATATCTAGAAAGAAGGGTTGTGCAAAAAGGTTTGAATCGAATAGCGCAGTCATCCCTAGCTTCTGCACTGTTGAAAAAACTGTCTTTCTTGGCTTCCCTTGCACTGTCAAGTTTATGAATGATGCAGCGCTATTTGATTCAATTACCATTTTCACAACCCCAGTATAGACATAAAGGTAGTCAGTCAGGTGGAATGATAGAGTACCTGTGGAAACGTAAGTGGATTTCGCAGCTTGCATGTTTGCGAGCACTTTCGTGACAGAAGGTGCACGCTCGTCGTACCTTTCTCGTGATAAACGGAAGTTGCATTGCCGTGCATAGGGGTTAAGACAGTGTCAACATGCTGCGACGCTGAGATTCAAGCACTGCGTAGGAAAACTCATAAATTATCATGCTCTCTTCCTTCCAGGTGTCCATGTTCGCCTTCCCATCTGATCCGGCTGTCCGGAAGAAGTGGATTGTCGCGATAAAACGCGACGACGACGAGTACTTCAGGGTCACAAAGTATACTAAAGTTTGCTCTGGACACTTTCAGCAGTGTGATTACCTTCCCAAAGTTGCTGGTGATCGCCGGTTCTTGAAGAAAGAGGCCGTGCCCAGTGTGTTTGCCTTCGGCAATGCTGAAAGGCCTCCGAGGAAGAAATGCCGTCGGCGATGGCCAGTGCCGGCAGTGCAAAAATTCACCGTTGCCAACGGAGGCGTAACGAGTCATGCACTCTCCGATTCGGCCACTAAAGATGTGGCAGGCAAAATGGCAAGTGGTGTAATCGCTGAAGTCAGTAGCAATGCCATCAGAGACTTGACAGGCCACACTGTTGCCGATGTAAACGGTGCAGTCGACGAGGATGCTACCATCGGTGCAGTCGTCGACAAAGCTAGCAAGCTCGTGCACGTGCGTCGATTTCAAGACCTACAGGAACAGACCGAGTCGCAAGCAAAACTGATTCAAGTTTTGGAGCTTGAACTCAAGAAATACAAAGAACAACTCAGATTAGCTGGAGACGCGTTGTCCAACGCCCATTCAGCGCTCAACTGTGCACTCTCTAAATGTGAAAGGTTCGACGATCAAGAAAGAGAGCTCAGAGATACAAAACAGGCTCTCACCAGAACTCAAAGAGAACTTGAGCTCGCACTGGCAAGATGCAACTCTTGAGCCATAAAAATAAACATTAGGCTTTCAAATTGCACCAGAACTGATTTTTCCACCATCAGCACTTAGAAAGCAACCCTGGGGCAAGTACCATGCACTACCTGCTTGATGCATGTCGTTACTGCAAGAATGGTACCCCGAGACTAGTCGCAGCTCATGTGCTTTATTCCAGTTTGTTACATGCAAGACAGTGAGTTGAAGTCACAGTGGCAAACTTTTTGCCCCGTTCTGTCAGTTAGTTACCGCAAGCTGCACACAACTCCAAGATTGGATCGACGGTTACAACCAAAGAACAGGTTGAAGAATAATAGCCGCTCCTGCCTGCACTTCCGTCTGCCATGGTTTTTCATCCGGGACAGTAAAAAAGTGTAGGTGGCGAGCCCACCGTAAAATATTGCGGAAGCACCCACTGTTGTCAAGCACCCACTGTTGACATTTTCCAGACTCAGAAATTCTGCAAATTATATGTTAAATGTCCGATTTGACCGGACAAGCACTTATGTCTAGATTAACCGAGTTTTCGATGACAATGAGGTGGGCACTCCCCCGGTATTTTACGGTATGCTTGGGTCAGTAATAAATATAATTTTTGTGTGGTTAATTCTAATGCCCACCTTCACATTGCTCTCCTGAAGCCCTAATCTACATGGCGGGACCAAGGGACCAAAACATTGCCGCCTGCTCCGATTCGGTGCAGTGCCGTCCAATTGCAGCAGGCAGTGATAACCCGGTCCCGCCGTGTACATTAAGGCCCCTGGTGTTCACATCCTGTTTATATGACCAATGACGTCATCAGCTACATCCACTTGCCATTCTGTCTAATGTAAATATGACAAAACAGACTTGTCAAAATGGAATATCTTGCTTTACATAGACTTTATAGCTGGGACTTGACTCGCCACGCTGCCTATCCACATGCTTGAAACCTCCATCATGTTATCGTGTCCCCCCTTATTTAAAGTATAATTTTTGTGCAAGCTTCAGTTTATTTACGCAGTCCTCTGGACTTTAATAAATGTGTAGTTTTTAAAAGAGCAGAAGGGTAGATGCTAACTTAATGGTGGCACACAAGATGCGTGTCGAGATAGTTGGACTGCTTACACCATATGGGGAAAATAGGACTTCCCATCTTGGCTTCATTGCAGGATTTTTTTACTCAAAAGGAAGTCCAATAACCTTCGAGTCCCCAAGACACGGTCGAGCAACATAGAAAAATGGGTTTCTCCGAGATTGAAATGTGCTTCAATACCATACCGCACAAGCGTAAATGTAATAGGTGTGCTCGTAGCATGCCCTTTCATTCCCTCTGTTGAAACAAATATTTATTCACTAAAGCACAACAAAGCCCCTCCTACTAATCCAACACAGCTTGTAGCACAGTGGCTGACAGACTGAATGAACACAAAAGGTGATTTCGTTATGGTCTTTAATGCCTCACAGACATCCTTTTGGTTTGTACACTGGGAAAAGGTTGGAGCCAAATCGAGTGAAGAAAGCATAAAAAATGTTTCATATACTTAAAAAAAAAAAAGAAATCCCAAGAGATGGACAACGAGCGGGGTGTGAAGCTTCGGGTGCGGCATGGTGGTGGTGACTGCCGCTGGCCGTTCATGTGTCACTCCGCCAGAGTTTGATTGTTTTGTCGTTCTCGAGCGCGGCTGAGCCAATGATGTTTTCCGTGGGGTGGCAGGCGGTGCATAGGACGACGTCTGCGAGAAAGGCAACAGAAATGTTGGGGACCTGCTAGGCACACACTGCGCAGAAGTACTGCACTCCAAAAGACGAGATGTAAAGGGATGAGAACGGCAAAAACAACTATTTCCATGAGCCATGCGTTTTTCCGTTTGACATCCAAGATCGATGCTTGAAGCATGAGCAACAAAAAGTGCAAGCACAAAATAAACTGTTTTACAAAGCCTCGTAACAGAGAGAAAGCAGAGGCACGTTGCTTGGCCACCATCATTTGGTTTTTTTCCCCCAAAGATTCCGATGAAATTAAAATCAGTTTTTGCAGCGCTCTATGCAGCGACACTTGACAAACTTTGGTTTCAGAGAAACATTATGTGCTATTCTTTAATTTACTACTGACTGTCCCTGCACATTCTTGCTATACCGATATTGGCATCTGCATTTAGTGCTCTTTTGCCGAGATGCCCAAAAGACCTCGCAGTGCTGCACCACCGCTGATGCCAAGTGGGAAATTGGTGCCTCATCTTGCTTCGTGCAGGCCTCAGCATTTTAGTATGTACCGTAAAATATTGAGCACATGCCTTATGGGTGCCCACATTACATCCTTGGATCTCGAAACCAGCTAGAATTCACAAAGCAATGCATAGGCTCAGCTTGAGCGAGCAACCACCTCCAGTTTTGACTGACAAACCATACATCTCCCAGTTCTGGATAAGTGCTTTAACAGTATTTTCAAGTATATACGCCTTTATTGTGCGCAGAGCGTACCGGTATGTCCTTGGAGCTTCTGCATCACTTCCTTGGTCTGGAGGTTCCAAATATAAACACAGTTGTCTTCTGATCCGGATACAATCCACTGCAAAAGCGTGAAAAAAAAAAAAAAGTTAGCATGACTTTCTCGTGAAAGAACAGTAAGAGACATCAACAACAGCGTCTGAATTAAAATCTGGGGTGCCCCTCGAAAGCCTTACCTTGCCGCCGGTCACCGAAAAGTTTGCAAAGATGCAGTACTTTTCGTTCTTGTGCCCCGTGTACGTCTTCAAACACTGGAAAAAAAAAGTAAGATATCAGCATACACCTTGTCAGTTCCGGGATATCCTGAACTTTTGTCGTCGCTGACTTTTTATGAGTTCATACCTTTCCCTTGCTGTAGTCCCACAGTTTCAATGTGCTGTGAAAAAGACAAGTACACATTAATGCATTTAGCACTATAACACCTGTTCTGCACTGTTAAGCCAAATGAGGTGCTCTTATCGGGCAAACGATTTTGAAAGAGCTTTGGAGCTACATATTCAATATCTGACAGACTAGTGAAGCTCCGCAAATAAGAGAAACATGTTCAAAAGTAGCATTAGTGGAGAGCACCACATCTTCATGAAATGACTACTGAACAATGTATACTGGGTGTTTTTGAAAACACGGGCCAAATAGCTCCTGCGAAAAATGTGCATCGCACACAAAAAGGTGGATCCCATAGTGGTATGTGCCAGAGGGGTACCGCAACAAAATTCTAGCGACTATTTTATTGTCTAAATGTCGACCATGTTCCGACCACACCACAGAGGCACCAATTTTTTGCTTGAAAAGGCACCAAACATTAAGCAAAAGGAATAGACCAAACATCGTTATGTCAAACTACTCGTAAAAAGCAGCGCCGCTCCACGGAAGTACGGCAACAAGCTGCGTGCGCGCGAGCCCTGTCCCAACTTGGCAGGACCATATTTCCATTCTCTTTTGCGCCTACTCGACTTCTGCGGGGAACCGGGAGCGGACATCCTGAACACCCAAGTTCTAAAGCGTTCACGCCACCAAGTGGCAAAGCTCACAAACACAAGAGGTTCCTCGTAACTTCGCCTGCAAAGAAAAGCCTGACGTCACGAATGCGCTGGTGGCGCCGGATCTCACGAGATGCATCACGCTCTCCAATGGCTGCTCTTTGAGCGCTCCCTAGAATTGGCCGATTGGAACAAAAGATATAGCCACCCGTTCAAAATAAAAGAGCGTGATTGTCATAAGCAGCTTTCCGTGATCACGTTTAACCTATTTCTGAACGTGAGAAATATATTTCAATTTTAATTTCAGTATCCCTTAAAGCAGGGGTCGGCAACCCACGGCCCGCGGGCCGCATGTGGCCCGCGGGGCAGTTTTATCCGGCCCCCGGCACGACCCCAGAAAATAACCCCCCCCCCCCCCTTTGCAGCTTACTTACAGCTCCAAGAACCACTCGGAGGTTAGAACCACAGATGGTGTTAGACAGGAACATGGAGCGGTTCCAATCACCATTGTCCGACATCCCCACACTTGGGCAGAGAACGCCTTTAATTCTTTTTTGCTTTTTCTTTGTCTCCCGCACCCGCCCCGCCCCGCCCCACCCCCCCCGCCCGCCCCGCCCCGCCCCGCCCCCCCGCCCCGCCCCGCCCCGCCCCCCCGCCCGCCCCACCCCCCCCCCCCGCCCGCGCCCGCGCCCGCCCCCCCCCCCCCCCCCGCCTGCGCCCGCCCCCCCCCCCGCCCGCGCCCGCCCCCCCCCCCTTGCCCGCGCCCGCCCCCCCCCCCCCCCCCCCCGCCCGCGCCCCCCCCCCCCCCCCAGTCTTCCCGACTTGCCGTCCGGCCCCCTCCGTGTCAACTTCATGACGACTCGGCCCGCCGCTGCAAAAGGTTGCCGACCACTGCCTTAAAGGAAAATTGTATAGGCTCCTTGCACTGACGTCACATTGCATACTTTTGAACACTATGTAAGAGGAGGAGAGAGAAGCTGCTTTTGTAAGAATTTTGAGTGACAGGCTATTCTTCTATAATCTTCTGGGAGGAGAATAGCGACGCCGGTGCAAATCCGGGAGCTACAAAAGAGGGTCCTGATAAAAGGGAAGCTCCTTCTTCCCCCTTTCTCTGGAGGGCATCGGAAGTGACGTCATATGCAAGCCACGTATTAGCTTTCATTATAATTGTGATTAATGACTTTGTGAGGGCGCAATGCCGCAGACAGAGCGCCACGATGCACACAGCAGTGTTGTTGGGTGTCGTGGCGCTCTGTCTGCGGAGCGAGCCAAGGGATCACGGGAGGAGAGAAAAAAGAGATGGAACTAGAGCAAGGGCTCGGACGAAGTCGGTTGTTTTGGGTAAGGAAAAGGTCAGTGGAAAGAATGAAACCTTAACAACTTTCTAGTAATTAAATTTCAAAGTGGTAGCTTTACAAGCGACACTTTGTAGAGATTTCGACCTGAACCGTCATCGTCGCTGCTACAAGGAGACCCCCCTTCTCTCCACTCTTGGTGCGAGGCCAGGGAAGTCATGTCTTCCCATCGTCCGCGCAACGCGGGGATGGGGAGCCCCGGCATCCCGCCAGTAACGACATGACAAAAGGACGAGTCTCCCGTGTTGTCTGCTTGAAAGACTTGTTTTCCAACATTACTCGCGTTATGCAAAATCCCGCTTTGGCAGTATCCAGCTGCTACGAAGAATTTAGTATAGTTTTAGAGGCTTCCACCGTGTTTACCTCTTACTTCAGGGATCACTGGTGGCGGCTATTCATGGCATCCACGACAGCTATGAGAATTAACTACGTTGCACCTCCGTCCTCGGGTACATGACAGCACCATTCCACTCGCATTGTGCAACCGTGCCACAGCTGTCTCATTGTGGGCGAAAAATATTCCTTTTTTTGATTATTAACTTTACAGGTATGGTTTATGTTAGGAACCTGATGCAAATCATAAACTGCTAAATCCACCCATATTACCATGATGAAAGGCACGCCAGCATTTTATGAAGCTCCGAAAAATTGCTAGATTTGGACGCGTTTCTATGCTTTGATTTTTTAATGGAGTACATCTCACGCCAGCAATCTTGCCCCCGAGGCCAAAATGCACAACGTTCGTGCACCGCTACACCAGTACGTAAAGGTGCGTCTTCACACTGGCCCCGACTTCAAAAAGGCCAACCTCATGTGGTAGTACGGAGGCTTTCGCATCTCGTCTCTTCTACGAGTGATGCGTGGCGGTGCACATACATTTCACGTTTTCGCCACGAAAAGCAGGATTGCTAGTGCGGAGATGCGCTCCAGTAAAAAACGAAAAATATTACGCGTCCACATTTAGCTTTTTTTTCTCTTTTTCTTTAACGTTCTGAAATGCTGCGCTTTCCTTACATCATCGTAATGTGGGTGGATTTAGTAGTTTCCTATGATTTGCATCAAATTCCTGATTGGAACCACACGCTTAAAACTAAGAACTCGAAATTTAATTATGGGAAAGTAATTAATTACCTAGTTATACTAGACTCTAAATAATTTTCCGTAAAGGGTAACTGCAAGGAAAAAAATGTGTATTTTTAAACAACCTAATTGGGACAAGCATGTCACAAAACAATTTTTCCTCCAAAAACGAAATTTTTTACAGAAATATTTATTGCGCCAGACCGATTTTAGTTTGCGGCTATTTCGTCTGTTTTAAATCGCACAACATAAAGTTGGTATTATACGTAACATAGTGGCTGCTATACTTCACGGAGTGATGTATAACAGCCACTTTACGCGCATCGAAAGAGCAGGAGTTTCAAATGTGGAGAAGTTGTGACTCCAAATAAATTACGTCCTGAGGCGTAAATATTGCTAGAAAAAAAATTGTTTATTCGCGGAAGATTTGTTTTGGTGACATGCTTGTCCCAATTGGGCTGTTTAAAAAAACACTTTTTCTCTTTGCAGTTACCCTTTAAAGGGCCCTTTGGCACAGACCACCATGACATCAACCTTCTTTCTGTGCGATGCGTAGTGTTCGCAGGAGAAACTTGGCCCGCGTTTCCAAAAAACACTCTGTATATAGGACCACATTTTTTTGCCATTCTACAAGACTCATTCTACAACAGACCTGCTTCGTGCACTTACGTTTACTGTACCATTACAAAAATCTTGTGAGATACACAACCTATTGGTAGTCTCTGAAGTTGGCAATCTTCCTGCTTGAGTCAACATTTCGAGCATGCATGCAAACATGACTAATACATGCAACAATGTAGTATGTCACTCAAAATGCTCTACCATCCTGAATTTGAAGAGCAAAGTTGCTCGGACTCACTTGTCCAACGTCGCCGCCAAGATGTACTTGCCGTTGGGTGAAAATTTTACAAAGGAAACTGGTGGGTTGTCATCGTCTAGAACGAAAAAGAAGAGAAGGCCGCGTTCACATTGGCCTTTACGCCTTCTGCACACATGCAAAATACATACACTCTAGACCACAAAACGAGACATTCGTAAGGTATGTTTCAAAGGAAAACTGAAGTGGTTCCGTATTTGAATAAAAACAGTAAAATTGTCTTCATTTGGCTTCCAGGATTACGAATATCGAGATTATTTTTCTATTTGGTGCACGGAGGCTGCAGAAAAACATTTTCCAAGTATGGCGCCGAAGCCCCCCTTTTCCCGGAGCGTGACGTCATATCCAGAGTTTTCTAAATCTCCGCTTTCGCGCCTCTTCAGCCCCTATCAAAGTTATGCATGTGCACTCTGGCTATTTTCAAAGAGGTCAGAAAAAGACGTCAAGACAGGTGTCAATGCTGGGGAATATACCTGGCAAGCTTGCAATTGTACCCGCTGCCTCATGAGCCACGCGCGCTTGGCGGCCAAAAGACAATTTAAGACGTAACGACTGGTCAGGAGGTTTTTCATGTTTTCTTGCGTTTAGTTACACCTTCAAGGAAAACAAACGTGACATTCAGATTCACGGGATCAAAATACTCTAGAATTAACCTCTAACTTGTTCTTTTGTAAAACTCCAGCTTTTTTTTTTTAAGGACAGCTCCATGATTACAGACATTTTGTGTTCTTAATTTCTAGTCGAATGACTAGTTCCCAACACTCCCCGAATAGCAGTGCCATTAAGTTCTGAGAGGATGCTCGCCCCCGAGAGGCCGTCCATCCCGTTTTTCCGGCATAAATATCTCTAACATAAAAATTCCGTAACATCACCCGACCCCCGATTCCCGTCGGATGTCACGCGACGTCCGACGGGAATCGCATCAACTGCGCAATTTGCCGCACCAGCATGTCTGACAAGCAAGTTCATAACGGGTTACTACATTTTAATGCATTAACTGTCCCATGGAGCGAGCCGACATCATCAGCTTTGAAGCCGCGCCAAACGGCACTTCAAATCCTTTCTCGAAGTGAAGCCAGCTCCCAGCTATGAAACCACGCAAAAAGCCTAGCCAAACGGCACATAGTTTCCCCGATCCTAAAGGAGCGGACTAAAGCCGATGGATTTTGGCTTCGGTTCCATTGGCTGGCGCACGTCGATGAGGCTCCCATTGGCCACAGCGTGTCAGTTTCAATGACCGCCACCCCATGGCGCTGCGTGTCCGCGAGGCAGCGGTTCCACCGGTACACGCCCAAGGTCAGCACGCAGAGGAGAGCTAGCATGCGCGCTTGGCCGTCGATTCAAGTACGCTGCAGACGAAATAAGGCAGCGGAAGAATGATGTGCACGCTTTTGCATTCACAACTCATAAGAAGTGCTTAGGTGTACCTCGAGCCTTTTTTCTGCTATCTGCGCACGTGATATCGGCTCCTGTAACACGAGAGTTGTTTCTGTGTATATGCTGCGCTCTGAAATATCTGCAGTATTCGTTCCCGTGAAGTTTGTAGTGGACTCCCACGTTTTTGTCTGCGATCTCGATTCTACGCAAGATGGTCTTGCACGTATAGGTATTGCATTGTTAAATACAAATCTGCTGCGTTCGTAATCTGCGGTATTTGTTCCTGTAACATAAGAATTTGTATCGGACTCCCACATTTTTGACCGTGATCTGCATGCACAATATCGGTCCCTGTGACAGGCAGGTTTGTACTGGGTTCACCTAACTTGAATCTGCTGCATCTACGATTTGCGGTATTCGCTCCCGTGAAATGCGAGTTCTCGGCGGGTTTCCGCGGGTCTTTTGCACCGTGAAACACAAATCGACTGTGTCCGCAAACTGCGGTATCCTTTCCCGTGACACAGGAGTCGATAGCGTATTGTCGTATGTCTATTGCATCATGAAACACGAATCTGCAGTGCCAGCGATCTGCGGTATCAGTTCTCGCAACACGTGATTTGTGGCTGGTGCCAGGGTGTTTATCATTCATTTTTTTTTTTTCAAAGTTTTGCTGTGGCATCCCCAAAAATAGCCCAACCCCTGTTTTTCACCATTTGTCTCTTCATTATGGGTGGGCGTTCTTTCGGAACTTTACGGTAGTAGTAGTTGCGAATGTTCCCATAAAAACACATCTAAAATACTAAAGCTTGCAACTTGCGTTTGTTCGTAGCTCGATGATCTGCGAAAAAGTTTCCCCGTTAGTCTTGAATCTTGAAACTGCCATACTTCTGTGGCAGTTTCGAGGTCATCATATTTCTTGTCAGGAGAGCACAAAGCCACAGAAAATACCCAATAGAGTTGCTGCTTTTTTCTCAAGTTAGCCACATCTTTTTTTACAAGCAGCACATGAAATGGATAAGTCACTGGTGACGATAGAGCCTTGTTCACAGAGGGGTCGACCTAGACTCAAAAAAGATATAGCAGCTGGACAGCGGACAGTGTGACACTGCCATTTTATTGCCCAAAGGTGACACAACTCCATGCAGTTAAAGGTATAAAAAAAATAGTGTTAAAAGTTAATAAGATGTTCTTAAAACATGTTCAATGACAGCAATAATTCTTATTTCTGCACCAATTGTTTTTTGTTTTTTTTCTTTTGATAGAAAATGAATTTTCTTACCACTGTGGGAATTTTTCACGGCTGGAATTTGAGAATTTTAACGAGGTATTTTTGGCGTTACCTCTCTTATAATGATAGAGAAGGGCGTTAGTACTACGGAACATGTAGAAACAGTAATGACCTAGGAGAAGTATGTGAACACCAACCTATCAGCGTCTTCAAACATTGCCCAGATGCAGTATCCCAGATGCGGCTAGAAAAAGCAGAAAAAAAAACAAAAAAAAACATTACTCACACATAAGGAAATTAATGTTTTCCTTACGGTTCAATGAAAAAAAGCAGCATTAACAAGACAATGTTAATTTTCCCACCGGAAAAGGTACCCAATCAACACTGCAGGAATAGTGCATCACTTACCGCTCATTCACACTGGAAGCGGATCCGCGTTCGCAAAGCGGTTGTATAAAGATCCAATACATTTTCACGCGCACTTGATGTCACCGAGTGCGCGTGCAATTGTACTGGATATTTATGCAACTGCGTTCGTAACCGCTTTGCGCACGTGGATCCGTTTCCAGTGTGAATGAGCAATTAGAGTAGTTATCTTCTGTCAGACCTAATTTCAGAGCCCATTTTTATTCCAGAATGATGCTCCTATATAATGACAGCGGATGTCTAAGCTTCTCTAAGCAGCCCACCATTTTCAACTGTCTAACTGCCAGAAATCCTAAATTGCTAATAGAGTAATATGACTTAAACTGACTAGTTCGAAATAGATTAAAGGGGCACTCAAGTGGATTCTCGGATCGTCTATTTACCGTCATAACTCAATCTATGGGCTCTAAGCATCCTAAGAAACCCTAAATTACACAGAAGGGCAGCCAATTTCCCTATTAGAAATCCAATCAAAGATTGTGCTATGCACCCCTTTCTGCGCTACAGCGCAGAACATCAGGGGGTGCCACCAGACGGGAAAGCAACTGGGGAGGGCACGCTACAGCCAATCACGGGTGACTGCTTCCCGGCGGACAAAATTTTCGAATACAACTGCCTTAAAACAAAAACAGTCTGCCGGGAAGCCGTTGCTCGTGATTGGCTATCACGTGCCCTCCCTTGCTGCTTTCTTGTCCGGTGGCACTCCCTGGTGTTCTGCACCACAATGCAGAAAGAGGGCGCGACACAATCTTTGATTGGACTCTAAATAGAAAAATTGGCCGCTCTTGAATGCGACTTCGAGTTTTTTACGATGCTTAGAACCCGTAGATTGGGTTTTCACAGTAAATAGACAACCTCAAAATCCATTTGAGTGCCCTTTTAACGGTGGTAAATGAAACATTCTCATAAATGATGGCCAACAGTTCATACTATGTTTACTAAAGCAAATATTGTCCACCCACTCGAGCACAAACATCTTTTTCTCATGCTTTTCTCTGAAATGTGTGACGCAACCGTGAAATGTGAAAGGAGACGACATTATGAAGAAATTTAAGGTCATCTGTTGTTTAGATGGTGTTGAGGGACCACCCAACGTGTAAGCTCACCACTTCGCTTACAACGAAACCGACTCAACAACTCCAGAACTCACCAGAGGCCGTCGTAGCTACTGGAGACGATCAGGGATCCGTCCCTGTTGAAGTGTACCTGAGAGCAAAAGACGGAGTGGTCGTCGATTGTCTTTGGGTTCAAGACATGGCGCGGCAGAGATGTTGCAAAAAAACTCACGGCGGAGACCGGGTCCGAGTGTGCCGGCAGGGTCTTGAGGCACTTGCCCGTCTTGACGTCCCATATCCGGACGCTCTCATCAAACTGCGAGTGGAAGGACACTATGTCAACCCCCAATGCTACTCCCCAAGTATACTCGAGCGCCTTCCCGCGTGGTTTCGGTTTGCTCCCTGTCTCTCCCAACTGGGCCGTCATTTGTTTTTACATGTAGCAGCTGGGGTGTCGAACCGGAACCGGAACTGAACCACTTGCTTTTTGGACCAGAACGGAACCCGAACCGAAATGGTTGGCGGCACTTTGAAGCGGAACCCGAGCCGGAGCAAAACGAAGGAACCGTTTCGAACCGGTTCGCAAAAAGTCACAATTCATTAACAAATATAGGGCGAGAAAGTGCTGGGCGTGGGAAGACTTAATGCTGCGGCTCGTCTAAAGGAAGCACAAAACCGCCGTCCACGTAATTTCGAGGGTAATATTACCACCCTCGCACTTTCTCGCCCATTATCTGTTTGGGACTTGTTGCTGTTGTGACATTTGCTGCATGTGTTGCTGTTAAAGAAACAGTGCAAAGAAAAATAATAATTTAAAAGGAAAAAGCCTATTTACAATCCAAACACCAAAAGATGCATTTTCCCTCAAAATGAAAATTAATTAAAGCAATATTAACAGTCTGATACTCATCTGAGTTTGCCTGAAAAAGTTGCTCTTAGATACAGTGATGAGCCCCTTTTCAGAAAAACACATCAGAAAAACACAAACAAGTCTCGTGCTGTTATTATTGCTCTAATTCATTATCTCTTGGAGAAAAATCATCTTGGGCATGTAGATTATACAATCTAAGCTTGTTATAACAGACCTGAATTTGATTAAGTTGTTGGTCTGTTCTAAGAGTAAGTTGTATGCAGATATGAAGTTGAGTCCATGCATGGTATGTAGAGGAAAACCAAACTTCACAAATCAATATGGTATATCCAAATGTCTGTTGTAACCAGGTCTGCTGTAATGAGCTTAAACTAATCAGAATGTTAAAAAAAAAAAAAATTTTTCTCTGCTGTGTTTTTTAAAGACATACGCAAGGAGGCCTTTTGCCTGGTAGCGATAGAGGGAGTCGTTCTGATAATCAATTTCTTTTATTGCTGCTGTTTCATAAAGAATTCTTGTTCAGCTGTCTCCGATATCAGTAAACGGGAGGGAAACCTTGTAAAGATTCCATTTTCTGTCCTCTCTGTGCTCCTTCAAACATTAACAATTTAATCAATATTAAAAATTTGGCTTCTGGCTGAACCTTTACGAACCGGTTCAAACCAGTTTGAACCGTTTTTCTTTCCCATTCCGGGGCTGAACCTGAACCAAACCAAATGTCTGAACCGTAAACGGACAGAGTTTCGGTTCGACACCCTGGTAGCAGCATGTATGAGCAAGCGACAAAAACAATGTTTTATCTTGTGGCATCACTTTTTGATGGCACATAATCTTTTTCTACTTAGGCAACTTCGGTTTTGGTGTGCCCCTTCAGCGTGACGGAATCGCAAATCCACATTGTTCAATCTTGCACTTCATGGTGAACACCGAGATTTAAAAATTACAAATTAACTCGGTATTTGACAACCGTCAAAGTGAGGAAGCCATGGTTTTTAACAAACAAATCTGCGAGGTCAACGTGCCACCTCATAGCATCGCAACTCGAAGAGCATAAAACAAAAAACACATTAGAAGTACACAGACATCGATTAACTTTTCCCGATAAAATAGCACATTGCTTATACGCAAATATTCTTCACGAAGTATGCTACGGTGTCATCGAGACCAAAAATCTGCATTTGGCATGTGGGAAAATAAACCCGACACTGTTATGACATGCCAAAAATAAAATATGAGATAACTATACTGCTGAACCCATTGTATGTTCCTATAATCCTGCTGAATTTGTTTTGAAAATGATGCTATAGTTTTTGCGGAGAAATCAATTTATATGCGGGTCTCTCGGAGGGCGGATCCGAATGGCGCGGGAGGCTGGCTACATAGCCAGCCTCCAGTGCGGCGTCCACTTGCACGCACTCACAAACTTGGCTCTCTTGGCGTCTCGAGTTTCAGCTACCTCGTTTACTTTCCCCGTTTCGCGCATGCGGCCCATGACGATTACGTCTACGGCATTGCTCGCCTTGTCAAAGTGTCTGACATTGATCGCAGCAGCGATGAGTGGGATTGCTACCAAGAGATGTTGGAAGCTGTTCATTCTGACTGCGACCTGCTGCCAACCTGCTCCAGCGACGGCGAGTTACGGACGAACTCGCTGTGGTCACCGTCGTCCTGGAATATCTCGCAGGCGCATACAGGGTGGAAGTTCAACGGGCCGGGGGCGAGAGCGAGAATAGCATTCGGGTTACCGAGTTGTGTGAGCGGTTTTGATCGCACCGTGGCGAGGAGAGCATGGGCGATCATGGGGGCGCCTAGAATGAGAGAGCGTCCATGATCACATGGTTTATGGACACCATGGTGTGACTAACTTGGGCAGTGTTGCCTGGTCGCCAGATGATAATGACACAAATTCGTAAATTGATTATCGCAATTACCAGAGCTCTAAAAATTGTGTAACTTGGTGTATATACTAAGTAGCCTATGAGCATTCCATTTCAAGAATAATCTATCCATTTAATTTTCGTGTAATAACCCCTTTAAGGAGCGCTGCAAGAGCCCCTTGTAGTTACGCAAGTTCTGGAGTAACACAAAATTGGCAGATCCTCAGGGGTTCTTAAAGTGGGTTTGAATCTCCGTTTTTGAGGCTCGGTGACAATTTTGCTTTTGACTGCGACCAAGTGCATTGCAAGGGTTTGCGATGGCAAACACACTGGCGGCACCTATCGGGTAGCCCAGGGACCCTTCCGACCTGCGTACATCTTCTCATTGTTCTTACGCATCATTCCTTCGCCGTGGGCTCGAAATAATTCTGGAAATGTTATGAGTGACCACTAGAGCTGGAATTTCCGGGACATGTCTCGACTTCGAAAAGTGTCCTCATAACGATGTCGGCTACCAGTACACATCTATCGAGCAACTCCCACTCGGTTCTCGTCAACTTTTTTTGTCACAAATTTACTTCAAGTGTCCCGAAAGATACAATGCGGAGGGCAAGTCGTCTGCTGCTTGCGCAGGAGTTGAGGTGACGTCAAACAACGCCGAGCACTGATCGGCTTTGGTTGAAAGGATAGTGGGTAGACCTCAATGCTAGATGCCTCGAGGTCTACCCACTATTTTTTTTAATCAGCCAATAAGAGCTCGGCATTCTGACATCATCGCAACCCCTGTGCAAGAAGCAGACCTGTGCTCTGCATATTTTCCCAATTTTCCATTAAGTTTCCAGTCCCTTAACTGAAACGCCCGTATACAATGTGCCTTTCACTCATCTATGATATCTTTGTGTCAGCAAGGAGCCAGTGTGGCTTTCTTTTGCCAATGGCGGAGGAAAGGCACAGCCTAAGCAAACAAATGCAAGAGATGTTCCTGGCCATTTCCTCCAATGCACGAGACTACAATGTGTTTTGGAATAATAAAAAGAATACATATTTCGACGCTAATAAACACTGAGCATACTCACGGAATCATACATTGTCCTGGAAAGTGTCCTAGTGTTTTGGCATTCCCTGTACCGATTTTGTCCCGATTTCAGCACTAATTTTGTCCCGGAAATCCCAGTTCTATTAACCACCTCTCGTATAGCAAAGATTCTTGACCTTGCCAATACTGCAAAACTTCCAGTCTAGTTATACAGAGATCAAAAGCGTTCCAGGACGACCTAGAACGCAGTTGGCCTCGATCCAGTTTTCAGGGGCAAAATAAGTTCACAGTGCCTGTCGACTCCTCCTTGCTACGTTAGTCGACAGAGCACAGCACTTGGAATCCCCAATTTTGCCAACACCTGAAGCCAAGATGTAACGCAAACAGCGATGCCAACAAGGAGATAGCCAACAAAGAGCACTCACAGAGCCAGAGACAATGAGGTTGGACTGCGGATTGAAGTTGCAGCAGAAGACGTAGTTACTGTGGCCTTTCAGTGTTTTCAAGCATTTGCCCTGCGAGGTAAAAGAAACGTTTAGGACAACAAGGCTCTGCACAACCTTTGACGTGGTACAATGTAGAGTACTGGAAAGGATGTGTTCGAGGTGGATGCAATGCTACCACAACGACCGGCTCAATAGCCACTCTCTTTTGACTTTCGAGCACTCCAAGCGAACGACAAGGCTAGTTGGTAACATGTTAACATGCGTGCATGTAGTACGATATCAACTTGCTCAACTAAGTTTCGGTGCCCAACTTGTATCTTAATAAGGCCAATGCTAATACATCAAGCTTTTGCTGATGTCGTAGCACTCTGAACAATTGTGCTCAATGTAGAATAAAGAATACACAGCAGGCTTCCTAAAGTTTGCTGCATACAATTGTGCAACAACTGCAACCCCTTTTTCGAGCCAACATTGCTACAAGCCCTAGGTATCCTCAATTGCAGTCATTAATTCAGGGTGTCTAGCAAATTATTATTTTGAAATTGCCCATCTTTTCCAGGTTTTCCCTGACAATTTCAGGTGAAATTCCCCGACCACTGTAGAGGCAGTTAAATATATAAGACCATTACAACACAAGGAATTGAGCACTAGGACGATCATTTTGCACGAACTTAGTCCAACTTGCATATTCCGAAATATATGTTTTTTTTATACGGGTTCGTCCAGTCCGGATTAAATGAGCACTTTCTTACCGCCGCCATTGTCAGTGAAGAAGCCACTTCCGAAAACATGATTAAAACACGACGCTCAACCACTCACGTCATAGCCGAATGGCAGCCTGGCTGCCAGATGCACACTTTCGGATACTTTCGGTTTTAAGGCTTGGATTGGATTGGGGCCTGCGGCTTTCCATTTGTTACTAAATCTAGTAGCTCTAACTGGATCTAGCCTAGTGCCACGCCCTCAATTGAATCCAAAGCAACGCTTAGACGGGATTGTTCCCTTTGCATTGGGTAGCACACTCCACATCAGATAAGCAGAGCCTGCACACCGCATCAAGCATAATTTATTGCCTATTTTTCTGCCCCTAAGTCTTCAAGGCTTTGCTCAGGGCACTCGATGGCATTTCCAGATCATTTTCCCTGACTGGGCTCGCTTTTTAAGAATATCCCTGACAATTCCCCAACCTTTCCTGGTAATTAAAATTCCCCTGACAATTCCCTGTTTTCCCGGTCGCTAGGCACCATGTTAATTGCTGTGCAGCTGAGCTCTGATGTAGTGCAAGAAAGCTCTCTTATCAAAAATGAAATACATAGGATCCATACTAAATGTATTCTCAACAGGTAAATGTGAGGATTGTGGCACAAGTCTACTCACACTGCTCACTTCCCATATTTTCAAGGTCTTGTCATCGGACGCACTCACAAGTAGGCGGCTGTCTGTGGACCATGCCACGTCGGAGATCCCCTGGAGATAGAGAGGGCACAGTGTCATCGACATGGGCAGAGATCCATCTGAAATATTATGGCGACACAATGGCCTACAGCACAATGCCTTTAAAATGAATTCTTCTTCTAGGATAATGCCAGCTTGATGGGGTAGATGCAAAACCCGGCCCATTCCCCATGGTCTCACTATTTTAGCATTGCAGTGATGCGATTGGTCAGAGTCACTTTGGAGCAACTCTTGGAGGAGCCAAAAGTTAATTTTGGAGCACCAAAAATAACTTTTGTATTATCATTTTTATTCATACCAATGCAGACATTATGTTAAGATTAATCTGTCGGCGTGTCCAAGTAAAAGGCAATGTAGACTACATTGCCTTCTCACTTATGTGCAACCCTTTGTTAGATCAATTGCACAGCATGACTGAGTCTCTCAAACGCAAAACTAGCGTTTAGTTGCGTGGAGAAGCACAAGACAGGTGAGAAGGTGAGTGGTGAAGGACAGCAGTAACTGCTGTGAATGGTTATTTTAGGCACTGAATCCCACTGAAATAATACAATAATATTGAGCCCATAAATTAATGGTTCCTTTAAATTCTAAAGGTTGTAATAAGACAGCAATTTATATTTCAGATAAAAAAACACAGCACTTGTCATTTGATTATGATCGTCAATTACGTCTTATGTGTAGACCTTCATAACAAAATGGCATGCGAATGAAACCTAAAAATAATCTCGCCAAACTTACTAAGGGGGGACACTACCCAAAAGGGTCAACTTCTGAACCTTTTGCTTCAAGGGATGCTGAAACAAAATCTGGATTCCACGAAACACGCGGCAAAAGCGTGCAACGGGATGCTACATACACCAAAACATCACTCATACAGCGATATCTCGAACAAATGACTGTATTTTTCAAAAAAAGGAGGCGCATTTGACAGATATGTTTACGTCTTGTTTCTCCGAGAAGGAGAGGGAACGGCCTCGCATTTTCTCCGCCTCGCCGCCTTGAAAGAGCGAAGTGAAGAGAGGAGGAAACAAGATATCTCTGCGTCACACACCTCGTCGGCCTGGTTCAATCTCGACCCCTTTTTCCAAAAATACGGCTGTCCATTCGAGATATCGCCTTATGAGTAGTGTTGTAGGGATTGTACCGTACCGCCTGCATCTCCTGAAATGTTTTTTTAAAATCCAAATTTCGGTTCACCATCCCTTTAAGGTTATTCCCTAACTTCCATCCACTGCTCCTGCCAACTTAGTTTTAATTTACTCACATCTCTATAAAAGTGATAGCTAAACAAATGAGTTGGCACCAATAAATAAACATATGAAAGAGCGCATGTAAATGTCCTTGCAATACCGAAGTATTCTTGCTAAATCTCAATTTGGAAAAAGGTTCCACCAGGATATCGTAGTCTATCATATATACAAGCCAAAGTTTTATTCAGGAATTGAGTTGCGTCTCGCTCTGGAAGAGTGCTTTCCCCTTAGCATGGGGGTGCGCTGCGGCGAAGCAAGACACGAAAAAATCGCAGTGCTTACACCGCAGTTTTCACTTCTCTGCAGTACACTAGTGTGCGAGGAGAAGCACACTCAACGAGACAAACTAACCCTCCAGCACATTGTTTCTCAAATGGGAGTCCGCGGACCCTTTGGGGACCACGAAAACATTCTAGGGGTCCGCAAAGCCCTGCCTCGTCAGTCAAGCCCGGCAATAAAAGTCGTCTTTTATCCGACTGAGAAGAAGCATTCCAATTTTCAGGTGAGCTTTCTCATGTATATGTCAATAAGAAAATTCGTGTTTCATAACAGCCCTTAGTAATATCCGCTTAATAAATCATTATCATAATTAACCTATATACCATTCCCTTCCCCTCACCACAAACGGGGTCCTCTATTATCTCCGCCGATCCACAAGGGGTCTGTAAATCATCAACGGTTGAGAACCACTGCTCCAGCAGAACAGACGACTAACATGAGAATCATTGCGAAACTTCCGAGTACTGTCAGCCTTTCATACGAAATGCGATAAAATAGTATGCTATTTAAGACGATAGTCAAAAGTTCTCGAGAACTCACATAAGCATATCGTAACGGTTGGGCCGGACAGCGAGGCCTGAGATATTATATTATTAGTACAATTAAAGTGAAATTAACTTTTGCGCAACGTTGGTGCAAATTCCTCACATTTCAGTAAAATGTAGCAGGATGTAGCAGGATAAGCACATTGGCGCAGCAATCACATCCCTGCATTGCCACCGTGACAATATTCCGGCTTAAGTAAATTATATGGCCTCGCAAAATTTATTTATTTATTTATTTCGTATTCTGACGAAATAAATAAACGTCTTCTGAACGTCTTCTGAGTAGAACCACCTTCAAGCATCTTTAGCAACTATCCCATCACTTGATTTATTTAAAGAAGTGCTTACTAATGACTTATGTTAATATTTTGTCAAATTGAGTGTGTTTTAATCACTGCCTTTTACGTTTCTATTTTCTTTTGAGTGAATTCTTATATGCCCTGCCCCCTCTGTAATGCCCTATGGGCCCTGAGGGTATTGAAATAAATATATGGCCTCGCAAAATATATGTGAACCAGTCCTACAAATTTACCGGGAAGCAAGCAATTAATTTCACATCAGTAGGAAATGAGGAGTGCTGGGAGGAGAGCTTTGCTGGCGACAGAAGGCCACAAAGTGCCGCGGTACCCTTTTTTTTTTTTCTTTCTTTTTGAGCATGTTTGAAACCAGAAAGAAATTAAAAAAACAGCTTTGCCACATTCTTCTCAGCTAGCCTAGGTGGTGCAAGCTACTGCCCAATACAAAAGGTTAGCCAATACAATCTACCTATCATGAGGATCTTTGAAATTAACCTATTTGACAAAATATCACGCTTCAAGTCAACGAGTCACCTGCAACAACTTTGGCGTCACCGTTTCCCAAAACAGTGTGCATGTCGCAAAGACATACCACTAAACGGTAAACCAGGTTTGGATTCAAATGTTAAACTTTTGGTGCCACATTTGCAGAACGATGACATTTGTACAACAAACGTTTTGGTCGGTCCCGCGGAGTTTGTCATGACGATGTGTGACTGTACTTAAAATTCGAGGCCACTTCCATATTAAAAAAAGGCCTGTGGAGGCCCTCCTCATTGAACCTGGTAGTTTGCACTGCTAGTTTTAATGAAGTGACAGCTCTTACTTCAGCAGAAGTCCATATGGACTCACCAGTTTGTGTCCTGAAATAGTCTTCTCAAATTTGCCATCATAAGCACCCCAGATCTTGATGAGCTTGTCTGCCGCTGAAAATAGTGGATGTACATCAAAACAATGCTAAGAAGTTTATTGTTGGAGATCTATTGCAACTGAGCAGCTCTCTGCCTTGAAACGAAACAACTCCTGCTTGACATAAAAACAGGCAATCCCATCGAGCTTGTACAAAACAACATCTCCTGCACATAAGAAGAGGCAATTCTTTAGAGCTTGTACAAAGGAATGACTGCTCCACATAAGAACAGGCGACACCTTTACAAAAGAACACCTGCTTCACATCAGAACAGACAGTCCTCTCAAGGTTTAACAAAAGAACACCTGCTCCAAGTCAAAACAGGCCATTCTTTAGAGGTTGCACAAAAGGACACCTGCTCCACATCAGAACAGGCAATCCCTTTGAGCTTGCACAAAGGACACTTGCTCTACACAAGAACAGAAAATACTTTTGAGCTTGCACAGATACTAATGCATAAGGCTATGAGAGAAGGCAAGCTAATCTGCACTGTACAGCTCATTCACAGATGTACATTTTGTGTTCACTGTGCCAAAAGCTGCGTGCTTGAACTTGCATCCTTTCAGAGTCCCAAACGGTTGTGTGTCATCTGTGTTCCTCCCTTTCCCTTATCTCTGTTATTCAGTGCGCTGTTTAACAACGGACCCTGTGCAGCACCTCACTCCAACGAGCCTTTTTCCGTAGTTGCAGCCCAAGCTCGCAGATTCCATAGACTCCACTCGGAGTAGCAGGGACCAAGGGTAGCCTCTCATTAACTGGCTTACTACGCCAGTTGACGAGAAGCTACCTTTGGCACCCGCTGTTCCGGGCCGAACTACCATCATCTGCCAGTCACTGTTCCCGAGCTTGTGATAACACAACAACCGCAGGACTCACAAGAGCTGGCCAGCCACTCTCCATTTGGACTGAACTTGACCGACGAGACGGCCTTGGTGTGCCCAGCGAGGGTGAACTTGAGCGAGTAGTTGGGTTTCTGTTGAGAAGCCGAAAACATTGATTTCAAAGGTGCACGCTCTCCCCTAGAGTCACTCAATAAACTATGCGTCAGTGACAATGGTTCGGCCAACTTGGTGCATAAAATCACTGTCGCCAGATATCAAGATTTATTTTTGAATTGTAGAAAGCAGGTTTCCGTCCTCTAGAAACATTAAAATGTCCACGACAAAGCTAAGTGATCTCGCCCGAACTTGCTTGCACTGTGTCCAAAGCTAAGAAAGTTACATTTCCGATTAGTCCTGATTGTCAATTGCACCCGACCAGCACTGAGCACCAAAATTGCAGCACCCACAAGAAAATCAGGGAATGCAGTGTCGATACTCTAAGAGCAGCTTATTTGGTGGCCCTACTCTCCATTATGGAAGGTCTATCAGGGTTTCCTGTAATCTGATCTACCGGGCGTTTGGGAGAGAAGAAGACTGTGTTTTTCTTGCCCTGAAAATAAACTGCACTGCCCAATGCTCAGCAACTACACCTTGACATGCTGACAAATGTAAAGCACCAACACCACGCATTACCAGCTAGCCTATATTCATACTTTGCTGCAAACCACACTTTATGTAACATCGTTTTGCAATGCCCTTTGGCAGTGTCGAAACGCCGACCCAAATGCCATCATCTGTTGTTGCAACCTAGTTTGAGCATGATCTGCTAATTGTAGGTGTTTGCGCATGTGCTCTGCCGAATGGTCTCTCAAACCCTTGCCGAATTCTGCCAAATGCAAACTTTGGCCGATTCGGCTCATCACTATACTCGTTTTCACTTCAAGAACCGTAGTAAAAGAAGTCCGGCTCTTCGCGGAGCATTATTAATTTCCCCCTTTATGTAAACAATTACGATATATGTAGGTGCATTTTAGATTAGACAGATGATATCTTATCAACATGTACACACTTCAAACCCGTAAGCGTTGCTTCCTTTTCCGACAACTAGGTCTTGTAAGAACTACTTCGCGCGGCGTATGAACAATCCGTAAAACATACTTTTTTCTAGAGGTGAAAACAAGTATAGTGATAATGCCAATGCTATAATCTTCAATTGCATGGCATAAAACTAAAACCAGATAGAGATACATAATAAACGGAAGCGACAAAACGCAGGGAAGCAAGGGAACAAACTTTATAATAGAGAACCACCATTTTCAGGGTTAAGCCTACTTCCAGATTGCAGCGAACAAAGATGCACATCAAACGTATCCTCTGGTGCCGCGACAACTTGGGCTTTAAAAATTATTTCCTACCCTCAATCTCCCGTAAAAGTTAGTGTAGGAAAACTGTTAATTTTCTGTTTTAACTGATTTAACTTTTTCTTTTTTTGTTACTGACAGATGGTTAGCTCCTGCTTCAAGCCAAAAACCAAAAAGTTTACAGCCCAACAATGTGCAATGCATGTGACATACCCGACAAACAGGCGACGTTAGAAATTTAGGAGACTCAGAGCTTACAGGAAACAATGATTTCAATGGCATTAAATCAATGAGAAATAAGGTACACTCCTGCTTTGTACAAAATACACTGCAGCGGCAAAATTGATGCAAGGAATTTTGGCACTGCATGTCTCGTAATTTGGCAGACCACATGATACTGTGCCAAATGAAATAGTTTCTTTGAAGGCATGCATTATAGATCATGCATATATCCGCCTCCAATCCGACGAGCAAAGTGAAATTAATTGCAGCACCTTTTCGTTGAGAGCAGATCTGTCGTCACCATCATGTGTCTCAATCGAGAAACCAGATGATCAATTATCCCAAAAGTAGTTGCACTGTTACACTCATACTCATACTTGATTAGCAATCAGGAGTAGAAAAGCTTGAAGCAGGGTATGAGTGTAACAGTGCAACTACAGGCTGGCCAGCATGTTACATCGGTGTCACACGCCAATTAAACCGAATGATTAATTGCCCCAACGAATGGGCAACAAATAGAAGCGACTGAAACAGAATATGAGTGTTAACAGTAGACAAGCAGGGCAACACTGTAGTCACACGTCAATTAAACACGGCATGCATGCAAGTTCCCCTCTGTGATAAGATTAGGCGACGGCGCTCGCTGCGACACCAGGCGAAGAAGAAGGGCAGCTCACGAGTTTCGCAGCCGCCGACGGGTCGCCCGGCTTGGAGCCCCCGAGGCCACTTGCACCCGACTGAGCCGTGGCTGACAGTTGATCGGCGACGCACTCCGGAATCTGCGCGATGGGCGAGCACTCGTCATCCCCGGTCCCACTCATCGTCGCGGCGGCGTGGACGGCGTACAGCCCAGATCTTTTAGGGACGCCGTCCACGCAAGGCGGGCTCGCGCGGCGTTCGCCTTCTCGAAACTCCGTTCCAAGTGGCGGGATCTCTCTGCGGTCCCACATGGCCGACGCGCGAGCGCGCGAGAACGCTATTTTTTTTTTTTTTTTTAACAGACCTGGTGCTAGATATCGAGGTAGGAACCAGACTGTGTAGCACAACCGCTCAACTAGCCCCGCGTATTCTACGCGCGGTTCGTTCAAGCTAAAGCTCTGGGCGCTCGAACATGCTTCTGGAATTTCAATGGGCGCAAACTCGCGTTAGGGAGTAGCGTATGACCGCTGTACACCGGCTCATACAGAAAATGCTGTATTGCGGCGCTTTTTTATTATTTTTTTCGTCGTTTCATGGGAGGTTGGTCCAAGCGACACTAACCTCGTCGATTTGTAACGTTCGGAGACGTCCGGTTGCGATCATATGCGCGCTTCTGTGCAGCTTCCCTCAAAGCGCGGCCGTAGGTGGACATTGGTTAGAGCGCGACAGGCGAAGTACGCTAAAGTGAACGTGCGACGATCGCGTGCGTGCTTCGAGAGTGGTTTCGAGCGGAGATAGGTATGATTTTTACGTACAGTGTGGGAAATCTTAGCGACGGTCCAGCTCCGCTGCCAGGTTTACTGAAAAACAAAATCGCGTCAATCAGTGTTTGCGACTTCAATGTGGCATGCGGCTACTAGTACTTGGTTGACTTGGTGCTTTTGCCGTTTGAATGGAAAAAAAAGATAGTGTAAATCTAAAAGAAAAGCTCTAGTTTGTAAAATTACTTTATTATAATAGTTACTTGTTCAAAGTTAGGGGGTAGCTTGATTATTTGATTAAAAAGTATATTAACGCGGAATCTTTAAAGCATTCAGAACCGAAACTCTCGTGCTATCGCGCAAAACCACGCATCCTAGGGGGCGTAAAAATGGTATTAAAATTAATTGTATAACTAAAGTAATAAAATTATTTTGTAAGCTGTAATAAAATGTATATTAATTAGACAAAATGAGGCCGTCAACTTGTTCTTGAGTTATTTGTGAAACGTGGTGGGTGCTGTCACGTGACCAGTAATGGCGAATCAGCTTTCAGACCGACAACATTTCGGTTGGTGCTCAGAAGGGCGGAATGTCTGCTTTCTTCTCATGACCGAGCTTTTACTTTTGGACTCGTAAGACAGCGTCGTTTGGACAGATTTTCGAAACTCCGTTCTCGCCGTGGATTTTCGATAAATATTCGTCAACTTTCACCCAGAAACTAGCGAGAAAAGACGAGAAACGCCAAGTTCGGGGGTCATGTGATTTGAACTGACCAATAGGATGTTCGCATTTGAACGTCCTCATATAAAAGCCGACCTTGTGCTGCGTAGCCATTGCTGTTGGCAGGTTCTGTTATTCGGGAGAGTAATCCGGGTGGATAATGGATTTTGAGAGCCATCCGACAGCGCAAAGCTACCGGCAGTCTGCGCACAGCGTCAGCAAAGGGTACTATATTGTTATTTTCAATCTAGGAGATTTTTTCATGGCCTTAAACGAATTCTATACAAGCAGTTCCTACATTGTGGTTCGTCCGAAGGACAGCCATTATTGATTCGGCAGTGAGGCTTGCTAGCTTGTTCCGTAAAATGCTAAACTTTAATAAAGTAGTGTTTTTGTAGTGACAAACGGTGTATCTTGTGATTCTCTGGTGTCCGCGGCACGCGAACGTCACTATTCGGCCTGCGAACTCAGCTTGCTTGCCTGACGCGAACGCTAAATTCGTCAACCCTAACCGCTGTGGCGTTTGTTCTCGCGAAGTGCGTAAACTCCGCCATATTCTGAACGCGCCGCTGACTGAGCGATAGCCGGCCGAATTTGCCACGGCTCCCACCGACCGAGCGAGCGCTCACAAGTCGCCGGAGCGCGAGCCGTTTCGGCGCCTTTTTTGTGCGGATCGGAGACCGAGCCTTGATCTTGTGCAGTAAGCGAACCGCCGTCTTTGCCGGCAGTGATTGTCAAAGCCTTCCCGAGCTCGTCTCCCCAACGCGTCAGTTGGCTGCGGTCCGTGCAGAGACGGCGCCAGGACGCCGAGCTTTTGTCGGCGGGTGCCGGTGAGCGGGCGGGGACCGTTGTCGGAAGCTTTGGCGTCGTGCTGAGTCTATCTGTGCCTATCTACGCCGCTTTCTGTGCATGACTAGCTCGCCTTGCCGGCCGGTCGGCTTGGGCGACGTGTTCGGCGTCTCTTGTCTCGGCGTGTGTGTAGCGTGTTTTTGAACTGCCTGGGCGTCCGTTGGACGTTTTCGCTGCCGTTGCACGTTCGGAAAGCGCGGACTTGTAGAAGTCAAGGTCTCTTGTCGTGTGCCGGTACGTTGTGAACAGAAAAAAAAGCCGTAAGAATTTGACGCGCTCAGCTTTCCCTTGGCGTGCCGCGTTGGGACTCGTTGGGTTTCCCGCCCTGTGACTTGTGCGCGTTACCTGCGTGTTTTCAGAAAGCTCCGTATCATTTGGATGTGAACTCGTTGCCTTCTAACAAGTACCGTGCATTCCAGAAAAAACGGATTACGAGTAGTCTTTCGACTGTAAAAGTAATTGTGTCTTATTTGCGCACGTTGGGTTCAGTGACTAGCAAGTTAGGCATGCCTAACCATGTTACCCTATCAGAACTAATGTCGTTCTTGAAAAAAAAAAAAAAAAAGGGAATTTGTGGGGAAATTGTCAGGTTGACTGAGGTGTGCATGAAGTCTGCACATGTTCTCTCTCTTCCGACACAGTGTTGCAGAACGTTAGGTTTATTTGTGGTGGGATTTGGTATGCCTCCCCATTTTCTATGCCACAGCGCTTGTATGGAGCTGCGTCTTGCAACTGTGGAGCACAATCTTGTGCGTTGTCTTTGGCTTGCAGGTGCCCGCGCTGTTGCATCTCACACTAGGATCCACATGTGCTTGGCAGCGATGAAATGTCCTTGACCTTTTATCTCTACCGTGCAGCGTATGATCGGCAGCTGCGGCCCTGGGAAGTCGTGCCGGCCGTGCGTCGCCTTCCCACACCGCCTGCTTGAAGGTCCTGGCCCCTTCCTGTGCCCCTTGTCTGCACAGCACCACAGGAGGCATGCATGGAGTGAGTACTACTTTGCAACGTTGCGACCCCTGCTGGCTAGCCTTGCCCTTGCGTCTCGAGCGGACCGCCGCATTGGGGCATTGGTTGTGTAAGGAGGCACACTGTGGCCTTTTGCGGAGCTAACAAACGGCAGGTGTTTTCTGGGTGTGGTGTTGGCGGGAAGTCTGCGTCTTCTGTTGCAGTGGGCGCTGCTGTGCAGTCGAGCGTAGTTGCCTACCGAGGATTCTATAGTTTCAAACAGGTGGTCCCTGGGAGTCGACAGGCGCTTACAGTTTTTTTTGAAGTGGCGTTGAAGGTATTGGTTTGGCAGTGATGACTCGCGAGTTTGAATACTTTGCTTGCAGAACTGGTCGAGGAAAGCAGTCTCTTAGCTGGGGGATACGAATATTATCGTGCGAGCAAGGGGAAAAAGCTCCAGGTACACCTAAGCACTCCTTATGAGTTGTGAATGCGAAAGCATAGAAGTCCCTGCGACGATGTAGATGCTAGAGGTGGCGTCATGATCGTTGGCGTCAAGACGAGCAGAAGCTCCGGCGACGATGTGGATGCTAGAGGCGGTGCCATGTTCGCAGGTGGTGATACGAACAGAAGCACCGCCGACGATGTGGATGATGGAGGCGACGGTATGTTGGTCAGCGGTGAGATGAGCAGAAGCCTCCGAGTGGTGCGCCAATTTGCCCGTTTAGTGGCATGGGGTTGCAGCGGTTAGTTTTATCGGCGCGCTGGCGGCACTAGAGTTCCTGTATAGGCTCCCTACGGGAGCCAGAGTTGCGTGTCTGTTTTCCACGTGCCGCCGCGCCGCTATTCGCCGAGATCCAATCATTTGAGGAGCTGGATCAAATGCTGCACTGGGAGATAGACGTTGAACGTGCCCCGGCATACATTCTCCTGCTTTGGAGCACGCCGCGCGCCTCGAATGTGCGGTGGTGTTATTGGCCGAATTCGGTCATGTGAGGAGCAGGATCAACATGCCATGCAGGAAAGATGGTGCTACGGGGATGAATGCGCAACTCTTGCTCCCGTAAGGAGCCTATACAGGAACTCTAGGGTGCACTAAAGCTTCTTCATGTTTCAAAAGTAGCGCAAGGTTTGTCGATGCACGAGGTGCGTGCAACGTGCAGCCCTTGGGAAGATCATTTATTTTTATTTATTTATTTATTTATTTGGAAATACTGTCGGCCCTCACTTGAGGGTCATTACAGGGAGAATTTTATAACAATACAATTACATACACAAAAAAGCCGGTACAGCGCATGGCGGTACAGCGCAGCCCTGAGCTAGATTTTAGACGCCATGTTCTTTCCAGAAATGGCGCGTGTCTCGAGCATGTCAACAGCAATGAGTTGTGCCACTTTCCCCAGGATAGAGGGGCTTTAGGCTGCACTAGAGTTCCTGTATAGCTACCTACGGTAGCAGAGTTGCGCATTCAGCCTCGGCGAGTGGCCGTAGTGCCGGCTTTCCCGCACGCCCTGGATGCTTTGCTCCTCACGTGACTAAAGTTTGCGAATAGCAGCGCCGCACTTGGAAAAGAGGAGAGGAGGAAAAGGAGACGGAAAGCAGGGGAACATACGTTGGGGCGCGAGCAACGTCGGCGGAGTGACCGTAAAGGTGGCTTTCTTGCATGGCGCCGGATGCTTTGCTCCTCACGTGATGGATCTCGGCGAATAGCGGCGTGGCGGCTCGGGGAAAACAAATACGCAACTCTGGCTCCTGTAGGGAGCCTATACAGGAACTCTTGGCTGCACGGACACGCAGTGCCATTTGGCGGCGGTCGTTGAAACTGACGCACGCAGCGGCCAATGGGAGCCTTGTCGCCGCGCACCCGCCATAGGGATCTTTGGGATGAGGAAAACTAGGCGCCGTTTTCGCGCTTCATATTGATGCCGTCGGCTCGCTCCATGGGACAGTTAAAGGGACACTGACAGGGTATTTATGCTCGCCGAGGTTTTTAGTTGTACGTGACATATGAGAGCTCAACTACCCAGAACAGCATTTGCGGCTCGAAATTCGGTTTCTTTCCGCCCGAAAACCGCAGATCAAGAACTGGCCGGTTCGAGTCTCGCTCACTCTCTTTTCTGCGGTCACGGGCCGTTTTCTAAGGCACACACTCAGTATTAAAAATAGAAAAAAATATGAAACCCATTTTTCGTGGCTTCTAAAAAGATGCAACTACGTTGATTGAGAAAAAAAAGTTCCACAGACAATCGGAAGCATTCTGTGCGTTCGTCGTTTCGCGTATCGTGGGACTTGCGGGAACGGCGATGGCAGCGGACTACGGGCGTGGGACCTCTATTTCAGAACTGTCGTTAACGCTATCGGCGAATTCTGTCTACTTTTAAAAGAGAAAATTGGGACTGATCAGAAGAATTGGTATTATCCCGTACGACACGCCCGACCACCACGCCGATTTGCACGAAGACGTCGCCGCGCCTTCGCTCCATTCTCGTGGCTGAAGACATTGCTCGCGCAAACGTCAAGCACGACGTGTCTACTTCGAGTTGAATATGCACGCGTACGATTTCTTTACTAGGTGCGAATGTCGCCAATGTGTGGTGCTTCCCGACTTCGACCCGGGAGTGCTTTTGCTAGAGGAAAATTGGCAGCAAACTTTACAACTTACAGTTTACCAGCTGAATTATTACTAAGGAAAGAGATCCACCAGTAAAGAGTTGCCTTAGTAGCTCAGTGGGAAAGACGTCCGCTTCACACGTAGTAGGACCGGGTTCAATTCCTCGTAGAACCTTTTCTTTTTTTTTTTTTTTCTCATACATTTTCTGATGTTCACATATCTTTTTTCTTTTTTACAATTATCACTGAAGAAACAAACAAATGTTGTGGACGACACTTCGCTGAATTAAATGGTATGGGATTTCCTTTTTGACACCTGCGAACTCGATGTAATCACTTTCCACAAAATGCAAGGAGCATATAAATTAGGTAGCGTCCGCTTTCCGAGGTGCCTGGGTATGTTCTACAGGAATTGCAGCCAGCCATTGGTCCCGATCCCGTTGATCCTTCGGAAACTCTGTTGCACAATGTCCCTTTTTTTTGGGACGCAGGACATGTGAGCCAGCTCTTCACGCAACATCTTGGGTGTATTCTTTTCGGAGCCGATCATGGAAATTCACCACGTGTACTCACTACTCATCTCCAACTCCTCAATGTACAAAACAGCTCATCTTGGAGTACAGAACAACGAGCGGAACAAACATAACTGCAAAACAATCGCACAGCGAACAGTTCCCATACGCCGCAATGTCGTGTCGTCTGCTATGGATAAGAAAAAAAACCAAAAAAAAAACCGCACGGTTGGGTGTAGCCCTGTGACTTCCGCCACTCACTCTCTTCTCTCCACTTCTCCGATCTCCGTCGGGTTTCGGTTTCCAGCAGTTGCGTCTTTTGGCTTTATTAAAAAATACGCTACTCTGTTGCAAAATATTAATTGGGTAGTCCTCCAACACCATAATAAAGCGCCTGGCAAAAAAAAAAAAAAAAAGTTTGGGGAGTGTCAGTGTTCCTTTAATGCTTTCGCATTAATAACCAAATTGGTGTCTGGTGGCCGCCACGTAGTGTGCCTCGCTCATATTGTCACGGGTGGTGACCAATAAACAAGAAATGAATAGGAAGAAATAAACGCTTAATGTGGCGAACTTGTGCCAAAATAAAAGGGTAGAAACGATAATAACAGAGCGTCGCGGGCGTCGAAGTCGCCGGTCGGCGTAGCAGCAGAGTCGAACGCTGGGGCGAAAACTGAATCCTGCTTGCCAGGCGGAGCCGCTTTTGTACACGCGTTGGCTTCTGGAGCGTTCGATGTAGAAGGTTCGACGCGGAGAACATTCTAACCTCGAATCAGCTAGACGGTTCTCGAATTCACTAGAACATCACATTACAGTGTAAACAAAAATGCGTAGCCGCGGCCAGGAATCGAACCCTGGCCCTTCGCGTGGGAGGTAAGCGCGATAACCGTTGTGCTACGGCCGCGGTGCCTACTTGGCGCGCGGCAATATTTTTTACAGACCTTGTTGCAATATTTGGTGGGGGCTGTACCAGTGGGTACGGATTAGGCGATTTCACGGGGAATTCACCATCTGCCGAATAGTTCTCTGGTAGCCTCGTTTGCAATTGAACAGAGCAATTTCGTTTCTGGGGTTAAGCATTTATAAGCAATTAAATGGCCAGTCAAGTTGCGATATCTCTGTGGTCACTCCTGGCAGGCTGAGTCATTTGGTTTGTATTCCACTACAGCCTAGGCAGCTGGATCTTTGCATGGGTGATTGCCATAGTGAGTGACAAGTGAAGATTGCGGTAAAAGTTCTGCCTTCAGCAAAGGCTTGTTGCATTCCGTCCTGGTCTGTCTGCGCGTGCCCATGAGATGTTTTCAAAGTTAGAAAAACGGGTGCTGGAGACCTTGACCTGTCACGGACTCTACATTAATCATCTCGTGCGTGTCTTGACCATAGGAAATGTGGCAGTTCGCGATTGGAGAGGATTCAATTTGGTCGGCATTGCATAGTATCTCGTTGTGTAGTGTCTCATGGGGTCTGGATGAAGTGTTGATGGGTGACATCATATGATCATAACAGATTTACAACTTTGGACAGCTGGCCAAGTGTGGCTCGCTGCAAGAGCCCACGTGTCTCTGGCAAAGTTTGGCACTCTTCTGATGATCAACCTTGTTTGCAATCAAGTTACAACGATGCAGTATCTGTAGTTTAAAGATGCCGCAATATTACTCATCGGTCTGCTATGCCAAGGAACCGGTGTCGGTCATCACAACAGCGTCGCCTGCGGAGAGGCGGCAGCGACATTACACTTGAAGGTCTCTGCCGATGGCGATTTCAATATTTGCACCCAACTAGCATCTGTCAGCTTTATTTGTAGCTATAGCTACATCTCTCCCACAATCCACAATAGTTTATAATTGTAGAATTACCCGAGACTGCGGTGATGACAGAAAAACGTTGGGAGAAGGTAAAAAGACTCTTTCCTTCTGTCTTTTT